ATTATGACGTGGCCTTAAGGCTCCACGTGTGGATCAAAATATTTCACGCCGATATGACTCAACATGGAGCTCCTCCATTTGGCGTCGAATTTGGGACGAGCCACGTGTTTTGGTGGCCATCCCGTCGCGGCTCGTTCTGGACTGCCCAAGCAAAAAAGAACTCCGACTATACACACCACGCATTCTCCCTCGACAGTTTGAAACTCGCCATCATGTCGTCATGCGTTTGATTCCCTCAGACGTCAACAGTGTGTCCTGTCCACTGGAATACATTGCTCCTGTTGTGTGGCTGTCCATCGTTTTGAATCTGGGCCACTTTGAGACTGAAACGATCGCCCAACAACGCGTGAGGAGAGTGCCGAGGGATTTGTGTTTGCCCACCTCAATTGTTGGGTAGCAATAGCCATCAGTGCTCGGTGTTGTGTGTGTCTGCATCCTCTACGTGTTGTCCAAGCCCCCAGCCTGTGCTGGATCAAGGCAGTTGTGTCGCCGGGTTCAGAACCCATCCCGGATTCCAGTTGCTCTATCGTTCATTGCAACTCCTCCATTTGCTCTGTTGGTCCACGTCCCTCTGTCGCGACCTACCAGGCCGCTATAATCCGTCGAATACATCAGTTTCTCATTTGAGTCGCGCCCCCAAGCAAGGTTGTCCCTTGCCCAAGGTCGTGGACTTCAGCAGTGGTTGCCGGACGCTGCGCGAGCCGGAACACATCCATCACCACCTGGTTGCGACAGACCTGCCGACACACGGTGCAGCCCGTAATAACGTACTACGTCGGGGGTAGCAACACTGCTTTGAACAAGGAACATTTCGTTGGTAGCTCATGCATCGCGCGGATACATCAGGACGGTACTCCGCTGAGCTGCAAAATCCCCCCACAGTTGCAATCGATCGCGACGTCAACGGATTCATTCGGGCGATGCGACGTTTCGTGTGGCACAGGGATGCCAAAAGACTCGTTTGGTGCTTCAACGTTCGCTTGCTGTTAGGCGTTGGTCGGATGCATGGTGCCGTGTGAAGATGTTGGATGGGCTGTCGACGTCGTGGTTAGTTGTCTTTCTTTGGGCTCTTGGGCGCGAGGCTAACACGGACTTTTTCGGTGGCGGTCAAGGTGCCCCCTTGCTTGGACGACGGCGCTTTGGCTGGCTTGGGGACGCTCGTCGCTGCATTCGGGCCATTCGTTATCGAGGTGTTGGCTTTGGCCTGGCCCAGCGCCACGTTGCGGCATCGCTGGGCAAAATTTAACGAGCACAACGATTCCCACGCATTCCACTGCACTGGGCTCACGTTGACGAACATGAGCACCTTGGAGTTGCCGCTGAGCGATTCTTGCAACAAAAATGTCTACGCCGGGTCATGTCTCTGCGACCCCATGCATAACAAGTCCACACGACATGCACTCGCCACAAAACGAAAAGCCATCGTACAAGTTTGGAATTTCGATACGGCACGTGCTTGCTGTGGCCTCCGAGCGACGCAATGACGTCGCCCAAGGCAGACAACGATCGATTGATGTGCTGCGCTTCCTTGAGCCGCTGGCCGCTCGCGGCGGTCTTGCCTAATGCGACTTGTCAATTGTCCATGGAGACTCACGTACTGATGCGTTCGGAGCCGGCAAGGTCGATTAAGTGCAGCTTGGACAACGATTTGCGACCGTCGAGCTTGTGTGACGACGTGATCGTGATGGATACCACCAAGTGGGACCGACTGCTGTGTTCATTCACGTCGTGCGAACCGACGCTGCGGTGCGAGTGCCCGAGTTTCATGAGGTCGTCAACGTCCGATGCCGAGTACACTTCGACTTCCATCAAATTCTCAACGTACGCGCCTTGCTTGCCCATGCGAACTTCAAGGGGCTTGCGTTCACCTGGGCCTCCGATGATAAATATATTTCTACGTGGTAACCTGTCTTGCGAGGTGTGTCGTACCCGTTGGCGAGTCGTCCAAGAGGTCCACGATGGTTTCTATACCTCCGAGATCAATCGTGTGGCCACGATGCGCCGCCCTAACGCACGATGCAAACCCGTACCGTTGTACACTTCGAGGATGCTCAATTTCATGTCGCATTCGACGTTTCCCGACCGCACGCGCTCGTCCCGCACGCGAAACAGTTCGTCCATCGCTCGGAAATTCACGCCTCGGTCCGTCGCGGGACCTTCCATCGTATGCGTTTTCCCAGACCCTGTTTGGCCGTACGCAAAGATGCACACACTACGCAAAAAAAAGTTTCGTCATGTCGTCGTCCGGCAACGATAAATCGCAACTCCAACGCATGCATGCCGTGGTCGTTTCCACGAGGGGAATGAAATGCACAATCGACACGCCCGACTTACTTGAATCCGTCCATCGCACTCACGACCAACGCTTTGGTTTGCTCGAACACGTCCGCCTGACCGGTCGTTGGCTACACCCGCCGATCAACAGGTCGTCAGCGACGATTCTCGTGGACGAATTCACGACGACGCAGCCACTACCTGAAAGACATAATCGAATTCGAACGTGTGCTTTTGGCCTTCGGCGACCGTCAGGTCCAACACGTGCGGGTCGTTGGGCCGGAACGTAACGACTTGAGCCGAGTCGGCGCTCGTGACCTCGACATTCGACACGGGTCGAATGCGGCAAAACACACGAATGTTGCCGGCCATTTCCATCACTCGGTTGTGCAATTGTCGCCGTGCCTTCATTTCCTGGGCATACAACTGGGCCAGCTGATCCTTTTCTTCGACCGCCGCGCGCACCGCCGCGTGCATCTATAACATGGAATCGCATGCATCCACGGTCAACGGGGGTGCGATTGCGCACCTTGGCCGTCGCTTCGGCGATCCCAGCTTGCTTGGCTTGGTCCATCTGCGCTTGAACAGAGGTCTTCAACGCGTCCAGCTCGGCCTGCAGCGATGCGATCTGCTTCACGTTGGCTGTTTCACTGGCTTCCAGTTGCTTGATCCGACGGGTGCTTTGAGCCGCCTACGCACACTCGGTCGTGTCGCGTTGTGCCGAGAAGGTCTTTAAACCTCACGCTGGACCGCTTGCAACTGCGTCGCCGAGTCGGCCAAGCTAGACATAATTTATTTTTCTCTTGCATGCGCGACGACAACATGCAACAGTACGCCGCCGATTGGGTCAATCTATCGGCTTCCAACGCCCGCACAGTCGCGAGGAGCGCGTTTTCGCTCGTTTGTAGCGCTTTCAATTGCTTCTATGGATGGAGCCAACGACGTTGACAGGTCGTCGGCGGCGCTTGGACGTACATCATGCTCTCGTGTGAGCTCGTCGATTTCTTGGGCATGGCGCATGCCCATCGCCTAGAAGGAACCACCGACATGTAGTTGAGACGACCGTTAGGTGGTTGGGCGCAAGAAAATGCATCTCGCGCACGGGCACGCACGTGTTTCACGCGTTCCAACTCGTGGGCATGGTTGTCGCTTATCGTTTGGATCTCCGACGCGAGTTTCGCTTTGCTTTGCGCGAGTTCGTTTTGATAGGTCTGCACCGCGGGGTTGTGAGCGAGCACCGTCACGATGCCACGAGGGTGGCGCGAGAGAAGCGCAGACCTCGACATCTCCCTGCGCCACGTGACGATCCAATTCGTGCTTTCGATTCGCATCGTTCACTTGAATCATCAACGCTTGATGCTGTTCTTCGAGCGACTTGAACTTTTGCTCCCACTGAAATCGGAGCTTGGTTTCTTTTTTCAATTGTTTCTGTCGGCACTCGCCGATGAGACCGCGCGCGCGCGCCGACTGTGAGCAACGGAGGGTGACGCGCGAGATGTACCTGAACCTCGTCGACCGCAGCGCTTGTCTCGGCATCGTGCAGCCTCATCTACCACACATGTCAATGCGATCGCCAAGCGTTGGTGAGTTGGAGCATCGCACCGTGAGCGTCTTGACCTCCTGGCGCAACGCCAAGTTGTCCTGCGCTTCTTTCGCCTTGGCAATCTCGACTTCGCCTTGGGCTAGGACCTACGATAAAAAGCATCGTCATGCGCCGTCCACGATGGGTCACGACAAAGCAGAACCATGCAAGTCTCTATCGAGACGACCGCAGAGAGAGAGAGAGAGGGCTTTTTCCCTTGGACGTAGCGTCGATACGAACCAGTTGCTGGCGACTTTGCTTGAGCGCGTCCTCCAACTCGATGACGTGTTGTGCACTTGTGTGCTTGTCGCGCATTGCTGTGGCCAGTTCGTCTTGGACGGCTTTCAACGCTTCGTTGGCCGATCTGCCCGACGACACGTGTCAGGACAGCTCAAAGGCCGAGAACGGAGAGTCGTACGCGACTTCTTTCACGTGGGCCTCCAACTGCCCCGTGATGTCGTACAGCGACTTTTGCAACGCATCGACGACGTCTTGATGTTGTTGCTGGAGCTCCAATTTTGTCTTGCACTCGTTCAGTTGGGCGTACAAGGACTCGACGAGTGCCCGATGGCCGTCGTCCTGACACACACACGTCAGTTGATCTCTCGCGCACAAGCTTGCCGACACAAACGTGGCGCCACATTCCGTCGTTCACCACATGCCATGGACGAGCTCAAAGTCTCCCATCGAGTACACACGTCTTGGCGAATTCTGCATTGCATGACATATTGTCCACACGTTCCGCACGTTTGGCACAAAGTACATTTGAGACGGTGTCCATCCTACCGGCATGTCGTCGAGGGCAGCACCGCCGCGGCGGGTAGTTGTCACTTGGATGTCGCTGCCATTGTCATCGTCATCGCGAGGACTGTACGGAATATCCTCGCCTGTGCATTCATGCGCTTCGTCGTCGTACTCGCTCTCCACATCTTCGAGTTTGCCGTGAGAACTTGAGTGAGGACGACGGCGACGTGATGGGGCCGACGACTGGGACCATGCCTCGTACTGTCCTTGGTTGTAGCCATCGTGGGGGTCGGTCGGTGTATCGATGTGGTACGAACCGCTAGAACCAGAACGTGCCCATGCGTCGTCGAGATGGAGCCCGGCGCCATGGTGCTGGTGAGTGTTCAACGCCTGCCGCTGTACGAATTGATACTTCAGCCGAGAAACGTCAATCGGCTCTCCCGCCAACTTCATGCGCATAACTTCTTGGTACAATGCCATGTAATCTTGATCGGACGGATGCTCCCATCGACTCTCGCCCGTGTGATCGTTATAGTAATACGGCACGCCTTCCTTCGTCATAATCTGGTGCCATCCCGTCGGCATTGGAGCGACCAAGGACTCTCGCGCAATCCATAGCATGTCGTTATCTCGTTGTGGATCCATGCCGAGGTACTTTGCGTGCTCTTTCACGCCCTCCATAAACAAGTTCGGATCGACCCCCTCCAATGGGGCCAAGTGCTCGTCGTACTGCGCCTGCGCGATGCCGAAGCTGGTCTTCTGGTGGGTCACTGGCGAGCCTCCATACGACGACGGGCTGCGCGCGGTCGGAGGTGTCATGTGTCCGCCATCAAACGCAAGACCCAGTAAACTCATCCCTGCTTCTTGTGCCCGTCGTTGGTCGCTCTCCCGTCGCGACGTCACCGAGCCCATGGGAGATGTTGATGCGTATAACGGGTTCGAGTGGTTGGTTGGACTCATCGAGTCGGCCCGACGAAGTGGGCTTCCCGGCGAAATGGCCGCGGCAACTCCGCGGGGGGTGCGCTGCATCCGATTTGAACTGGGACAAATTTCACCTCGAAACGCAACTTTCGTTATCCGAACGTCGTAGTTCATTATCCGGATAATCCCGCTCATTCTTCAATTCCCGTCGGCCCGGAAAGAGCTACCACCTGCTCGCTCGACAGCAATGCGGATTTCACCATCCACGTCCAGGTTGGACGTCATATCACAGATCAATCGCTGCTTGGACGTGCCCACTATGTGTCCGATTGCGTTCTCTGACCCGTTTGGTATGACCTTGAACACCATGATCATCTCGATCTCCACGACTGTCTTCCCGTCAATGAGCTGGATTTCAACGTCGACTGGCGCAGCGTCACTCATTTCCGGGCAAATGCAAAAGTGAGGCGACTGCAGCAAACAATGCACAGCGTCCAACACGTCGCCTCCACCATGCGTACGGGAACTCAGAATGAGGAGCTGCCGCGCAAACGCCATCGCGTCCATTTCGCTTGTCTTGGTGTGGCGCGACGTGTGCTGAAGCAATTCAATCGCGAGCTCCGACAACATGTCTTCAAAGCACGAGCTTGCATGGAGGTGGCCGTTGATACGCAATACGTCCCGCTGAATGTCCTTGACTGCTTGTGAAAAATTGCTGCACTTCATTCGCCGCAATCGACTTGACGCGTCCTGGGACTCGACGTGCACGTGCAACCATTTCAGTGGAACACATATTTTCAATGGGGACGGAGCACAAGGTAATGTACCCTCGTTTTGCAAGGGCAACTCGCCTGGCCACATCAACATCACGCCTAATCCTTTCCATCGTATTTCCTCTTACCCAGTCGCAATATGTCCAAGTACTCGGTGGCCGACGCTGCCGCAAGCTTCGTCTGCAAGCGAACCAAGTGTTGTTGGGCCTGTGATCCAATGGCGCGCACCCACGCCACGGTTTCTGCAGCCGTCGAGACATCGAGAACTTGACGCAGCGTCCCGCCTTGGTCGAAAAGGGCGAACGTGTGCCTGTCGCACTGCGGGGCACCGGGGCGAGCACTCCATCCGCTCACGTGGAGTTCCGTGTGCGGCGCGTAGTCTTTTTGGATTCGCTTGCCCATCGCATCGTCGTCGTCCTGGGTCAGTGGGCTCAACTTTTGCCTTCGCTCGTTGGACAGAGCAAACATGTACTTTTTCGCGTACTCCGGCGACGCAAAGAATGACATTTTCGAGTCCCACAACACGGCCCAGCATCGCTGTTTGGTGCGCCAGAGTGCACCCCACTTGCCGCAATCGACGTAGCCCTGCATGATGACATCGATTCCGCGGTGGAGGAACACTGGTCGCCGGTCCGTGCTCCGAATGAGTTTGAGCACTGCTGCTGCAGTGTCTGAGGCCTGGTTGCTGCGCAAGCGCAAGTACAGCGAGCGCAGGCTTTGCTGTAGTACCAACGCATTTTCTGTGAGCTGCAACGCCGCTTGGAGCACCAAATCATGTTGAGAGATGCGCGTGTTGTGTTCAATTTCCATGGGGCTAATGTTGAGCATAGACGGTCCACCGGCAGAAGACTCGATGCGAGTGACATGAGCCCGTCGCCACCTGTCTCGGTCGTTGTTGTACCCGTTGTCTTCATCGTATTCATCAGGAAGAGCAGGACCATGAAAATGGCCCGATGGCGACGACGGAACCGCCGAGGTCGGATGTTGGTCAAGGTCGTGAAGAAGGGAGGAATCGGGGAACAGGTCCAACGACGGTGCCGACGCAGAGTCGGGAGTGCCATTGAACTCCAAGCACACTGTCGTGGGGACTTGCGTCAAGGTGTCCACGCGTGCCGTGACGATGTCATCTGGGACAAGCACAGCGCTGACTGTTTCGCCTCCGTCCAGTGCTACGAGGATGCCTCACACCACACCCACAACGAGCGACGACGTCAGCTTACATGCACCGCTTCGAACATGCTTCAGATAAACTTTGCCCATCCCTTCAAACTCTGACACGTGCTCAAACACAACGTTGAGCTGGACACGTCCTCTTGTGAGCACTAGCTGCCCCACCCAACGCGTACCTTTTGCGACGGGAGGCACTGGAACCGATACACAGCATCGTTCGACAAGAGCAACCTGCACGTAGCATGCACGGTTTTCATCCAGCGTGTCTTCATCTCGCTCAAGCACGCTACCACGTACCGGAACGAGATCATGCCGTGATACAGCGCCGCGGCGGAGGGTGACTTTTGGCCCGACTCTGGTGGATCTTCTGAATCCGGATACTCTATCACAGAGAGGGCCCTGTTAAGTGCGTCGTACTTTCACGGATGTATCTCCATGGTCGTCCAGTTGAAAATGGCGTTTTCGTTTGGAGGGAACACCACTGGCGCGGCGTCCACTGCGACTCCGGCGTTCAACTTTGGCGCGTCGGCACCTGCGGCCTCGACAACGACGGGATTCGGATTTGGAACGTCCAACACTGCCGCCACCGCTCCAACCACGTCCACGGGGTTTTCCTTCGGGGGTGCACCTGCAACCACAACGCCTTCCACCACCACAACTCCAGGATTTAGCTTTGGCAGCGCGACCCAACCTGCCGCCACCACGACATCTACGACCCCTAAGTTCAGTTTTGGGGGTAGTGGCACAACTCCTGGAGCTGCAACCTTCGGGTTCGGATCAACTACAAGCCAAACACCTGCAACCACCGGGTTTGGGTCAACAACCGCCTCCGCGTCCTCCGGATTTAGCTTTGGCGGCACGACTACAGGGCAATCCAGTGGGCTCGGTGGGTTTGGGACCTCGAACAACACGCAGTCGACTGGTTTGTTTGGAAAACCCGCGACGACAAGTGGATTTGGCAGCTTTGGCGCGACGTCGAGCGTGTTTGGTTCGTCCACGGGAACGTCTGGGTTTGGCGCAACAGCCCCTGCACAACCCCAAGCGCCCGCCGTGTCGCTAGATATGCGCTACGACGCTCTGCCCGCTGACGTCCAAAAGCAGATCAAGGACTTTGAGTACGTCCGTCCGTTCGTTGCGTGCATCGCTCATCTCTCCACGATGTGTAGCCAATTCCTAAAGGATCAATCTCGCGAGGAAGCGTCGATCCAGTCCGTGTCGGCACAACCGCTAGCAGACCTGCAAGACGCTACAACACAACTCGAACAAGTACGTTGTTCAGTCGTCGTTCCGTCGGCATGACGATGGTGGTGGCTCCAGGTGGCCCTCGTCATGCGAAATATTCAAGCGCGCCAAGCTAAAGACATTCAAACGCTGAAATGTGATGTAAAAGACGTCGTGTCGAAAGCGGAAGCCGCCGACCAAATGTAAGGTCCACCCCGTTGCCGTTGTTACACGTTGCCTGGATGTAGTCACATTTACCTGACATCCGACACGGGCATCCAGCGCCAGGACGAAATGCCGTCAGGGTACTATTGGCACCTCGTGCGCAACTTTGAGCAGCGCATGCAAACACTCAAGTCCCAAATCAACGACGTCCACATGCAATTGCAAGGGCTGCAACAGGCTCGCCACGGCGCCGCCGCGCAGCAGCACCACCCAACCCCACAACTGCTCCAGCAAATCTTGCAATCGCAGAACGACGCGTTTATGAAGATTGCCGCCCATGTCGCGACCACCCACGAACAAGTAAGGAAGGACGCTGCAACGCCTTGAGTCTTGCGGAATGGATGAAGCGTTCATGTGTCCAGGCAGAGATCCTCCGCGAGAAGTACTTGGCCACCCTCGAACAGTCGAAACAGCAACTAGACGGCAAAGTCCGCAACCCATTTGACGCCGCAGACCGAATTCAAGCGGAAGAAGAGCGTCGCATTGTGGATCGCATTCGTTTGAGTGCAGCGCAGGTCACGTTCCCCGCCGCTTCGCCGGGATCAACTGCAACGACGGGAGGGACTCCTGCTTCGTCGTCGCTGTTTTCGTTTAGCACACCAGCCGCCACGACGACGACGCCGTCTGCCTTTGGCGCTCCGGCAACGACGACCACCAGTGCGTTCAGTACCCCAGCCACGAGCGCCGCCTTTGGTGCTCCATCGACCAGTGCGTTTGGTGCCCCGGCTGTCACTACCGGAACCGGTGCCCCCAGTGCGTTTGGTGGGTTTGCCCAACCCCCGACATTGACCAAGTCGGTGAGCTTTGCCGGCCTTGCTGCTCCAGATGCCACTGGGGGCGTTGGCATGCCCGCAGCCAACGCGCTCAACCCAAAATCCGTCCGGCGAAAGGCAAGCTCGAGCAAGAAGCGATAGGCGTTCGAAACACACTACTGTGACGTTTCAAAACAACCAACCAGCCATTTATCCTGTGCCGAGAAAACACCTTCAGGCGCATTAATTTGACCGATATTCTCGACATTGAACATGGGTAAACTTGGTTCAAGTTGTACGATGCGGAATTCGTCCAATCAAATATGACCCCAATGGCGGTGGTGCGATATTCTCTCTACCGTTGAACCAACTTGCCAGGTTGACTTGGTTTTTGTATCTAGGGGGATCTCGTCCGAATAATAAACGGATCCCGGTCGCGGGCTGCATGGAGTTGTGGCGGCACGTTCGGCCAAAGTCGTGGATGTGCATTACACTCACTGCATGGACGCAAAGGAGAGGGCCGGGGGTGTGGGTGGCGATTCCACGGGCTGCGGAAGACGTGTGTCGGGGCGCCAACGTCCCTGGTCGTGACCGCCTCGATAATGTGTCACTTTTATGCACGTTTGACTTGTTCTGGCGATTTTGATACTTTTGGAACGACGTTTTCTGGTCGGAAAATGTTTTTTTGTGTGTACTCTTTGCCGTCCTGGTGTCGACCGACAGAAAGGCGTCGTCGTCATCCTGGCCATTGTCCCCGGCGTGCCCCTCCGATGATGCCCACCAGTCTGTGCAATATGTCGATGCATCCGATGCTCTGGTTCAGTGCTGTTGCACGGTGGTTTGCATCCCAAGCGTCTGCAGCCACTCCTCCGTCGTTCGTCCAACTTGCGGCGTTTCGCATATCACACACTGCGCCACGTCGATGTGAATTGAAAACTTCAAACATTCGTCAGGCTGGGCGGCAAAGAACCCACAGCGAAATCCACGGAAACCAACCGACATGTCTTGTCCATCCCTTCTCCATCCCTTTGCGTGTCTGCTGAGCGGGGCCCGCGGAACGCCGCGAACCTGTGCTCGTCGCCAGCCAAGGGCACTGGGTTCGACGACGAATAATAACTTCAAGCGCTGGCAACGGGCCAGTCGTTCAGGGAATATATTTTTATGGCAGCGTTTCCATCTTCTCTTGATGTTTGTATGTAATATTTAATACATTTCCCGTTGGGCTATTTTTGCATTGGTAATCTGCCGTATCCGGATCAGACGAGGGACCTGCCTCTATCGCGACACTACCAAACCATCCTTCGTGCTGGCCGTTGACCGTCCCGACAACTCGTCGTTGCCATGCACAATGCTGGAGGCCCTCGGGCGAATATGCTGAGCAACACGGACCTGTACCACATGAAGCGCATGAGCGAGACGCGGGGGTCGTTCACTAACCGCAAGAGCCATGTCAGCACGTCCAGCATGCGCGGCAGCACGACGTCCCACAACCCCCACCCGCCGTCGGAACAAGGCGACTTGCCACCGCCCCCCGACTCGCTCCCACTTCGCAGCGGCTCGACAAGCCACTCGTCGTCGACTGGCTCGTGGAAAGACTCGGATATTTTTTTGTTCCAGGAAATGCCCATGGGCGGCCTCAAGCTCGACTACGCGCCGCCCCCAAAGTCATACTCGGGCGACAGCAGCATCGACTCGGCCAAAATGCAAGATATTGTTCGCCGTATCCATCGCGAGATGATCTCGGAACTCGGCATGATTGAAGCCAACGTGCCGTTCGACGGCGATGAAGCCAAATTTGCCGACCACCCGTGCCAGTGCAAGACCGCCACCATCTTCCACACGGCCGACTATGACGTGGCCTCCCGACTCATTGTGATCGTGCCGTACCGCGAGGCCGGCATCTGGAGTCGAAGCATCTGCATGAACAGCGCGTCCGCGGACGAAGACGCCGGCAACATGCTCAACTACCTCCGCAAGGCGATTATGGAAGGGTATGGCGTCCTGATCATGAACCCCGCCGCGCAGGCGTGCCACTCCAAGGTCCACGTCGGCACCGTGTGGGACCACTTTGTCAAGCCGTACGAGTCGGAGCTGTTTGTGATTGCGTACTCGCGCGGGTGCCAGAACGTGATGCAGCTGTTGAACCACGACAATGGCCATGGCGGAATGCAGGACCGGCTGCGCGCGCTGTGCTTTATCGAACCGAGTCATTACGTAAGCGACAAGGACACGTACTTTGCGCGCCGCATGCTCAGTCGCCGCGCTGTCGCGTGGCTCTTGTCGATCGATGTCCCGCCCGGGCAAAAGATTGTGTCGACGGAAAAGCGCCACGGGTGCATTTGCATCTCGGCCGGCGCGATTCCGTCCAGTGTACAGGGAAGCTCCGGCGGGTGGGCGCTCCGTGCCGTCATGACGTCGGTGTTTGGTGTGTTTGCCGCGCGCGTCGGTCAAGCGAGCGGCACAACCAAGCTGACGTCGCTGGACAAGAGCAAGACCGGCGGGTGTGGGCTCTGCCATCGAAAGATGGGCCTCCTCACGCGCAAGAACCAGTGTGCGTGGTGTGAAGTCAAGTACTGCGCCATGTGCTGCGAAGACAAGAACGTCCCGACGTTCAACCTGTGGGGCGTGTGCAAGCTGTGCCAAGTCCTACCGTGCCTCATCGATCCGCGCAAGAAGGGCGGCATCAAGGTCCCGACAACGACCAAGGCGTTCACGAACGACATGGACTTGATTGACCGGTGCTCGATCTTTATCCAACCCGACAAGATTGACGATTTGTGTTTGTCCGATTTTGAAATCGTCAAATTCATCGGGCGCGGCGCGTGTGGCCGCGTCAAGCTCGTGCGGAAAAAGCACGGCGCGGACGAAGGCTCGTTTTACGCGATGAAATCGATCAAGAAGCGCTTGGTTGTGGCGCGTGGTCTGGTCGAAGCCACCAACGCGGAGCGCCGCATCCTCGACCGCATCAAGCACCCGTTCATTGCGACCCTCTGCTACGCGTTCCAGAACGACGCCAAGCTGTACTTGCTCTCCAACTATTACCCGGGCGGCAACCTCCTCGACCAAATGCGCCTCGTCCGCAACTTCACGGAAGACCGCGCCCGGTTGTACGCGGCCGAGGTCGCGCTCGCCCTCGGCCACTTGCACGCGAACGACATCATTTACCGCGACCTCAAGCTCGAGAACGTCCTGTGCGACTCGGAAGGCCACATTGCGTTGACCGACTTTGGCATGTCCAAGGAAAACATCAAGGCGACAGACCGCACGTCCACGTTTGTTGGGACGTACCAGATGATGGCGCCCGATATCTTAACCAACAAACCGTACACGGTGAGTCGTCGCGAGTGTGTTTGGTGGCTCATGTCGAAGTAGCGCGCGATTGACTGGTGGGCGCTCGGCGTGATGGTGTTTGAAATGATTGATGGCCGGACGCCGTTCAACGCCAAGACGAACCAGCTCATCAAGGACAAGATCCTAACGTTTGACGTGCCATTCTCGGACCGGTTTTCGAAACACTCGAAAGCGTTTGTGCAGGGCTTGCTCCAAAAGAAGCCGGAACACCGCCTCGGGTGCGGTCCCGACGGCGTCGACGAGATCAAGCGCCATCCGTGGTTTGCCTCGATCGACTGGGCCCAAGTCGAAGCGCGCCAGGCCACGTTTAGCCCGGACCAGGCCACCCTCATGAAGTCGTACGCCAAAGAGTACGCGACCGTCGACGTGTTTGACACGTACATGCATGCCAACGAAATTGCGTGCGACACACCGACGTCCGTGCGCGGGTCGACGGCCGGCAACGATCTCTTTCAAGACTTTGACTACAACCACCTGACACGACTGAGCGCGTCGTCGTCGTCGGACAGCGATCGACACGCGATGGCCGGTGGCGACCCCGACTTTGACATCCAACTGCTGCGCCCGGACGTGTCCCCCAAACATCGCGACGACGGCGCCGTCGATGATGAGAACGGGTCGAACCACTCGTCCAGCACGATCGTCGCAACGTCGTCAGAGGACGACCTGAACAGCCCCGTGCATTTGACCACAGTCCACCACGCCCCAGCCACCACCACGACGACGACGTTGTTCCCGGTAGATTGCAACGTCACCATGCTGTAATGGACGACGGGTGGGTCGCACCATCCCCCGATTGTCGCGTCTGTCGTAGCTTGTAACTTTGCGTGTAATTCCGTTTGTGCCATCGTCACGTGGGTACTAGGTCGACGGGACGCCGTCTCACAGTGCGGGAGTCGCGTACATGTCGACGACGTACAAACGACTTTTGGTTCGTTGCAGCCTCCATTACCAGTCCATGCTCGTACGACGCAGAGCACTCCAGCCACGACGACATCATGGCGCCGACGTCGTCGGCTTGAGCCATGTTTGCTCGCCCGTGTCGAGGTTTTCGTAGTACACGTGATCGCCATGCGCAATGGCCATCCACCCACGAGGTAGCGACGGATCGTCCACATACACTGCATCGCCAGCCTCGGCTGGACCTCCTACGCACGAAAAATCACACGGCGCTTGTCACGGACCAACAACGTACCGTCGGCGCCTTGACAGGGTTCATCGTCGGTGGCTCCGTCGATCAGAGTCGAGTCGTACCCATCTGCGCGATCGGTCGAGTGGCGCCACGTTGATGCGTCGACCGATGGCATGTCTTGAGACGTCCAGTCGTCGACGGGTGGCGGGAGGGCTTCGTAGCTCTGGTCCGCGCCACCATCGACCACGACGTGCGCAGCGACAGGAGATGGATTGCTGTCGACGACATAGAAGTCTCCTGCCGTGACTTCTCTCACGCCTTCGTCGCTTGGAACCATCGAGGGGTTCGATGTCACCTCGTGGGGGTCGCATGCCATCAGCGGTGGTGGATCGGTGCTGTCATCCTGCTTGCCTTCGGATGGATCTGGAAGCGCTGGGCCCGCCGTGATGTCCCATGTCACGCTGTGCTCGTCTGTCGGTGGTGGTGCGTCGCTCGTGGTGCTCTCCACGGGACAAGTCGAGGCAGTCAACGACATGCGACGGCGGCGCGAGTCGACCATCCCCGAGCTCTCGTACTCTGCGGTGCCACGTGATGTCGCTTGCGGGACGTGTTCTTCTTCAGGTTGTTGCTGTGGCATGGACGCCGCCCCGGGCATTTCGCAGTGGATAGACTCCGCCGAGACGGTCAGCGAGGTCGACGTGTGGCCGAGCTCCACACCTTCCCCATCATCATCTGATGTGCCCAACGAAGGCGATGGCAACGACTTGGTTGGATGCGGCGGCGTTGCTGCAACCGAGTTGTCTGTTAAAGTCGACGCCGCGCGGCGGGCGGTCCTTGGCGTATTCGATGGCGACGACTCCCCTTGTATCTGTGCGCTAGACTGTTCCATGGGTGCCAGTGGTGCGTCCCCATGAGGTCCTGGCGCCGACGGGGATGGTTGCGCGGACGTTCGTGCCGTTTGGTGTGGTGGTGTGGTGGGGGATTTTTGTGCCCACGTCATAAACTGCTTCACCTGGTCTTCGCTGATCGCGGTCATTTCGGACGGTCGCCGATGCGACTTGGACTCGTCGGCCAAACTTTGTTCGAGCGATCCCATGCGCGCCAGCTTGATCTACATCGCACGACCGAATTTCATTCCCATCTCGTCGAGCGAACGACGTGTGTACCTCGTCCGGGCACTTGGCGAACATTTCGTGGGCCATGACGTCGTGTAAGATGCCGGCAATCTGTCGCGTCTCCCGATGAGCCAGCCAAGCAACTGGCGCAGGACGTACCGAGTGCGCAAAGAGAGAAATGAGGTGCAATTTGAGTGCATCGTTGGCCGCTTGTGTCTCGAGCATTTCGACCTTGGGGCCCTTGAATGTCGTCGTGACGACGGTGCGGCCGACTTGAAGCACTCCGAGGGGCTTGCCCCACAGCGACAAGATCGGGACGATGTACAGACCATGCGCGGGGTTGGGGAGGTCGATCGCACAGTTGTATTTGGCATGGGTCAGCGGGTCGGGGATTGTGAGTCCATGGGGATGGAAAATCGCCTAGTACATTCCGTCGCAGTTGAACGATGGATTCACGGGCGGTCGGTATACCAAGCCACACAGCCCCGACGACAGCTTGTAGTATTGCCGACAAAATTTCGTGTCGCAGGTTGAATCGAGCGTCTTGCCAAGGCACCACATGCGTGCTCTTGTGTCGTCGTCGGTGGGGTTCTCGATGAGGAACATTTTGAACTTGGTGACGCCAAGGATTTGGTGGAAGTGGCGCTCCGTGGCCAGAACAAACCGAATCAAGCTGACGTTGTCGAGATGCGGCATGGACTCTTGGGCCAGGCGCCGAGGCATCTCGTGCAAGCGAAGAAGTTTTGTGTGGGACGCTTCGAGAAGGACCTCCAACTAACGAGAACACATCCCGTTGGCGCGCGTCGACGTCGCATCTCTACCTTGAATTGCTCGAGAACGATCCCTGCCTGAATGCCAAATAGGCCCAGTACAATCAAATCGTGGGCTGAAAACCCTCGTCCATGCACGGAATTGCATGCCTACGCGCGAGTGGAATTCCACGATGAGCCGTCGGTGCACCGGCATACCCGCAATGCTGCCACGGGTCGGTCGTGGTTGTGGTCAAATATCGGGACGCAGATCACGTCTCGGGTCGTGATGCCCGTCAAGTTGTCCTGCGGGCTGTAGAACCTCGGGTCGTCGTATGCGTTGGCAATGTTGCAGGGGGTGCCCGACGCCAGGACATGGCTCGCGATCCCTTTGTCGACCGGCACTTCAACATGCGACTCGCCCAACTATGCGCCACATATCCCGTCGTGAGCAATCGATGCACCGCCGACACTTCAAGTAGGCAGGACGATCGTGGCGCAGTCGCGGTTTCTTTGGTTGGACAAAACACCATGGTGCGCGCCGGCGCTTCCACGTACATTCGTACATCGGCAGACGAGTTTTCTCGGATTCGACACTTGGACGTAGACCGCGGCGTGGTCGCACTGCAGGACGGTGCAAACTTTCTTCATCAAGCTAGGGCAACAACGACCGCATCGTGACGGAGGCGTTGGTCATTTCGACGATGGCACGTACTCTTGGAGGACGACGCCAATGTCGACGGATGTGTTGATGCTGTGGCAACTGTGCAGCCACCGCTTCATCGTTGACGACAAGTGGATCGCGTTGGAAATGCTAAACTGTGAATCGACTTTGTGCAGGATGCGTAGAATGTTCGGGTCGATGTACTGCTCCAAGATGGAGCGGATGTTGGCATGCGGGTCGTCGCTGTCGTTGACGGTCGTGGGTGTACTACTTGCGGCAGAAGGCGCCAAGCCAGCAAGGACCGGTGCTTGCGACGCATTTTTGCCTTGGACCGTCGTGGCGGTACTCGTCGCTCCGTCGACCCCATGTGCTCTGGACAGCCCTGCATGAACGTGTGCGTCGTTGGTCGATTGCTGCGTCATTTGCATGTGCTCGATCGACTCGAGCTCCATTTTGATCGCCTTGAGCTTCTTTTCAGAATTGACGAGACTTCGTTTGTCCTCCATGTGTTGAGTCTCCAGCACCTACCCAAGGCAACCGTGCCATAAATTGCTCCATGAATTCCCTCTCACCGCCAACGAGTTCGCTGGGGGCCATTTCAAGCACTCGACATGCACGGACGCTCAACTACACGTCGGTACCTTAATGCGGCGTTGGTAGTCTTGGTTTTCCTTGGATATGGTGTTGAGTACGGACTTGACGTTTGCCGCGTTGGTGGGGGTGGTATCTGGCGTTGTCGACACTGTCATCATTTTGTTTAATGTTTCGTTGACAGCGAGGAAGCGCGCCGACAGCTTCGCAAAGGCCTTTTTCTGCTGCATCGACATCTTTCGCTCGTCGTCGAGTTGCTGGTTCAGTTGCGTCACAAGCGCCTTGAGCGAGTGGGTTTCTGCCGTCAACACGTCGTTGGCGACGCGCTCCTTGTGGACTTGTTTGGTCAAGTCGAGCATGGATCGCTCCATCTCCATTTGTTTCGCCCGGTACGACGACACGACCCGTTCGTAGTCGGCTTTTACTTTTTCCAGCGGCATGGGGAGATACGACGTCGCGTGGAATGGTGTAGTGGAGGACGCGGAACATGGGCTGCAAATGGACGGCGCAGATTCATCAGTCCGGGATAATGGCGCCAGCTGAGCGCTTCCTTTGGAAGAAGACAACATCGGTTTGGTCATGTTGCGCTTCTTGGTCGAGCTGAAGGCCAGGGAATTTGGCGCGCTTTGGAGGGGGAGTTGTGGAGTCGACCCGCATCGATTCATTGTGGTCAGTACGTAGGAGTCAGGAGTCTTGTTGTTGGACGACGAGGGCAATCCTCCAAATGCAGTGGTACTTCGACTGGACGACGAGGATGGGTACATCGAGCTGCTTCTGCCTTCCGACGGCATGTTGCTGGGCGAAAGCCCGTCACGACACGACGAATTCGCTGCATCCGTGTCCTTCTCCGCCGACGACGGGGACGATGGGACCTGGACAAGCAACGCATTCTTCTTCTTCTTTGTCGTTCCAGACCGAACGATGAAGAACGAGTCCTTGGACGTCTCCATGGAAGGAGCAGGCGGCGGTGGCGCCTTTCGGTGCCGCGCTCTATTTTTATCGGTCCGATTTGATTGGTCGAAAATCGGGGCGTTTCGTTGCACTCAATTCGAACGGCCGACCGAGCGCGCAGTGCCCAGTACAAGCGTTGCTACGGGTTGGATTTTAATCTATTTCATACAGAACAGAAGTGAAATTATAGAATCGCGATTCTAATGGGCCGTTCGATTGCGATTTGGCCTCCATTACACTGGGGCTTGAACCGACCATCTCGACGGATCTGGGTGAGGAGCTGCCACACCACTCGGCAGACGGCATCGTTCCGCAGCGGGACAGCGACATCTCACATCATCGTCTTGCGTACTACCCGCTCGCACAGCCCGGACAATGGGCCATTCATGGAGCAAACAGCAACCAGACGACTACTACCTTGGCCACAACGGAGGTGCTGCGTACGGCCTGGGCCATCTCACAGGCATCCTCAGCCACGACCGCAGGACAGACGTAGTGTACTCGGACGTCGATGACGCTCCACACACGGTTACGATCGGGTCCCGCGCAGGTCTGCCCATCCTCGTGCTCGACTCGGACAACGGCAGCAAAAAGAACAAACCGGTCGATCTCCCAAGGCGTCTTGGCATTGTCGTCCGAACGAGTGGTAGTCGCTTGACCAAGTCCGCGACAGTCGTCGTCACGGATTTCCTCCGCATCGTGGACGGGACGAAGGTCGTGCCCAGGAACAAAACATGGGGCACTGACCCACGCAACTGGCAGGGCGTGAAGGGCCCGGCGGAAGCGAGTGGTGGCATCCGTATCGGCGATACCATTCACGCGATCAATGGCTCGCGGCTCGTGAACAAATCCAAGCGACAAGTGATCAAGATGCTCGGTGAATGCTGTGCCAGCACCCGGCAACAACAACGTAGCTCGGTGGTCGTGACCTTTCGCCACGGCGACATCATCCCGGCGGTCCCGTGGGAAACGGAGCAGTGTGTGGATCCGCCCGAAGGCGAGTTCGTCGAGACCGATCACGAATGGGGCTGCCTCGCGCCGCTGCAAATGAAGGACGGGTCCGTCTCGATTTAGCCCCCGCTGCCATGATAGTGTTAGATGTCCAGTATAAAATCCACCGACGAGCAATTCAATAGTTTTTTCAACGAGTCCGTTGACCGACGGCTTCGGGCCATCCGTCGACTTCACGTCACGGCCGTGCCGATGCGCGCCATCTCACTGTACTTAGGCCAAGGCCACCCGGCATTACGTACATCTTTCACGGGTGCGACATTTCAAACGCCGTTCGTGGACGTGCATCGTTCCACGTCATAATGGCATGTTGTGCCAGCTAGGAATGACAACGTATGAGATGTCCGATGCTGTCGACGACGCATTGCGACTGTGCTGAATCGACCCCCCCCCCCGCTTCTTGCTGAGGCGAGACCATAGCCCGTCGGCAGCCAGGTGAGCCTGCCTAGGCCAATGCATCGTAGCGCATCCATGGGCTACCATGACGCATGCGGACGCGTGAAGGGGTGGATGTCTATATTGGTGGATGCTTTATGTGTCATGCTCAAGCATCAAGGTGCAAGTGCTGTTTGATCATGTCGAATGTGCCGAACGTGATGCCGACCATTGGAATCACCTTGAGAAGTTCGGGAGTGAGACCGCGGTAGAACCCCCAGATGCCTTGCTGCAGGTACAGTTCCCTCGTGATGCCCCACGCGGTGGCCGTCGCTTCCGCCGCGGTCGACGTCGTCGTCACATGGAGCCCTGAGATTTGCATGCGCCGGCGGACGACATCCACGGGAAACGTGACAATCGACGACGAAATGCCCGACACGGCGCCGCACGTAAGTGTGTCCACCGCCGTCAGCGGCGGCGGCGACGAGTTGCCTGTCGTCGGATCTTCTCGGAAAGCTTGAACCGCATCCTTCAACGACTCAAAGACGGTGAAGTTGATGGCCATGTTCGGGACGGTCACGAGCAGCGTTGCCGACAGGCCACGGTAGAGGCCGCGTGTACCTTCCTCGGCGCGGATGCGATGAAATGCATGTGAAATGCCGCGATACCTTGGAAAGGTATCTCGTTAGCCAACGACGTGTCCGCATGCACCCGAACGCACCGAATGTTGTTGTCGAGCTGTGTGATCAACCGCGTGCGGATGAGGTCGATGGGGTAGCATACTGTCGTCGATGTCGCTGCGGCCAACGCGCCCGACACGAACCGCGTCAGCATCGGCGATGTGTTCTCGGTTTGTGCTTCGAAAAAGTCCTTCATGGCTTCGTACGTGAAGAAGTTGACGGCCGAGTACGGGAAGCGATGGACCACGCTTGCACCATTCCCTTTCCACAAGGCGAACACACCTTCACGTCGCACTACCTAGGAAAGGTATAAGACGCCAGGGTGCAAGATGGTCACGATGTACCTTCATGAAGGCTTGGTAGAGCGACCCGGAAAATTTGTCCTTGTGTGTGGGAGTCACCATGCTGTGCACTTGGTACAAGATGGTCAGGCGGCTCAATGGAGCCGTAAACGTCTTGCCAATGCTTCCGGCGACACCACCAGCCAACAGCACGGACGCCTGTTTCGTCACTTGGTAGTGCAGGGATGTGATGTCAACGTCGGTGGTTTCTGTGCACACATCGCCAACGTCACCAAAGGAAACGGCGCCTGTGGTGCTGCGGCGTATGGTGACAGGCCGCTTCTCGCCAGTGGCGACCGCAGCGTCGTGCGGTGCCTCGGGGTCCACCGGCATCTCGCCGTCAAGTTGTGGTAACCTACGCATCCTGTATCAATCAATATTTTGTCTCTATTCATTATAACAGGATATGTCGTGCACCCATACTTCAACTCGTTATCCGGATGGTGTCGCATCTGTGAACTTGTGGTGATCCGATGGCATGGACATCATGACGGCGCAGTGTTCCAAGTGGCGCACAACCTCATCAGGTCCATACACTTGCAAAAGAGCTCCTTTTCGCGTGTCACGTTGAGTATCTCAGTATGCAGTACCCTGAAGCCCTCAGCGCCACGGTTGTCCACGTGAATTCCGGATAATCTACCCAGTCTCCCAACAAGGAGTTGAAATTATATTTCATTATTCATTATTGATTCTTGATATACTTAGTAATTAATTATGGTTTGTAGAAAATATAATGAAAACTTTAAAACGTGACCTCGGGAAGTGCCGTATTCAAACGGTTGACATTTGACAAGGTGACCACGCCATGAGCAAGGCGCCGGCAAAGAGGACAGCGGCGGCGACTGAGCGAGGGCCGGAGTGGAGGTACTTTGGTTCCCCAGAATTTGAAGAAGATGATGCCGCTTCCTTGGCTGTGAATGGCGGTGCCTTGGCCAAGCCTACTAAGAAAATCCCTCGCGTGCGGTGCATGTACTGCCATGACAAGATCTCGGCGCGATCGAACTCGTTGCGACGGCATCTTCGTGAATGCACCAAATGCACAGACGAAGCCCGGCAATACTGTGTGTTTGATCACTTGCGACTGCACACCCACTCACGTTTTCCATGCAGGTGTCAAGATCGATAAGATGAACTGTCCCGTCGAGACGTCGCTGCCACCCACTGCACGCTTTGATGATGAACACATGAAAAACGATACGTCAGCTCAGCTGCTGCTCCTCCAAGACAAGTCAAACCAATCTCATCAAGGACGATGTGATCCCACCGTGCACGACCACCTTGATGCCGCCGATGCGCCGACCAGCAAGGCCACCCAACGCCGTCTCAAGAATCGCCTTGCCTGTCGAGCGAATCGCAAACGCAAAAAAGCTATTCGGGAGACGCTCAAGATGCAAGTCAAACAGTTGAGCCGGTCAAACTCGTGGCTGCACCAAGAAATCAATGCGTTGCTCGGGTTTTCTTTGGTCACGAGCAGCATCGCAACAACATCTCCACCCCGTTCATCCCCTCGAGCAGCATCGCACCATCCCCACCCAACTTACGATCCGTTGGCAGAGTCCACACACATGCAAGACAATCAACTGAACGTGCAGCACGTTGTTGCGTCGGACTACCGGACCGATGCCGCAGCGATGGTCGATGCACCTGCCCCTTCATCGTCATCATGGCAAAGGAAAGACAGCGCTGCGATTCCCATTCATCCATCCGTGTCCCAGCAACGCGCAGCGTGCTTGCAAGAAACCGCGGCGTCCTACTTTCGATGGTTTGTGGGGCTGTCAGACGCCCCACCGACCGACTCGACGTCTGCCCCGTTTTACTCGCGAGACAATTGCCAAGTCGTCGGCGAACGAGCGACGTTCTGCGATGCGTTTCACGTTGGTCCCCACGTCTCGCTTGAAAGCATTTGGAAGACCAAAGCATACCTGTTTGACGACCTCCACACGATCCAAGATGTTCACGTCGCTGCGGTCGATCCATCCACAAACGTTGTTACAATCACGATCGTCGAAGAAGGCATCCTTCGTGACGTGTGGGCGCTTCGGGCGCTGTTCAACCCGACGTTTGTCGTGACGCTGCAACTGCATTTTGCCAACTCGACGCCAAAGGTCCAGCTCTCGTGGGAGCTAGTGTGTCACTGCGTCGCATCCAACAACGCGATGGGCGGTCGTCCAACTGCTCGCCGCATCGACGTGGCGCTCATCAAGTGCGACCGTTTGTGAACATGTCGGGGATATTTGAATGCAGCAATGTCGGCAGCTCCGTCTTCTTTGCCTCCCGTGTGTCGCTTGGCGACGCATGGACGTCCATGCGCGTCCGTGTGGTCGGATGGAAGCGGAGACTTCGTGAAACAAAGTCGTGTGGACAGCGCCGTGTGGATGTGTTATCGTGTTAACGTATTGAAAAATATGTACCCCACACACGGCGACACGGAATGGCCGTGAGGGTGTGCCTCGGTCGCATTGCTTACTTCCTGAACAACTTGTTGGACAGGTTTTGGACAAACCCGACCTTGGCACCTTTCTCGAGCTTCTTGAGCTGGTCCTTGATGGCTTTTCGATCGAGCGCGGTGAGGAACCCCTTGAGGTCCTGCTTGAGCGTCATCATGGTGGTCTCCTTGACTTCGTCAAACATTTTTTCGACGGGGCACCCGAGGCGCTGCATCACGTTCTTGCGCGTCGCGTTGCTGCACGACACTTCAAACTGACTTCCCGGCATGACAAAGTTGCGGTAGATCGCCCACGCTTTCTTCTTGGTCACGAACACGTCCTTTTCTTTGGCCAGGTCCTCGAAGATGCAGATTTCGCGCACGCACTTGAGGTTCTCCGAGTTGAATTCTAACATGTAGCACGATATGAGATCGACCGTGAGGCGGCCAACGACGGCACGTACTCTTGTTCAGGTACGTGTGGAGCTCGTCAAACAGCACCGAGTCGCCCAGGATCGAGTCGAGAGTGATCTCGACCGTTTCGATCGTCGCGGCTGTCGTCGTCACGTTGGGCGGCGCGACCAACTCGAACGGGTCGTACGCCTCGGTGGCCTCGGATAGCCGCGACACGAGCTCCGAGAACTGCGACGACTTGATGAACCGGTTCATGATGTCCTTTTGCAGCGTCTTCATCGCGTCTTGGATGGCCACGTCGAAGAGCTTGCCTTTGTACTTGGTGATCTTGTCCATCCGCTCGATCGTGACCTGTCGGTCCTCGGACGGCAGACTCACTTCGTTCGGCGAGTTCCGCGACAAAAAGTCTTTCCAGATCGTCGCCGCCATCGCGCCGCACGTCTTGACGTCTTCTTCGTCGTTGAAATCGAGGAGCTCGCACTTGTCCTTGTACCGGTCCACGGCCATGACAAAGTTCAAGTTTTCCGCGCACAAGTTCTTTTGGCAAAAGTCGAGCAAGTACCCGACAGCAATCGGGTTGTTCATCACATCGTCGATCGTGATGTCGCGCTTGGTGATGAGGACGTCGACATTGCCTCCCTTTTTGGCCATCGTGCAGTGCTCTCGCTCTTGTTAAAACGCTGTGGTGGGATCCTGGCTGCGCGAGAGCGACGTGTTGTTGCTGCAAGTCCTAGCGGTGGTGGGCGGCGTCGACTCTGGAAGCACAGACGATGGCACCGTCGCAATCAGACCGTGGCTCGAGCGAGTTCAAGCCAAGCCAGACAGAGAAATGGAGAGGCCGTGCCAACTCGTTGGATCGTTTCGGTTCGGGCAACCTATGAATAGCGTCGAGGGAACCATGCCGGTCCTGTTGGCCGCGTTGCCGCTTAAGATAGTGCCCAATCACAAGAACTTTAATTTTGTACTGATCGCGGCAGTAACATGGTGCTTCGGCCATGTGTAAACGCTTCGGTCTGACCTCTCCATCTTATATCAGCAAGGAAGAGTCTTCGACGTATCCACACAGTTGAATACAATCCCCCGCATGGCCCAGATGCGACTAAGCACACCGGTATCCGCGGTTGCCTCTATTCGCAGCTCATGCTAGTGAAGCGTTTGATCCGTCGACTACGCCAGACGAAGTCTTACAGAAGACTACCGCCTCAACCAAGCCGCGCAAATAGATCACGTGCACCACAGGTAGCATTTGTACAACTTGCGGGTGCGCTCCACGAGCCCTTGTTTCACCGTCGTTGTTCGACCGCGACATCGGTGCATTCGTCTGCGCGTGTGCCCTTTCGCGTTGAGATCGCAAGCCGTCATAACCGGATATCATCCGGATCCCGAGCGGCTGCGCGACTGGCCAGTCGTGGAAGCCGCATCGTGTGCGATGCGATTGGATCGTATATTTTTGACGTGTGCTGCGATTGGCCAAACGAATATATAGATCTTTGTAGTGTATACAAATCTCAAGTATTAACGCACCAGCCCCTTCGTCACCGTCAGTTGACCTCACCTTTATTGACGTGACGCGATGAGCTCTGCCGCCGCCAAGGAACTGCAAGCCGAATACCAAGCGAGCCGCCTGGCGACCAAGGAATGGATCCAAAGCGCTAAGAAGGCCATCGCTGTGCGCAATGCCGCTGGCCCCCCCACCGGCCCTGCCCAGTTCTTCCAGCGTTTTGCTTACAACTACGGCACCCGTCACGTCCACACCAACTCGGTGGCCCCCCTTGTTCACATCCTGCTTATTGTCGGCATGACTGGAATCACCTCTACCTATTTGGGTCGTCACCGTACGTGCTTGACATGATTGGTCGCAGAACTGATGCGAGCTGTTCGTGCAGGTAACAAGCACGCCGCCCAAGCCGCCAAGAAGGGTGACCACCACGACGCCCACCACCACTAAGTAGTTGCCGGACGCGTGATGAACACGCAGGTGTTGCTGGTTGTTCTGACCTTTGGTAGCATAGCAATGTCTGATGTAGAGGAGTTCGAATCGGCGTCGTAATTGATGATACGCCAATACATGCCGATACGTTTCCACATCCCATACAAGTATTATTGACATGGCATACTTCTGCGCTGCCTGAGTATTGATCAAGGGTAGAAGGTGCGGTTTGGTAAGTCTCGACGCCGTGCATGTGAGCAGACTTGCACAGCCCTGCATGAAGGATTCGTACCTAGGACAGGAACGTCAAAGGGACTTCGAGTTGGGCTTGGGCCATTATCGATTCCTGAATTGGCCACAACTCGTTTTCAACGACCAAAACAGGGCTTTCAGCCGAAAACTTGTCGTCGTTTGATGCAACACTGCGCCGCGAAGATGAATGATCCATCTCAGTCCGATTCCATCCCTTTATCAATGGAGTTGCGGTGCCGTGCCAGTTTGTTGAGTTGACCTTGGACGAGGAAGAGTCAAGACATCGTTTGTGTCGAGTCCTGCGCACCGACGGCAGATCATTCGTTTCCTATGTCAATAAAGACATAGATGCAGCAGCTCGTGACGTTTCTCGAGTCCGCATCATGTCCGTCGTCCTGTCGCCTACGTCCCCATCGTCTGCATCATCGCTCTCGGTCGTGGAATTGTCAAAATCGACTGAATTTTAAAGTATTCATTTCCACAGGTTCTCTCCAGGCACGTCGATTTTGATTGGCCAAACATCCAGTGTGGCGACCCTGCAAGCCTACATAATCGAATAAAACTTTGGAATATTAATATGGATGCTCGTCAAATGCACGTCAATTCTAGCTTGATTTTTATAAGCAATGCGGAGGTTGGGAATTAAAGTGCTGCAACGTATATTAAAATCCCCCCATTATTCCTACCCGCACCAACAACAAACGTCATCTTGATTGCCGCCACCTCCGCCGCGTCCGTGAGTCCACTTCAGTTTATCATGTACCGAGACGGCTACCTCATCCTCATCGAGCATAATCCGCGCTCGGGCAATGTCAAGCCTGCCATGGTGTTCTGCGTGTTCAGCGACGGTGTGCTCAAGTTTTTCTCCGAGAAAGGTGGGATTATGCTCGGCAGCTTGTCGCTTCCCGGGCGCATTACGAAAGTCAAGGCCGAATGCGAAGTCCCGACGTTGCTTCCCCATCGCTTCACTGTGTCCTCTACCGAAGTCACGCGGATTGAAGGCCGACGCATAAAACTTGGCGAGACCCGAGTGCTGGAGTTCAGCGCCCCCACCCACGACTTGATGAAGGAATGGGCCAACTCGATGCATCTGTGGCGACGCATGAACTGGAAAGACAACGTGACGTTTTTCGAGACGTACGAGCGCATTGAACACATCGAGGAACGCGCTTTGTTAAGGTCCTTCCTCAAGACGTCGCCCGACAAAGACCGGTGGTACCTCCACCCACGGTCGATCTCCCCCATGATCAAGGCGCTGTGGGATAAGCGGAAGAGCCAAATTGCGTGAGCTACACCTCCATCTCGCGCTCGATAGTTCAATAGGTATATATATATAATGTCAGGTACCCTCGGGCACTTGCATCTCGCCGGCGTGGCACCCGCGCGCAGATTTGCACACACCCCAAAAATAACTCGCCAGAAGTGACAAATTTAATTAAAATGTAGGATTCACATATGGTGTAATATACAATAAAAAAGTGTCGACGTCAACTGTTCAGCGACCGCAGCATGGGTGACGCCGGTGGAGGACGGACGGCGGATTCGCTCGTCAAGATCGTGGGGTACACGAGCTCGACGTACAAGGCAGACAAAGTGTCCAAGTCCATCGGGTACGGCTTTGCGTTCCTCGCGAGAGTTATCGAGCTGTATGCGAAGAAGCCGACACGGCACTCGCAGGGGTTGAGCGCCGTGGCCGGTCAAATTGCGTATGCACGCTATGTCACCCGTTTCACCGGAATATTTGAGTGCCTGGAAGCTCTCAAGAATGGGTCGTGGGTCGGCGCAGACGACAACGACCACCTCAAACGGGTCGTGACCCTGCAAGTGTACTCCATGCTGTTGTACTATCCACTCGAACACGCGTCGTTTGTCGGTTTTGTGTACGTCGTCGACGCATTCTCCGTCACCGGTGTCACATTCTCCCGTAGCGCGCCAAAGTGGTTTCCCTCCCTCGATGCATCCAAGTGCTCCCGGCAATCGTGCATGGCATGGGGGGCGTACGTGGCATTGGACCTGTACGTGAATCACGCTCGGTACGTGTCTCCGTTACCGTTGTTCCACGTGAGAGACAGCTGTGTCGTGTGTGGGTAGGTTGTCGATCTTGGCTGAGCGGGAGCGACAGCTCTTGGACAAGAAGTCGGACGTTCCTGACGTCGAGGTACGTCTTTGTCCCCCCTGCTGTGCCATGGATTCCACATCGCTCATGGGACGATAGCGCAAGGCGAAACTCGCCATCATTGAGCAAACGTGCGCGACGAGGATGTCTCTCAACGAATCGGTGTTCTCACACAACGTATAGGCGATGGAACATTCGGGTCAACCAGTTTCGAAACATGCTCTTCCTCCCGCTCTGCATACACTGGTCCACGGAGAAAGGAATCATGCCTGGTACTGGCATCCCGCGCATGTGCTACGCTCACCGTCTGTGTAGAGGTGCTGACGCAGTTCCTTGCGTTTGCAGAGGCTGTCGTTGGGACCTGGCAGACGTGGCCGCAATAAACCGCGATGCCATCACTCCGCGATCCTCTCTGGGTTGCTCTGACTCCGCGACCGTCCTTGGGGATTTCATCACAGGCGGCGGCGCCTCTGACGATAGTGATGGAGTGGAATGGTCCTTAAGTGTTTTGATTGGCTCGTAAGAGTAAAAACCTTCATTTTTGACTAATCAGCGGTGACTTCACCTTTTTGCATGACCCACAGCCATGAAAGGCTAGTGTCGAGGTCGCGAGAGACAAGTGGACAGACCAGCACGCGGCGATGGGCGAGCCTAAACTCATCGCGGAATGGCCATCAACCTGGGTTGCCTCCGACGCATGGGTGGGAACCAAAGCCTGCAAGAGCAAGCGAGTGGGAGTCCTTCCCTGGAATGAAAAGGCACCGTCGAAAGTTGTCTTCCTCGTGTCATGTAGCGGTGGTCGGCGTCGAAAAGTGCTTTACAACCCACGAGGAACGGTGATGGAAAGCCGAGGTCGTTGCCCACACGTGCGATTACCACTGTCGCACCCCCCGGCGAATTGGGATATCGACCCGAAACGAACCACCGCCCGAACAACCGCAGGTCAAGGTATTCCTAGTCGTCCGAGCGCCATGCTCCCACGAGTGTTGTTTTCGCATGCGACTGCAATCCAATCCATCGAGCAGCCATCTACTATCACCGCCTCGTCCATGTCTCTGCGCAGCATTCGCATGCACCATTCGCACAGAACATAGCACGCACACCATGGTGCTGCCGCCCACGTCCATGCCATCCCTTCGGCGCTCGCTCTCAACACAGCGCCTGCCCTGTCATGGTGTGGCTAGATAGCGCGCGCTCTTATCCAATGCATAGTTGCCCACGTCTGCCTGAATGACGCCGCAACCCTCTTGACGCTTCATCTTCTATGGAACATGCTGCCCCTCCGCCGTGTAATAATATATGCAGACCTATCCGGAAAGCCTGCTCCATGCCGGATAACATGGCAACCCTCGTCTGTGATTGGCTCCTTGGCCTGACAGGTTGGTTGGTGCAAATGGGCGTCGGCGAATTCCACTGGCACGAGGGCGATCACAAGATCATTTTACTCTTTCCAACCAAAGTACGTCCGTGCGCGGCGGCGATCGCGGATGGCTCACGTGCAATGTAGTGAAGTTCAACTCGACTGTGTCTTCTTCCCGCCGAAAGTGCCGCAAGGCCCACTTCGGTGCCCACTCGACCCAACGCCGCGTCTTGATGAGCGCGTCCTTGTCCAAGGACTTGCAGCAAAAGTACAACGTAAGTGAAAGTGTCGAACGAGAGAACGCGCTCTCGATACACTTTTTCAGCGCATAAGTCCATGTCGGACACCGTCTCGGCGGTGTCTGGCACTTCATGGCGGCGACTTGAACAAATTGTAAGTGTCGCGACGGTGTGTGTGTCCCCCCGTGGGATCTGTCGTCCCGACTACCTCGTCCTTCCGTGACCCACGTTTCGACGGGGAACGGAAGAGAGAAAGAGCCGTCCTGGTGTTCGCCCGCCTCATGTCGTGTCTAGGTGCGCTCCATCCCCATCCGCAAGGACGATGAAGTGCTCATTGTCCGTGGCTCGAACAAGGGCAAGGAAGGCCGCGTGACTCAAGTCTACCGCAAGAAGTTCGTCATCCATGTCGAGCGTGTGGTCAAGGAAAAGGTCAACGGCGCCGCCGTCAACACCGGCATCCACCCTTCCAAGGTCGTCATCACCAAGCTTAAGCTCGACAAGGACCGCAAGAAGATCCTGGAGCGCAAGAACCGTGCCGTCGGCGACAAGAACAAGGGCAAGTTTACCGAAGCCGACGTCGCCATGGCCAACGTCGACTAAGCGTGTCCGCCCTCTATCGTCCGTGGAAAGAGTAAACTGGTTCAAGGCTGGCGGGGTGTACGTGAAGCTCTTTTAACTTTCATAACGACTACGCCAGCCTCGTTCGTTCCACGTCTTGCAAATCTGTCGTCCTCCATTGCTCTTTGCCTCTGAGCTGCTACCGCCTCGAGTCATCGCGCACGTGCCAAAACGCAGGTGCATTGCTGCTGCGCCCGTTCTTAGCCCACGGACCAGCTCACTCTGTCCGCGCATGTTGGTTGTGTGGCCATTCCTTCATGCGACGACTCACTTGCTGGGACGACGCTAGCTATCACGTGCAAATATGTCCACATCCAAGTGCAGTTGCGCGGCGAACAAACGTGTAGGCTCTCGGGACGTGGACCGAGCCACTGCTACGCGTCGTCAATGCATGCAGCACCGCGTTGGGACGTAGCGATCATGGCAAGTTGCTCGTTGGCGAGGTGGCCATCCCGTTCGGTCCATCGAAGGTCGACTTGGACAGAGCCCACGACGCCGCCAGTCCGGGAATGCGCAAGCTGGACGGTCGTAGAAACAGGCCGGACCTTCGCCTCGGGCATCGTGACCTCGCCCGACCCGACCAACGTCGGCCTCGTATCGCCTGCATCATGAGGCATCTTGTGCAGCTCGACGGCGATGGTGGCGGCGTCTGGAACATGATCGTACGTCACTTCGAAAGAGATATCTTGGTCAAACACTGGCGACAGCTGCGACTCGTAGGAACTGCAGTCGACCGCGAGAAAGTAGACTGTCGTCGATGCCACCGACGGCGATGGGTCGTGTCGGCGCACGACCACGTCGTGGAAGAGGATCCGCAGTTCGAGCACCTTGCCTTGCCCATTGCCCCGCATGTCTTTCGTCGTGGCTTGCGCTCGAACCTGACGTTGTTGTTCGTGCAATGTCCGAGTGCGCTGGCTAGCTTGGCATGGTGCTGTTCTCGCCTGGTGGTTGTCAGATCCGGCGCTCCGGTGCAGCTTGTTCACCGTGTGTGCTTTCCAGAACGCAACCTCCAACGCGTGCTGCGCTCGCATCCGCTCGAGTTCTTGGACCAAGTCGTCGTTCAAGGCTTTCAGCACGGCTGCCTTGTGCTCGGTATCGCGGAGCAGCTGCCTCGTCCACTGTGATTTCGCTAAAGTGGTGTGGTAGTGATGGCCAGTGCCTGGAACGGGGGTGTCTGCCTGTGGCATCGACGGGTTGTCCAGGAAGCCTAGAGCAGCCTGCGGATTGGCCCACGTCGATTTCGTCGCAGCAGTCAGCGCCGCCACAAGCACTTCGTTGGTCGGGTCTTGCAACAACTGAACCTGGAGCTTCACAGCTTCATACTGCAGTTGCAACTCGTCTCGATCGAGACGCACATCCGCCTCGGCCTTGTTCAAGGTCTCCACTTGTTGTTGCAGCGTGCGAATCCGCGCTTTTAGGGCAGCATTCTGTCGCTGGACGACCTGATTGCGGTGTGTTTCGTTGTCCAGTTGAGCGGCAAGCACTCTAGCATGGCCTTCGACGTCTGCGAGCTGCACCATGAGCGTTTGGAGCGGCGCGTCACCAAGGAGGGGCCGTGTCGTTAGCGAATCGATGGCCTCGTGAAGGCGCAGGGACTCGTTCCGAAGGGTCAATACATCCTATAATGAGAGTAGCGTCCCATGCACACTCTTGACCCGAACGAACGCATCGAAGGAAGAGGAGGAGCGTACGTGGCGCAGATTGGCAATCGTGGCATCTTTAGACGGCACTTGGCAGGCCACGTGCTCGAGCTGGTCCACTTGCCGCTGCAGCTCGACGTTTTCGTCGAAAAGACACTGCATCTTGGCCACCGACTGCGCTTGAATCGCGACGGTCGTGCGCATTTGGGCCTGCAAGTCGGCATACTTTTGCTATGATGACCGTTCAACCGAGTCAGTTTTCGCATCCTGCCAAAGGGATCTGGCGTCTCCATGGCAGGCTTGTAGTGGCCAGTGCTATCGAGACACAAGGCACTCACTTCTAGCAGCGTCAAGTGCGCCGACGACACTCGGGAGCTCATGGCAATTCCATCGATGTCGCCTTTGTCGTATGGAAGAGCGGGAACCGAGTCTAGTGAAGGCGGCGCTGCCACATTTCCGTCCATCCGATCCAATTGGTCTTGCAGCATCTCGTTCTCCTGACCAAGTCGCGCCAAGTCGACTTCCATCGCGCCAAGCTGGTCTTTCAAGGCCGAAATGAGCCCTGTGGCGGTGGGACCCATGCTCGCGGTTGACGGCGGGAAGGATTCGCACGCTTGAACGGCTGCGTCGACGAATGTAGCTGCGGGTCGAGCATGCTCACGAGCATTGGACCGTTGAGATGCAGGTGTTCTCCGACTACTTGAATATTTGGAATCGTTTGACTATGGTGTAAATGGAGTCAGTCGTCGCGTGACGGTGGTGTCGACTAGCTAAACACACTCGCGCTAGACGCAGCTCGAGCTCTCGGCACTTGGTCGTCAGTGCCTGGTTCTCTCTGTGCAACGTTCGAATGTACTCTAGACCCGAGTGAACTACTGTCCACCGAGAGAGGCAGACATACCATGCTCGGACTTGCCATCGACAACCTCCAGCGACAAACTAGATCGGATCCGTGTGCCTTGTCTGAAGTAAAACGTGCACTATGAGCGTTCTCGCATCGCTCGTAGGTCCCTACTGTTTGAACTCTTCCTGAAGTACTCCGTGCTTCGTCTTCAACTCCGCATGTGCATCCCGCAGCCGCTCGTACTTGTCACGCCAATCCGAGCCGCTGTCGTCGCCACCGCGTGTCATTTTCGATCTTTTCACCCAAAGGCTCCACTTTTATCCGGATCACCATGTCTCTCATTGCGATTGGCTAACTTGTTCTCATCATCCGGATTTCCTGAACATGCGCGGTGCGGCGGCTGGATTCATTCGCGGCCGCTTGCCATGGCAGTCGCAAGTGATGCCGCGACCGAGACACGGTAGCTACCAGTGGCATGGCCACTCTACAGGAAAGCTTGGGTAAGGGTTGCGCACCCGACGCACGCAACTCCGCAGAGAATGCACGACGTGCCGAGATGCTAACACGCTGTTTCGCCGTTTGTGCGCGCGAATGGACGTAAATGCACAATTACTCCCGTGGCATTTGCGTCAAAGCGCTTAGGGATCGATTCCTTCGTCACACGTGGTGGCATTGACAACGTGTGTGCAGGACCGTCATCAACGTTGTGGCACAACACAGCCTCCATCCAATGCGTCCCCACCAGTCACAGCTCGCATGAATACCTGCCACGACTAGAGCTGATACCACTTCTTCTTGGCTTCCTTTTCGTTGAACGCTTTCATCGTGTTGTAGAATTCGTCGGCGCGGGTTTTCAACCGCTCCGTCTTTTCTTCGAGGCCCGAGAGCTTTTCCCCTCGCAGTTGCAAGTTCTATGCCGCGTCGGGAGGCACGCATGAAGTGATGGCTGGCGGTACCTGCGACGCTTGTTGGAGGGCATCCATGGTGCCGCGGAGGTTGGATTGCGTCGTCGCGGCCGGTGGTAGTTGGTGGCGGTCGCCGACGAGTTGCTTGCGCTGGTCTTGGTAGAAGGATGGCACGACAAACACCTGCGTACACGTCGCTCAGCAATCGTCCACATGGCGCGAGTGCTCGACCGTGTTCAGGTCGACCTCCTTCGCAGCAAACAGCTTCAAGAAGCCAGACCCTTTCTTCTCCACCACACGTTCGTTTCGTTCGTTCCCTTGGAGCGGGATCTGCGGCGCCACAACCTGCGTGTTGGTCGAGGCCTGCCATGAAACCCAAACGTCAGTCGCATGCAAGCAATCGATGACGCACCCACTGCAGCATCGTGACGTCGGCTAGCATGTCTGGGTGGAAGATCGAGTACTCGGCAACGTCGCCAAAGTCCGTGCCGAGAACGATTGTCCCGGACGCATTGATGTGGACATGCGTGTGGTCAAAAGCATACCCCGCCAGTACATCGGATGGACACGAAGCGCTCCAAATCCAGACCAAACTTGGCAGCGCCAGCACGTACACGCACCCGGTTTGGTCGAGCGCCACGAGCGCGTGCTCCATCCTACAAGCACGGCGCATGCAGCCATCGCCTACAACACAAACACCTACCGTCCTTCGACAGGGATCGCAGTGATTGCCATGGTCGCGACGGCGGCCCGCAACTCGACGGCAGCATCAACGCGAACCACCACTTCGTTCTTGGCTGCATCGTCTGGGTCGGTCGGCATGCATGCCGGCGGCACTGGAGCGTGATACACCTGGATCGACCGGCCCCGCGCACAGACAAGGTACGGCGACCGCGTTTCCGCCGGGTCGACGGGCAGGTGGTACGTGAGCTGCTTCGCCACGCTGGCCAACGACCCGACGACAGCCACAACGTCCGCTTTTTTCAGCCGACCGACATCGACGCCGTTGATTCGGACGAGGGTGCTTCCCGGCACGATGCCCATCCCTTGCTGCAGCTGGGCATTCGCGTTGTCCTCGACAAACTCCTGGCCATCCACTCGACGTCAACGTACGATTCGCTTCGACTCACGTACCTTCAACACAGCGCGGTCGGCGACATCGTCGACGAGGAAGATGCCCAACGGGCCGGCGTCGACGCACACCGTGATGCACCTAGACTCGTCGTACGGGATGGACGGCGACGGAAATGCACCGACGAGGTTGTCGACAAGCGCCTGGGTCGCAGCGTCTACAGACAACGACGGCGCGGCGCTCGAATCGCCTAGAGTCAACCAGCTATATCCAGCACCGTGTCATTGGCGCCGTACCTCCACCCGCATGCAGACTGGACTCGGTCAGCGCTTCCACAGACACGTCTCCGCGCCCGGTTTCGTCCATCAAGAGCATCGACGACACTCCCCCGGAGCCGTTGGCCGATTCGTCCGTCCTGCACGTGAGCAGCAGCGCCGCGGTCGGTACGTCGTACACTTGGACGCGGCCATTGCCGCGCCCGACAAAGAGCGACGATCCATGGAGCAAGAGCGAATCCACCGACCCAGGATTCGACTCGTCGTCGAGCGCCAGGTCGAAAATGACCAACTTGTACGTCTGCGACGCGACGTGGACGATCGAGACAACGCCGCAAGCATCGCTGAGCGCGACATCCATGCACGTACGAGTCATGGCGATGCGCTCGATCGCGCTGGAATGCACATGCAGCGAAAAGACAAAGGTAAAGCCCGCGCCACTCGTGTACGTGAAGAACGCAACGTTGCCGGTCAATGTCCCGACCACCAAGAGCCGACTCGTCGGTGAAAACGACACTTGCGAAATCGAGTCCTGCAGCACAGACTTTACATGCAGCACGTGGAGCAGGTTGAGCTGGCCGCGACTGGCGCCATGGGCCGGCGGCAGCGATTCCCAAATTTTCACACGGCTGTCGGCATGCGCCGTCACGATCCAGCACGCTCGTTTTGTGTGGCGTTCTTTGATGCTGTCTGTCGCGCTGTCGTCATCGACGTCCGTGCTCGACGACAAGAGCAGTCGAGGCAGCGATGGGTACTCGATGGTCGTGGCGCCGCCCGTCAACGGTTTTGTCCAAGTGGCGACGGGAATGCCCGCGCGTCCTTCTTCAGACGAACTACTCGCTTGCTCGTCATCGTGCAGGATCGGTTGCGACGAAAACAGATCGTCGCGGAATGCCCCGTTGTCCGCCGTGCGCAGGTCCAGCACGTGCATGGCGAGAACGTCGCAACTTTGAAGGTGATGGGAGGTCGGCGAGATCGGGGACGACACTGGCGGCGACGGTATCCAGATCCATTCTTCTTTCGGCGTGTGGGGCTGGGCCAACAAACACGGGAGCATGTGCATGGCCAAGGACGGCTTGACACCGTCGAGGGGGTTGCCCGCCAGCACAATCGCCGTGAACGGCGCGCTCGACGACGCGGCTGGAACGACGGCCGACGCGATCGCAAAGTCCATGGCGGACGAGTTGTTTTGCGTGGGGAGCACCGTCGTTTGCCACGGAAACGAGCCATGCTTCGATGGGGTCGAGAGCTCCGACAGCGCCTCCTTTGGGCCTTTTTGCGCATCCCGTGCTGGATACGAGATCGTGAGACTGTTCCAGGACGACACGATCAACGCGCCTGGCGACGCCGCGTGGGTCGTGAGCCAGAAAATGCGCTGGTGCACAACACTCGCGTTGGAAAGAGACTGCGCGACGCGACTAGAGGCCGCGGAGGCATGCCCAGGTGGAAGGAATGTGTCGACCGTGTACACAGCTTGCTGTTGCTTGTCCGAGCGAGACACACCGATCGCCCCGGACGCAAAGATCGCGGCAAAGCGCTTTCCACTAGCATGCCATGCCAAACTTCGCACGGGACTCGGATTCAAACTCGACTGTGTTTTCAACAGCACGCGCTGCTTGGCAACGTCCCACACATACACGACATCGGAAGCTTCATATGCCAACAGCAATTGGTTCGGATCGGTGGGACTGCACGCCATGGCGCTGACAAAGATAGCGTCCGCTTGGTCCTTGGAACCGGCGACGCCGACATCCCCCGGGTAGATGGCGTAGGACGCGAAATGGCAGGTGGTTTCGTGCACGACCTTGCACAACACAACAAGGCATGGGGCTCAGGGACATGGAACGGGTGGCAGCCATACCTGGACGGATCCGTCGTCCAGCGCAAGGTAGAAAAATGGTGTGTCTTTGTGGTGGCGAATGGTTTCCACTGCTGTGATGCGACTTGTCGTCCAGCTTGGACAAGAGTGTGAGGGAGATGGATGGAAAAACCATCGATTTACCTCGATGGTAGCGCTGCAACCACGACATCCTTGCATTGCTGCAGCAGCGCGAGGTCGATGACTTGGACGGCGCTGTCGGACATGACGAGCACGACCTTGCCACTGCTGGTGTAGTCGAGAAACGTCGCGGTTGCACCGGCGCTGAACGACGAGACTCCTGTGCTACGCCCTTGGTCTTCGCGACATGGAACGTATATTTCCAGGCCGTCGTGTCCGTACACTTTCAATTGTTGGTACCCCGTCGCGACTACGAGAAGGCCCAACATTGGCACGTAGCAAATTCGACTCGGTTGACTTGGTAAGCCGTGGTGGCCGATCAGACGCAAGTCGAACATGCCCGACACGAGCTTGGATGGGCATGCATCGCCGCTCCCTCCAGGCACTAGAATCCCTCCTTTTTCACCCTTCTTCTTGCGCGGCGACCCTGCTTGATTCCCCATGAATTCCGCGCCGTTTCTTGCGCGACAAGGGAAAAATACCGAACTCGATTGGATACAGTCCGGAAAATCGAGTTTATCCGGATGACGAGTTCCTGTTCGGCAAATCCACCATGTGCATCGATGCTCATGACGCCCGAACGAGACGAATGCCGCCAAAACATGTGCAACTACCGCCTCAAACTTCGAGTGCACAATGGCATAGCCCATGGTTCATGTCAAGGCATTCGTCCCAAAACGTTGTGGGGGGCATTTCTGTATCTCTCACGTACGAACGATTTTCTAACGTTTGTATTTTTTGGAGCGAAGAATCATAAGCAATTTAAAAATCGAGCTGTCACGTCCTGTATACAAAGATCCAGTTTACCGTGGTCAATTTTTTTAAATTGAGATCGAAATGACCCGAAACTCCGTCGAGCGGTCCATCGACGATGTGCCCAGAAGACTAGCTGGAGGCAACAACCTTGCCCACGACTCGATACTTGGACTGGAACTTTGCTTCCCAGTCAGCCAGGGTCTTGATCTGCGTCTCCGTCAACCCTTCTTCGGTTGGGTGATCAAGATTCTCCTGGTCAAACGACATAAGCGCCAACGCGCGAGTGGCATCGCGACCGGCAAACATTTTGTAGCCTCCGTTGGGTCCGTAGTGCTCCAGGCCACCCAATGTCACGTCGTAAATCACCCCTCGCAGCGCCACGTACACTGGCAACACAGTGTACGCGCTCAGTTCGTCTAGGGTCAGGTCCTTTTGCTGGAGAACGCGTCCCACGATCGGATACGAGTTGTAGTCAGTGAACTTGTCGACCCAGTCCTTGAGGATCTCTTTTTCCATAAAGTTGAGATCGCTGATGTCCGTGTTGTCCAAGTCGGCTGGTTCAAATGACATCTTGGCCAATGCGCGGGCAGCTTCTCGACCTGCAAACAAATGGTAGCCTTCCCCGGGTCCGTAGAAGTCGCGCCTTCGGCTTACATCGTAGACCACGCCTTTGATTGCAATGTAGATGGGCTTGTCACCCTCTCCATTGAACTCCCTGAGCTCGTCCAACGTGAAGTACCGTTGCTGTGGCACTTCAGGCTCGCCAGTGGGCTTCTCTTTGGAAGGCGCCTTCGACACTGGCGCATGTGTAGGTGTTGCCGGCGTGGACAGATATGAATACACAACGTACGCCGCCGCCACGGCCACGGCGGCGACTACGACGTCGTTGCTCAGGCTAAATTCCATCGGCAAAGTTTAATGAGATGGTTCCAGAAGCGCAGACATAAGCCATCCGGAGAATTATCCGGATAAGCGATGATGGCGCCCAAGAATCACGCCTCCCGACGGCATGACGATGGAGGTGCAGGGACGGTCACAGGTAACTCTGTATTGCGAGTAGACCACCGCTAGTAGAACTCGTCCTCGGTGCGATTAAGCTCATCGCGAAAGGCCATGATTTCTGCCACGTGTTTCTCCTGCACGAAGGATGGGACCACCGTGCATCGCATTCTTCTCGGCGTACCTTCATGTGGATGATTTCAGCTACACGCTTGCGGTTGCGCGACCATTCCTCGCCCTTGGTCGTCTTGATGATCTGTGCAACAGTTCAACACATGTGAGGTCATCCTTCCGGCATCGCTCGTCGAGAGCGCCATACATCGTGGATCTTGGCGATGTTCTGTTCACGCATCAAGTCTTCTTGGGCGAGGAGTTTGCCGATATGAATATCATGCGAGCCATTGATTGCGTTGTTGAGTGCGTCCCTACGATGCATGTCCGATCGACGCCACGACAACGATTCGTCCTTCGAGTTACGTACCGATCGTTGAGAATTGCACGACATTCGTCGCTTAAGAAATCGTCGTCTTCACCATCTTCAGTTGCCAAACGCTCGAGCAGGTTGGCCGCAAGCTACGTAATTTCCATCACGCGTCCACCCCTTGGATCGCACGCTTTCCTGTGTACCTGGGTCACGGCGTCGAAAAAGTTGTTTTCGAGCTGCTCGACGTTCCGGAAATGCTCGGTCGCAATGCCTCTCGATTCGTTCCCAACCGCTTCAATGCGTACATCCAGTGTCGAAATCGCTTCGTGCGCAAATTCCACCAAAGTCGATTCGATCCCCATGAGCTCCGTGTTGAGCTCGTGGCACGCGGCTTGAGCTTCCGCCGTGGCGCGGGTGACATCAGCTTCGGTCGTCAACGCCGCCGACTGCTTGAACACGCGCTTCACCACGCGGCGATACTGTTCGCACTGCGCGATGCTCGCCTTCTGCGTCGCCGCCTTCTCTTTGTCGTACTGGACCTTGAACGCCTCGCATTCACGCTGGATGGCTCCATGTTTCTCGAGGAGCACGACCTTGATGTCCTCCGTCGCGGCTTTGACCTTTTCCGTAAAGTCGTCGATCAAGTTGCGCAATCCTGGGGTATGTCTCATCTGAGTCTGATTCGGATTCGGATTCCGGCGTGGGACGGACCTGGCAGGACTTCGATCTTGCTGATCTCAGAGTCCTCTTTGAACATGTCGCTGAGCAACGTCTGGGGCGACCGCCGTGAGTGTCAGTCGGGCACGAGTGATGACGCTACCTCGAGGAGGTTCACGTTGGCCTCCTTGAGCATGACGTTGTACTGTTTGTACTCGAGTTCCCGCGCCAACGCAGCATCTTCAATGGCCTTGACCTCCTTCATCTCCTCGAGTTCGTCCTACATCATGCCAAGTCGACGTGTCCGCGGTGTGGCCCTGTGGGGGGGATTGGCACCTGGTATTGCTCCCTCGCTTGCACGACTTCGGCCATGTCGACCAACGAGTAGTCCAAGTACTTGAGTTTGTCCAAGTGGGCCAAGACGAACCTTCGTCATAACGTGAGGACTGAGGTCGGGCAAGCAGCGACGACGCACGTACGATCGATATTCGGGGTCGGAACACACGGGGTTGCCTTCCAGGTTGAGCACCCGTAGACCGTCCAAGCACTTGAGGTAGAGCAATCCGTCCGTGGTTGCGAGAGAGTTGTTGCCCACGGACAGCACTTGGAGGCTCTTGAGCGTGTCGAGGTTCTCGAGTTTCGAAATGTTGTTGTTGTACAGCGTCAGGTCTTGCAACTTTGTGAGGGTCTCGAGGCCCTTGATCTCGGCAATGTTGTTGAACGACAGGTCGAGCCACGTGAGGCTCGTGAGGTGACTGATGCCTTCGATCTCTTGAATCACGTTGTTGTCGAGCTGAAGCTTGACGAGGTTTTTCAACGTCACCAAGTTGTCGATCTTGAACACGTTCTTGAATGACAACGACAGCACCTTGAGCGCGGCAAAGTCGACGGCGTCCGTGCCGGACGCCATGTCGTTGGTCGCGTTCTCGTTCGCAGGGTCGACAGCGTCCTTCAGTACACACTTTTGAATCATGTCATCGCTGATCACCGACACCTCCGCGTTGCGGATTCCGAGACGGTGCATCGCGCGCGAGATTGGTTTCACCCGTGTAACGCCCACGGCATAAACAATAAGCTTGAAATTTTTTACAAAAAATACCACGAATTCGTCCAAACGATGCGTCGTTGACAACCCACCCACGTTCACGAAAATGTGTCCAAAAATTGCGCGAAATCCGTCAAATATCGCGAAACTTGTCCGTTTCCAAGTGGACCCGACGTTTCAAAGCGCGGGGTTCGTTTTTGAAATTGACCAGAGCCGCGGCGGCGGATGGGGTGCACGCTGTGCACGATGACGGTGGGCGAACCAGTTGCTGGTGTGCCAACAGCAGCATCGTCCGAGCGGCAGTTGGAGTTGGAACGCTCGGAAGCGCGAGTCCAACGTGGCGTCACGAGTGTGACGGAAGGGGTAGTCGAGCTCATGTTGCGAGGTCGACGCCAGGGCATCTTCAACGACGACTCAGACGATGGAGCAGCGGCTGTCGACACGGACGATGTAGACGTCGATGTTCCAGTCACGCTCTCCATGGAAGACACGCTACTGATTGTCGAGTCGTTGCGCGCAAACGAACTGTTTTCGTGCCTCGAACCGTCGCAACTCAACATCCTTGCAAAGCGCATGACGTTGCGCCGCGTACAAGGCGGAGAATTCGTGTACTCACAAGGAGACCTTGGCGACACGTTCTACATTATCAAGTCAGGTACGACGAGTTGCATCGTTGTCGTCGTGGGTGGATGGATCCAAATCGCTTCGGTCGTTTCTGTAGGCCACTTCGACGTGACGACAAACGACGATCGATTGCGTGCACTCGTGGTCGGCAACTCGTTTGGCGAACTCGGCTTGTTGTACAAGTGCATTCGCTCCGACACAGTTGGACTGAGCGACGAAGGCGGGAACGTTGGCGAGTTGTTTTGCTTGAAGGCATGTCATGTCGCGATTGCCACGATTGCATCTGTGACCGTTCTGTTGACAGGGCCGAACATTTCGAGACATCGTGGCGAAAATGTCGACGGGGTCGATCAACATCTCAAAGGATGCACTGCGCAGAGTCTCGCTGTACGTTGTTCGATGGACCCGTCGACGCCATTCTGCGCACGAGCCATGATATACCCATGCTGCAGGCTCGAATCGCTCACGGAAAGCCAACTCGACACCGTTGCCGAAGCGGTCCGAGCGTTGCATTTTCGAGAAGGCACGGCATTGTTCGCGATTCGGACCCGACGTGATGTGTGCCGATGTAGGAGACATCATCGTGCGCAAGGGCGAGCAAGGAAATGTCTTGTACATGATCCAAGCGGGCACGGTGGGGGCGTGTGGCATGTGGACGTCGGAATCATGCATTCGTCGCAGGTCGTTTGCACGGACATTGGGGCATTGAATGACATTGAGCTCGGCGACGGCGACTACTTTGGCGAACGCGCCTTGATCAAGGATGAGCCTCGCGCCGCGACAGTGTATGCCAAAACGGACGTCCACGTCATGGCGCTCGATCGCGGCGTGTTTACGACCGTGCTTGGCCCGCTCCACGAGATCATCAAGTATCGTGCTCTTCGACGGCGACGCGGGCTCATCTTGCATGGACAGGCACAACCTCATGATGCGATCGGTCCAGAGCATTCCCCTACTCAAAGACCTCTCCGACGTTCAAAAGCAACAGCTCATCGAGCGAACGCCGTTGGTCCCGTTCGCGCCAAACCAAGCCATTTTGACGGAAGGCGAGGTCGGCAACGACTTTTACATCGTCGTCAGTGGCAAGGTCCATGTAACGCAAGCCGCGGGCGATCGCGTCGTGCACTTGAACACGCTGTCGTGCGGCGATTACTTTGGCGAAAAGGTCCCGATCGTGTTGGTCGTGACATTCACCTGAATCTCGTTGTGGCAGGCTGCGCTCCAGCACGTACCCGCGCGGCGGAATGCAACCGTGACGGCCGCCACCGCCGTGGAATGCCTCGTTGTCGACCCCACGCTCTTCCAGTCGATCAGGGAGCCCATCCAAACAGCGCTCGAGTCCAACATGGACGCAAGAAACCAAATGAGCCAAGACAAGGTGGGAGCCAAGTGTATGGATCGGGGCATTTTCATGTTGGACGTGCCAGATCTTTGCCGCGTCCATCACGGTGGCGTCCCTCGAACGGATCAAGGTCCTCGGCATCGGGTCGTTCGGCCTCGTGTACATTGCGCGGCACACGCCGTCGGGCCGGTTCGTGGCGGTGAAGGAAATGTACAAGGCCCGGTTGGAATCATCCAAGCAAATGGGGCACGTCCTCGCCGAGAAGGAGCTCCTCAGCACGTTTCACCATCCATTCGTTCTCAAGTTCCTTGTCGCGTTGCAAGAAGAGCGAAAAGTGTACATCGTGACCGAATCGTTGATGGGCGGCGAGCTCTTCCAACGAATTGTAAACGCTGCCGGCGTCCCGACCCCGCTCCCCATGCCGCACGCGCGATTTTACGCGGGTTGTGTCGTCAAGGCGCTGAAATACCTCCACACGCGCAACGTGGCGTACCGCGACCTCAAGCCCGAAAACATGTACGTGCATGGATCGGCATCGCGATGGCCACGCACGTCATGATGATGGTTCGTGGCAGACTCCTGGACAACCACGGATATGCCAAGGTTGTCGACTTTGGGTTTGCCAAAAAGGTGACGAAAAAGACGTACACGTTGTGTGGCACCCCCGAGTACTTGGCGCCTGAGATCGTCATGGGGATCGGCCACGGGTGCATGGTGGACAACTGGGCGCTCGGCATCTTGATCTTCGAAATGGTATGCGCGCGCGAGATTGCGAGATGTAGACGAGTGCGTGCGACTTGACAACAAAACTACTAGGTGATGGGCGACTCGCCGTTTGCCGACGCCAAGGACGACCACATGACGATCTGTCGGTCGATTTTGCGCGGGAGAATTGAATTCAAGAAGGACGCGGATCCAGAATGGCGACGACTTGTGGAAGGGCTCTTGACGCGCGAGCCCACGAAGCGCATGAGTTGCCTGAGTGGCGCCGTCGAGTCGCATCCATGGTTCGCCGGGTTTGCGTGGGACGATCTGCTCGCGCTCAAGATGCCGGCACCGTGGACACCCAACATCGTTGCAGGCGACGACGTGCGATGGTTCAGTCCCGTCGACGCGGAGGAGCTGAAGGACCTCAAGGAATGGGACTTTGTCCGGCCAGAGAAAGATTGGAGCGCGTTTTAAGTCACGTGGATTTGTGTTTGTGTGAGGAGTCCCGTCCACGCATGTGTCGATCCTGCGTGTATGGCATCTCAGGGACTACAACCATCCGCCGCTCCCCTACCAGCGCATGAAATCGCCGTGGCGGCGTCCGCGCCGTCGTCATGCTACGCTGCAAAAGCTTGTTCCGGGGTGACTAACATTGTCATGGGCCGTTCGAAAACTGTGGTCGGAACAACGTTAAACGCATGGCCCTTGAAAACACAATGGGTTTTACTCGATCGCTCATGCAGCCGACAAAGACACAACAGCACGGCTGGGAACACGCCATGTGCACTCTTGCCTCTTGTGCGCCGACGCGGGTCTGAAACAACCCCGTGCGATCGAATGGGCTGCTTGTTTTACAATGAACAAATCCTATAAAACGTATATCGGTTGAACGTACGTTTTTTCAATGGAACGGCCGCAACGTAAACGCCGCATGTTACACCGAGCAGAATGGAGAACGCCCCTTATCGACCTGCGGCATCTCGGTCCGAGATGAAGACTCGCGACGCGGCAGACCCGCGGCCTAACCGAGCCATGTCGTCGAACGACTCGGACGATGACTCTGGTGACGAGGAGATGGGAAAGCAGCCGTACACCCGAGGCCGTCCCAATACCCTCGCTTCGCGTGGAACAGGAGCCGGCGACGCGCCGCCGCCGTCGGCTTCATCTCGTCACAACACGCGTGCTCCTCCGTCCAAGACCCGACGGTCCTTGTATTTTCAGATTGTCATGGGGCTGGCCGCGATCGGGTGCTTTGTCCTTGGCGTGTTTGTCAAGTACACGAACCTGAGTTCGGGCATTATTTGGGGCTCGGTGCTGTCGGCGTTCTCGGTCGTGACCGTCCTGCTGTCCTATGCGAGTGATCCCCTCAGTCGTCAGCATCCGAACCCACTGGTGTTTTGGCGCACGATCGCGGACGGATTCTTTGTCGTGCGGTTGCTGGCCGAGCAATTTGTACGCGCGCGCGACTCCCGCGCCGCTTATTCTCACCTTGTCCACACCACGTAGGTGCGATGCGTAAACTACCAGTGTTCTCCGCTCTGCGTCACATTCAACTGCGGTTGCGCGTTCACCCGCGACGCGCTGCTTGGGTACCTTCCCGCAGGCAACGACACGTGCATCTTCTTTGCCGGGTTCTTTCAATTCTCGCTCCTCGCGTCCGAGTGCTGGTTCCTCTGCATGACGTTGAACCTGTTTCTGTCTCTGACGAATCCATTTACCGACTTCAAGCGCAACACGCGCTTCTTCCACGTCTTCTCGTGGGGCGTGCCGCTCGCGTCGGCGGTCTTGCTGGCCAGCCTCGCCGACTTTGCCGGGTACTCGGACTTTGACACGTGCTGGACAAACGCTCTCCGCGGAGTACGTACACCTCCTTCCATCTCCCCATGGTCCCATCTGCGCACTCTGTCAGGCGACGACCATTCCACGGCTCACGGACACGTGCGTGAACGAAAGCCGCACGTTCATCCTCAAAGACAAGACTGGGTCCCTCCAAGCCAACTACATCAGCTGGGGCTTCTTCTACGTCCCGATGCTCGTCTTCATCGTAGTCGGGCTCGTCGTGTGGATTTGGACGTACAACCGCCTTCGCGAGGGCCTGCCGGAAACGTACGGCGTGCGCAAGCAGTCGATCGATCGCGCGCGCTTCCTCGTCGTCGCCGTATCGATGTACTGGACCATCATCTTTGCCGTCTACGCCACCGTACGACCGCGTGCGATGATGGCGTCGATGCTGACCGCGATGCGACTAGTTTTTGAGCCTGTCGGAAGGCGACACGAAGCAGCGGTGGAAGGAAGTGGTCAACTTTTTGATGGCGTCCAAGGGCTACGTCGATCTGGTCATTTGGTTTCAACTGAACGACTTGCGCGTACCGACGCCGAGTGCGCTCTGCTCCAAGAACGACCAGACCGTCGACGTCGACTTGAACCCGCAGGTGAACGCCGCGCTTCGTCGCGAAGTGCTCTTCTACACAACGTCTGGCATCATCCAGGCGGTCCAGCAAGCGGAAACCCTGGCCGAGCACGAGCGGGTGCAGCACCTCGCGTTGCGGCCCCAAGGCACGCCGCCGCCGTCGTCGCAGCACTACACGAAAACCTTTCACGACTACGAACCGCACGCGTTCCGGCGCATTCGCCAGTGCTTCCACGTAGACAACATTCGGTACCTCAAGTCGCTGTCGTCGACCGCCAAGGAGCGGCTGTCGGAAGGCGCGAGTGGTGCGTTTATGTTTTTTTCTGGCGACGGATCGCTCATCGTCAAGAGCACGTCCCCCGACGAGTGCAAGTTTCTTCGCGGCATCGCCGACGCGTACGCGACGTACATGTGCACGCACCCGTCGACGCTGCTCACGCGGTTCTACGGGTGCCACTGCCTCGAACTGTACGGGCAACAGTTTTCGTTTGTTGTGATGGCCAACTTGTTTGCGACGCCGCAGACGATCCACACGCGGTTCGACATCAAGGGGTCGTGGGTCAACCGAAAGGGCGGCCTCCCCAAGCGCGGCAAGAAAGTCACGTGCCGGCACTGCAATCGCAAGTACGTGTACCAGAGCACGGCCAAGGACGATCTCAACTGCGACGTTCGCCTCGGCGGCCACGAGCCCAACATTGTCCTCAAGGACAGCGACCTCACGCAAAAGCTCAAGCTCGACACGAACGTGGCGGTCGCGCTGTACCGCCAACTCGAAGCCGACAGCAACATGCTGTGCGAGTTTGGTATTATGGACTATTCGCTCCTCATGGGCATCCACGATGTCGAGTTCAAGGTCGATGCGGTCGATGACGATGACGACGAAACGACCGTCGTCCGCCCGCCGCGCCGCGTTCCCCGGTCCGGCAAACGCGTCGCCAACACGGTCGTCGGTCCCGCGTACTACCACTTGGGTGTGATCGATATCCTCCAAACGTGGACGCTGCAGAAACGCATGGAGCGCTTCGTCAAGGTCCACCTGCGCCGCGTCGACGGCGACGGGCTGTCCGCGATCGCCCCCGACAAGTACAAGAAGCGCTTTCAAGCCAAGATGGCCGAGATTCTGAACGTCGGCCACTTGATTGGAACTCCCCAGCAACGCGACCTGTACACTGCCGTCCAGAGCTCTCAAATGGACATTGACGCGTCCGAGGTGAGCGGCGTCGTGACCGATGTCCATCACGGGAGTGGGTACGTCGCTCACACGGGCGCCAACCACCATGGCGAAGGATACACGGCAGACCATATTCACTTGTAATCGTACATGCGTGTCAAAATTGCACGTCACACACACACAACGGGGGCGTGTTTTGAGTTAGAAGGGAGATGGGACTTAGAAGATCGCCAACTTGACTTCCATGACGTCGTGTACGCGGAATTGCGGTGCTTCCGGGGAGTCTTGGGGGTCTAATGCACAACATGGTGAGCAAGGAGGGAGTTGGCTGGCGGTGACGGTACCGTTGAGGATATCAGTAAAGTCGAGCGTGTCATCGTTACCAAGAACCGTGTCCAGACCGCATCGGGAGCTCGGCAGACCCGGGAGACGCGTGTGTTGTTCAAGGAGGATCTTTTCCGTGCGAAGGCGCATCGCTGCTGCCTTGCCGTAGATTTGTTCCACCGAGCGCATCTTGCCTTCAAACCCACGCAGGCGGCGATGGGTTTCGAGGCGCTGGACTTCATGCACCGGGCGGGTATCTTCCGAGGCACGTTGGAAGCCCACACGCATGAGGTCCGGTCCAGCGCGAAGCAGCGGCAACGAAGAAGCGTCCATGATGCACGTGATCTTGGGCTATGATGTGGGGTGGGGAAATATCGGCGATTCTCGAAAGATATGCGTAGGGAAATATAATATTTTGCAGGTTTCTTGGCAAGATAGCACCCGATGTGGAACGATACACCCGGGTTTTAACGTTTAACGTACAATGTTCACGTTAAACGTATATGTTTGGAGAGATTGGCGAAGCGGCCGAGCGACCGTCCTCCTCGTAATTGCAGTTGAAAGCTACCGATCGTGTGCAGCATCATGCATGAGTCAGCTTGAAGGGTTTGGATCGGTGCAAGTAGTGTATTTGGCCAGTGTTTCAGCAGTTAGAACCAGGCAGAATTATGTTGTCGCATGGTCCTAGAGGTGTTAAACCTAATAAAACTTGATTTCAAGTTTCGATCCTGCAACCGAAGACTCTCTGTTGAGAGTGCTTGGAAATAATGCCGCAGACATGATTTGTTTGGTCCAGTGAAGATGGTGTGGCATGCCGCAACCGTCCGCTTCTTTCGACGCGTACACAGCAATGCTCAGCGACATGGACGTGGTCGAAGAAGCTTTCGCGCGGCTATTGTCTCGCCTGTTGTTCTTGAGTGGTGAGCGAGCAATACACGAGGAAAGCAGTGTCGTGTCGATTTTATTCTGACGACTGCGCAATAAACGTAAATTCTACGAACGTATTTATAAAATAATTGTCACGTCGATTGTCTCAAAATTCAGCATAGAGTGTATACAATGGAATTAAAATTCTACTCTCTCACTCACATGTCGCGATCGCTCTCCGACGTGGTCCCATTGACAAAGGAGGCCGTCGCCTTCGCTGGTCTCGCTCGTCCTTCCACACCTCCGTGGGCCCGACAACTCGATCATGGGGCACTTGATATGCTGCGGACGTCGTCGTAACACCAACGCGCCATCCGCTTCAAGCGACGCAAACGAAGACGGTGTCGAGAGATTCCGGCGATTCTGGGACGACAAACTCAAGGAAGTTGCCGACTTGTTGTCGTTGGGACGGTCGTCCGAGACCGAAGCATCGCGCAATCCATTCCACGTGACGTTGCAGCTGTACGCGCACAAGGACGTGGTGGATCAACTCTTTGTCTGCTACGACGAGCACCCGGACGAGGTAACACGGGTGCCTTCCCGAACACTCATCATATGTGGGCGATGTAGGTCGAATTCTACATCCCCCAACTCTGCACGTTCCTCCTGCATGGCCAGTACGACAAGAACCCGGCGCTGGAGTTTTTTCTCTTGTCGCAATGCCGCCGGTCGCTTCAATTTGCCCATCGATTGCATTGGTTTCTCGACTCGTTTTGTACACGCGGGACGACGTATCAGTCGGAAGGGCTGAGGTACGACGCCGTCCGCGGCCAATATCCGCTCGTACTCCATGGACATTCACGACCGTGCGACCCAGTGCCACCGTGAACACCCCGTCTGCAGAAGACGGACACCTCTTGCATGAGATTGCCCGGCAGGGCGGCGTACCTGCCAAGCTCTTTAGCATGGGCCTCACCGAAGCTGAGTGCGCCGTGTCCAAGGAACTGATGGCGACGCGACTCATGGCGTTGCAAGTCGCGGAAACCAGCATGGACAGCCCCGACCACTTGGCCTTGGTACGTATGGGGGAGAGGGGCTGTGTTCGTTCGTTGGTCGCAACCAAGCGTCGTTGCTGGCTACGTTTCTCGGCAACGATTTGTTTTGGCGAGTTGTCTCGGCGATTGTTTAGGCCACTTGGCCTTCCATTTTGCATCAACTCGGCTGGACACGTTGCTCACGGGCCGATTGTTTCGCAAATAGTTTCAAGCCACTCCCAGGTTTCTGCGGTCGCTCACCGACCTGGCCGACCGGCTCATTCCGCTTCCCATCGCCGACCGCAAGCTCCATCTTCGCCATGGCCTGGCCGAGGTTAGTCCAGCGGGCGGACGGCGACTGCTCCTGCACCGTGTTGACCTGCCTCCTCGCTTCATGCACAGATCGAAGCCACGTTCTTCCCGACGGCGTCCACCATCTACCTTCCCATTGGTGACACGATGCATCGCGTGAAGCGCGTCGTGATCGACGAGTGCTTTCCGTTTTCGACCAAGGAACGCGTGCCGTACCTTGTGTGCGTCGAGGTTGTGGACTTTGCCGTGCCGGGCCGCGCGCGGCGCGGCTCGTCGTTGGGACCGGCCAAATCGTACACGATGAAGCTTCCATTCAACCACCGAGTGACTGTCGCCATGTCGTCGTCGGATGACCTTGCGTTTCCAGTGGCTGAACCAGCATCGAACGACGGCGCCGCATCCGCTGCACAACCTGCCACGTCGACGGCAGCCGACGCAACGCGTCCCGCGATGGTCGATGTCCAGCCGCGCCCGCGGCAGCTCGACAACGATGGCAGCACCAAGACATTTGTGGTCGAGTCGTTCAACAAGAGCTTCACCTTGAGCTTTCGGTACGGTCCGTGACGAGTTCGCACACGTCGCGCGGCTGGCTGTGCTCGGGCGATTGCATATTTATCGTGTGTGTTTTTTTGACGGCATGGATAGCCATGGCGAAGAGGACGATGGCGAGGACGAGGCTGGGACAGGGCCGGACGAGCGCGACGACGACAAGGTCCGCATCTGGTGCTTCGACGATGCATCGCTCGGAACCGTCCGTCTTCAATTCCAAAAGTGCTCATGTCGAATGGTAGGTCCAAGTGATGGGGCAGTGGGCGAAACGACCCCACCGGAAGAACAAGCAAGACGGACAAACACGGTGGGCTCGCTCGACTGTCTCCATCGACCTTCTTTCCACAATCTGTCCATCCGCGTAGCATGGTCGAACTGAAGCACCAAGTGCGGTCCATGGACGACGACGTTCCGCTGCGCCACGGCATGGACGGCGACAACTTGTCCAGTGCGAGCGGGAGTCCGTCGGTGTGGTCCGACGCGGACGACGGCGCGGCGGGCGGGCTGCCGTCCACGAGGATATTCCACACGGCCGTCGAGCCAGACAAGTCGCCGACAAACTCGGCCCCCGCCAAGCCTGTGATTGCGTTTCGCGAGCGATGGAGTGACAAAGAGCGTCGGTTGCGCCAGACGTCTCCGTTTGGAATGCAACCGGGGTGGCGCCTCGTTCCGATCATCGTCAAGTCCCACGACGACCTCCGGCAAGAACAATTTGCAGCACAGATCATTGCCCAGTGCCACAGGATTTTCGTCGACGCGGCGTTGCCGCTCGCGTTGCGGTACGTCTCGAGTGTGTCGCCGTGCGCTCATGGCGTTGGCAGGCCGTATGCCGTCCTCGCCACGACGGGCACTTGTGGACTTATTGAAGCCGTCCCCGACACTGTATCCCTCGACTCGCTCAAGAAGAACGACCCGGACTACAAGTCCCTCCTGTACGTTTTGGATGTGCCATGCTCGGTTGGTGGCGTGTTCTGCCTTGGCCTGGTCGTCGTGTGGTGTGTGCGGCATGTGCGTCGCCCAGACGAGCGGTCGCGTTGTTCGTGGATCGAGCCATGTGTGGAATGTCACCGTCGCGTTAGGGACTTTTACGAGCGGTACTTTGGGTCGCGGTCCGGGTCGCGGTTCAAGCGCGCCCGCGTCCACTTTGTGCAGAGTCTAGCGGCGTACTCGATCTTGTGCTTTGTGTTTCAAATCAAGGACCGGCACAACGGCAACATTCTCGTCGACGCGGACGGGTACATCATCCACATTGACTTTGGATTTCTCTTTACCAACAGCCCGGGTGGAAACATCGGGTTCGAGTCGGCGCCGTTCAAGCTCACGGACGAATTTGTCGAGCTCCTGGTACGCGATCGACCGCGTCGTGCGTGGATGATTCGTGAGGTAGGACGGCCCCCGCAGCAAACTCTTTCGCGAATTCCGGTCGCTGTGCGTGAAAGCGTACTGGGCGCTCCATCAAAACATGGACAAGCTGCTCCTCCTCGTCGAAATGATGCTCGTAAATGACCAGCCCGAGCTCCGACTGCCGTGCTTTTCCCGCGGAAAAAAAGCCACGATGGACGAACTGCGCCAACGCCTCAACCCGGGCTTGGGCAAAGTGGCGTGCCAGGTACGCAACGATATACATCGCTGCCATCGCTGTGGTTGCGTCGACTTCATCTGCGATACGCGTAGGAGTTTGTAAACGACTTGATCGACCAGTCCTTGGACAACTGGCGGACGCGGTGGTACGACAAGTATCAGTACTGCTGCATGGGGATTCTGTAACGGCGACCACGAGCCGCAACCATGCGCGCATGTGCCCGGGACCGTCATGAAGTGGCATGATGCAGCCGGGCTAGAAGACAACGCGACATGGGCTGTGTAACTAAGTAATGGAAAACCACACAGTGACGCGAGCGGGAGAGTGAGGACGACATTTAGTGCATGGCTTATTCGGTGTGCTGGGGGTACTGCTTCTTGCCCTTGAGCTGCATTTCGCCCAGATGCTCCAAGTTTTTCTGAATCGCTTCCGACGTGCGACTGTGGAAGCGCCAGTGGCCGTCGACGTAGACGACGACGTCGGTCCACTTGACGATCAAGACCGGGTTCGATTTCCAGAACATGACAGTGTACGACGTCGCGGTCGCTTCCTTCTCCGACACGAACGAGACGAAATGGCCTTGCGGAATGTGCGATGCTTCCGCGAGAAACTCGAGGCCAAACAGTTCCTCCAGCGACCGACGAATCTCGTCGTGGCCGCGCGATTGCCCGACAAAGTCGTCGTTCAACGACGCATCTTCCGTGAACAGGTTCAACAGCTGCGTCGGGCTGCCATTGTTCGTCCCAAACAAGAACGCGTACTCATTGACGAGGTTGACTACCGCCGCCAAGTTGTGGGTGTGTTCCGCCATGGTCGTTGGGTGTCGTGGCGATCTTGAAGTGGGCGAGAGGGCGAAGTGGGGAAGACTGGTCCAAGCTATCCGGACTATTATCCGGGTGACGACAGTCGGATAATGGTATCCGGCGCTCAAAGCTGAAAATAGTGTGCATAACGACCGTGCGCATGCAGGCGACCCAGAGATAGCACCCATGCTGCAAGCGGTGGAGCATGTTATCCTTCATGCAGCGGAAGTGGGCAGCGAGGGCGTTGACGCGTCGGCTCTCGACGTGGTTGTGTTTTTGAATCCCACAAGGAGTATTTAGTGTGCATTCTTGATTCCTGTTTTGACTTGTCCTTTGTATGGGGGATGTTACGGATGTACTGCAATGTTTAACCGGATATGTCGGCAATACATTCAGCAAACGACCTTCACGAAGCGCCATGTCGAGTCTGGCCGCCGCGCGCGCCGACAACTTTTACTTCCCGCCGGAATGGCGCCCGGAGATGGGAGGAATCAATAAGTTCCAAAAGTCTCATCCGTTGGGAAAGCGAGCCAAAGACATTAAAGATGGGATCCTCGTCGTGCGATTCGAAATGCCCTTTGACGTGTGGTGCACCCACTGCAACACTCATATTGGTACGACGAGCACATCCCATCAATGAAGGTTTTCAGCCATCTAATGAGCTTCATTAGGTCGTGGAGTGCGCTACAACGCGAAGAAGACGAAGGTTGGGATGTACCATTCAACGATCTTGTACGAGTTCGCGTTGACATGTGCAACGTGCAAAGGCATCATGAAGGTGCAGACAGACCCGGAAGCACGGGGATACAAGCTTCTCGATGGAATCAAGAAGAAGACACAGATGGAAGACGTTGCGTGGGGAACGCACGACGACGAAACACTAGAACGGTTGAACGCACCCGAAGTCGGCATCGCCATGGCAGCCGATCCGTTTTTCAAACTCGAACACGAAGAACAGGACAAGCGCGTGGCGAAGAAGCGGTCTTCTGGTCTCATGGACCTCATCGATCGCCAGGAGGCGCTGTTTTCCGATCCATACAAAACGAATGCGTCACTACGGAAGACGTTTCGCGCCGAGAAGAAAGACCTCAAGCGCAAGGTCGATGCCGCCGAAGCGCGACATTTATCGATTCCACTCGTCGACGTACACCCCAGCGACGTGATTGCTTCGAAGAGCGTCCTGTTTCATAATCTCACAAAGCGGTCCCAGAAACCTTCGACCGCGCCGGCCATCTCTGCATCCCATGCACGTCACAAGAAGCCGCGGCTGTCGACCAGTTCATTCAGTCAGTTCGGGGACTCTGTCAAAGATGGATCCAAGGCACCACCAGTTGCCGTCGTGGCGAAACGTCGTCGAAAGTAAACCGAAATTCTCGAGGACTTGTTGAATGGGACGTCATGCCCATGTTGGCCCTGTCAATGTACCACGCACGAGGAGTTGCATGCAGAGCTCCTGGAGATGCACCGTTTAAGGCAGCGCCAGCAGAGGAAGCACGACAGGTTCTGCTGGGAAGGCTAGGCGAGGCCATGAAGGAATAATCGGCAGAGCTTTCTGGGTCGCCGCCAGTGGCGTTTGGAGTGTGTCTATGCTTCTAACGTTTATACCTACGATGACGTGACCTACCTAGCCACCCGCGACGTTCGGAACTACTTCTTCTGGGCACGTGGCGGGATCGTCGGTGCCAGTTGAGTGCCGTCGTTGGATCGACGGAGGGCGTCGCTCGGGCTGACCGACGGCCTCTGCATCACTGTTTACGCGCATGCGAACGTGCCGCGCATGCAACTTGAGCACGAGGTCCACGAGGTCGGTCTTCTCGACGACCGTTGACAGCGCGTGGGGGTCGATGCCAGCTCGATCCAGTACGGCTTTGAGTTCCTTGACGGACATCGCGCGCACTTGTTCGACGGACAGATCCGACGAGTGTGGGTTGCGCACGTGGACGGGCGAGAGACCGCCTGTGGTCGCCGATTCCGAGACAGGGAGCAGACCACACATGATCCGGCAAAAGTTGATGGCGCGGGAGAAAAACTCGGGCGGCCGGACGGTGTTGTGACCGCCTTGAAACATCAAGATTTCTTTGGGGCCGCGATGTCGGTCGTGGAGGAGCTGGACGTGCGCCGGCGACACGAGTTCGTCTTGACACCCGATCGCAAAAAACGCCGGCACGGTGCATCTACCGATGGATATGCCATATGAAGAACGAAATAGCACTGTCAGGATCAACTTGTGAATCACGGCTTTCGGCTTGAGCTGAAACATGTCGAATTTGGCGCGCCGCTGGATGTCCCGGCGAAGGAACCGCATGACAATGGACACTGCAAACTACATGTCGAAACAGATATGGGGATGCCAAGGGATTGAAAGACGGTGCCACATCCGCAAGAAATACCTTGGGCACGTGGAGCTTGCCCTCGTCAACGAGGTCCAGCGCAAGCTGCTTGAGACTTGAGAATGGGCTGTCCAGCACCATCGCGGTGATGGTGGCGCCGCCAGCTTTGTCCTCTGCTTCCTCGGCGGCGCACAAGATGGACGCGACGGCCCCCATGCTGCGACCCCACAGAATGATGCTGCAAATGGACGTGAGGGACGCCAGACGACGACGGACGACGCGACGTACTTGGACACTTCGCCCGTCGACTCGAGGTGCGTGAGCACGAGGGAGATATCCTTCTTTTCGTGGAAACCCAAAGACACGTACTTTCCCTGGACCCCGCATGAGCATGGAACGTCGACGAGACATATACCTCGGACAACCCCGAACCGCTGAAGTCGATAGCGCATACTGTGAACTCCGCTGCGAGGCCGTGGAACAATGTTTCCATGCATCCCAGCCGCGACGAGCTGTTTCCATGAAGCACCACGATGCACGGCATGCGCATGTCGGTGGTTGCATGGCGATGATGCTGAGGTTTCCACCAACTGCACTCGACGGCAAGCCCTTTCTCGTTCCGAAGGGTAAAGTCTTCTCGCCCCACGAGCAAATTGTGTGCAAAGATGCACGTTGATGGTCCCAGATCGTCCAGTGCGTAGTGTGACCGAGGTGGTCGGATCACAGTGTGCACAAGCCCTTGGTAGGCCATTTTGACAGATGCCCACACACCTGGCGACTTCATCCGCGGATGCGCCGCCCCATCGTCCGACGTGTCACGGCCTAACGTGTACAAGCACATGAGCATGGTGCCGCCATCGAGCAAATGCGCATGGAGCTGGAGCATTCGTCGCGCATGTCGTACAGTACCGTGGCTCATGCCCGCGACGAGGTCCGTCAAGTGAGTCTTGCGCGAGCCGCGGGACTTACGGTTTCATCGAATTTGAGAGGTTTGTCCATGCGTCTAAAAATTTCTGCAGTGTTGTCACCCTCGGTAGGTCGCACGGTGGACGATGCGAGAGACGCGCATAAGAGGTGGAAGGACCGCAGACACGGTCCAGCGTGATGGACGTTCCATCGAGATGGTGGGTCTGCACGATGAAAGCGCGCCGCCCGCTGCGATCGGACACGTTTATTTCTCCCATATTTGTTGTCGTGTTTTGTGACAACGTCGTTTAAACCAAACGACGAATGGTTTTGGAATAAAAATACAATTCGGGCGTTTTTAGCAAGAAATTGACTACCGCATATTATTGAGTGGAATTTTTATATAAAATTTCACGAAAACGAGTGTTCGGGTGGTTTAAACGCCTGCGACGCAGGACGCGTTTTATTCGACCGTTCTTTTGTCCGCTTTGGATATGTCTTTCTTGTGTCGGCCTCACAATCCAACATACGCGAAAGCAAGATGAAAGTCGCGCTCAAGTGGGGAAAGCAGACATTCGACGTGGATGTGGACGTGCAGAATGGAACAGTGGACCTCCTCCGTGCACAGATTTATGCCGTGACGAATGTCCCCGTGGAGCGCCAAAAGTTGATGAGCAAGGCGTGGAAAGGGATGTTGAAAGACGATGTCGTGTTGTCGAGCTTGGACCCGACGAAATTGACCCAGATCATGTTGATGGGGTCAGCCGACGAAGTCAAACCCCCAGAGGTCAAAACCGTCTTCACGGAAGACCTGTCCACGTCCGAGCTCGCGTCGGCTGGCGTGAATTACCCTGCTGGATTGACCAACTTGGGCAACACGTGCTACATGAACGCAACGTTGCAGTGCTTGCGATACGCGCCGGATTTCCGCGAGGCACTGAAAGAGTACAAGGGTGGCATGACATCGGATTTGGCGCACAACTTCACGTCGAGCTTGCGCGATACGTTTTACCAACTCGACGCCAACATCGACAGCATTCCACCTATCCTCTTTGTTGACGTGCGTTGCCCCTATCTTCGATCTCATCCCTTTCAACAACTCGTCGTCTTGACGAGGAAGACGTAGACGCTGCGTCGTGCATTCCCTCAATTTGCTCAACAAGGTCCTCGTGGTGGGTTCATGCAACAGGACAGTGACGAGTTCCTGTCGTCCCTTTTCGGCACGTTGGGACGGCAGCTGAAGCAACCGACGACTTCGATCAAGAGCCTCGAAGGAACGGACAACATGGTCGACGCGCTGTTTGGCTTGGAAATGGAGGAAACGTAAGTGAACTGCTTCGATGCACACGTGTGGATCATGACGGCTACCTTGGCCGCCCAGGCTCCAATGCGCGGAGACGGACCACGAGCCCGTGATCTCAAAGAAGGAAAAGGCATTGAAGCTCGTGTGCAATATCACGAAGGACACAAACCACATCTCGGAGGGCATCAAGATCGTACGATCCTGGCGCAATCATCGTCTGGCGAGCTGACGCGATCACGTAGGGTTTGGAAGGTACGATCGAGAAGAACTCGGACGTGCTCGGCCGCAACGCGACATGGAAAAAGTCGCAGAAAATCAACCGATTGCCCAAGTACTTGTGCGTGCAATTCATGCGGTTCTACTGGAAGTTGACGCCCGAGAGCCGCGACCACACAGGGGTCAAATGCAAGATGCTGCGTGTACGTGATGCCCGTGCTTGAGCATAACTGCGTCTCGAAAATCGCTGGATTCGTCCCCATGCGCTGCGTAGCCCATTAGCTTCCCCATGGTGCTGGACGTGTTTGCATTCTGCTCGGACGAACTGCAGGCTGTTTTGAAAGTGGGTCGCGACAAGTACGTCTCCCTCGTCCAAGCAGATTTCTCGCTTGCCGCCGCCTTTACCTGTCCTTTGGAACGCGTGCAAGCGCATTGTTGTGTTGGTGCCGCCACTTGACGAACAACTGCTTTTGCCTAGGAACGCCGACTTGATTTTGAACGAATTCAAGGACAAGGTAGGGCGTGCATGCGCCGTCACTCCAGCGTGTCGCTTGTGCGAAACCGCTGGCGAACGTGCAGGCTCTCGTCATGTCGGACCCACATGGGTGTATGTAGAAGGAAGGCGACGAGGCAAAGGCTGCGGCCCCCGACGTCGAGATGGACGAAGACGCGGCGGCATTGGCGGCAGCCACGACGATGTCGCTGACGGGTGGCCGTGCCACGGCCGGCATTGGTCTGCCGTTGAACTTTCAAGGCAACTACGAGCTGTATGCTGTCGTGACGCACAAGGGTCGATCGGCGGACTCGGGCCATTACATTGGATGGGCGCGAGTCCAGGGTGGTACGCACGCCGTGGTGTAGGCATGGCGCGACTTGATGGAGCATGCGTAGACGACTGGTTGTGTTTTGACGACGACAACGTGAGCCCGTGCAAGTCGGAGGACATTCAAAAGCTCAAGGGAGGCGGCGACTGGCACATGGCGTACTTGACATTCTATCGCGCCAAGAATTAGATTTGCCCGGACGCTTCATACATGTGATGTTGATGCCTTTGCATGTCTCGAGTGGCAGGAAGAATCCTTGGCATCGCAACCCGTCGACTGCCGCCGTGAGGGTCGTCTGCACGCTGGAAATCGTCGCCAGTGTCTTTCACAGCGCGGATGGACTCGTCCGTGAGAAAACTTGCTGGCAAATCGATAGGCGTATATGCGTTGCTGAGCAACGCGACGAGCAATTTCTCGACGGGGGGGTCCGTCAGTGGGCGCTGAGAGTCCTGACAGTACAAATGCATTTAGTACATAGGGTACGTTAAACGTTTGATCAGAGAGAGTACTAACTAAATATGCGTTTAAAGCGTAAATTCGGTGGGCGGAGTGAGTACTAACTAATTGTACGTTTAGTACAAAGCGTTCGTTGAACGTCAAGGAGAGAAATATGTATGTGTTTACAGTACAACGCGTACGTTGAACAATCGGTGGAGAGAGTACTAACTAAATATACGTTTAGTACCTAGCGGCATGTTTAACGTGTTGTGTTTCGAGGGCGTTTTCTTCGGGCTTGAGAACGAACGATGCCCAGCGTGGGATGGAACTACGTTGGCGCGGTGAGCCTGGTGGTGGCCGCGGGCGTCTTCCGCAAACAGGTGATCCAAATCATCTTGAAGCTTCTCGTGCGCGCGTTGTCGGCGCACCGCTTCAAGTCAGCGAACGCTGTTATCCATGAGTTTGAGAAACGGGTCGTGCATCCGCTGTCGTGGGTCCTCTTTGTCGTGTCGATCCTTGTCGCGATGAAGATCGTGTCGATGGATGTCGAAACTCTCACGACCGTCGTCTTCATGGTCTTGGGCGTCGTCGTCCTGTGGACCGTGTTTCAGTTCTGTGCATTTGTCAACGTGGTACGTGCGTCGAGATGCCGCGAGCACCATGGGCTGACGTCGACCGACAGGTAATTGTTCGATCCCAAGGATGGGAGCGTTCCACGAGCAAAGACGACTCGAGCAAGGCGATGATCGTGTCCGAGGGCATCGGGGTACGTGCGTTCACGTTGTCATCGCCCCATCCTGCGTCTGCGTAGTTGCTCAAGTACATTCTCGGCGCCGCGATCTTGCACTACTTCTTCTTCAACCAGTTGAATTTTAACACGACGGAAGTGTTTACGACGATGGTGCTGGTCGGGGAAGTCCTCTTCGTGCTTAGCTCCCACACCTGGGTACGACCGTCCGTCCACATGCCGTCGATGTGACCTCGTCGCAGTTTCGAAACGTAATGGGCGGCCTCGTCCTCCTCATCGACGAGCCCATCAAGAGCGGCAACCACGTTCTCGTCCTTGGCCACTCGGGTGTCGTCGAGCACATGTACCTGCAGTACTTTACCCTTCGCCAGTACGACAAAGGCCTGGCGTTCATTCCGAACGGCGTCGTATTCGACCACGTCATTCAAGTCCATGCCAAGTCTCAAGGCACGTGCTTCGATCTCACGATTCCCCTCGCGCGGTCGACGTCGGCCGCCGCCACCCGCGCATTTGTACGAGACGTCGACAGTTTTCTCGCATCGTATGCACAGGCCATGGCTGCCAAGCCAGTCCCTCCGTCCACCACAACATCACGTACCACACCATCAGCGAAGGCAGCGGCAGTGGAACCGTCCTCCGGCACAATTGCACCCCCCCCCAAGTCCCAGTTTCACCTGGCCGTCCAGGCGTTTGCCCGGACGTCGCTGTTCACAAAAGCTGCGGTTGCCGCGGCCAGCGACACCCACCTCCACGCCCCGGCAAAGTTCTGGGTCGCCCTCGTCGACGTCTACACCGTGCAACTCGTGTACTTTTTCCCACCCAACCTCAAATTTCGCCACATCGTGGACGAAAAGCGACAGGTTCGTTGCCGTCCGTGTCCAGGAAACCGCGGATTGCCTCAGAGAACGATTTGTCTAGTTGGTGTTGGCCGTGACCAAACTGATGCAATCGAACGAGTTGACCGTTGCGACCGACGACATGGCGGGCGATGCCGACGCGAGTCCAGTACGAGTGAATGCCACCACACTGGAAGCATGCCGACGTGAAGCTCCATGTACGACCGAATCGACGGAGCCACAACACGATGCCCAAGGTATTCGTCGTTCGCATCAACGTCACGACGACGTCGACTCGCCCGCAAACATGCCGTCGTTGCGGCAACAACGACCGCCGTCGTCTTCGATCGAGTTTTCGTCGTCCACGGCAGCAACGGCAGCGTCCATTCTCCGCCGCCGAAGTACCAAGCCGGCGAGTAGGACACCCCCCAAGTCCAGCGACAACTTGGACCGACGTGCCTCGATCCGTCCTCCCACGACCTCGTCAAGGCAAACATGACGGGAGATGGGCTATCATCTCGGGGTTGGACAAGCGTTCGCGCGCTGCTGCTTCTCGTCACGTTGTGGCTGGATGAATGCGATATGTACATGGCGACTCGGGTCATGGATGCTAAATTTGCAACGAATTCGGAGGATGCAGTGCCTCGGCAGCACCCACGTGCCCATCGACCTGCCAATTTTACCGCGCGCTGCGCGATCTAGACGGAATGAGATGACAACAAGGCCAGCCTGACGACCTTCGACACTGTCGAGGCCATGGTCCAACTCGAATGGCTAGGCGCTTTGCCGTTTGGCACCATCGTGACGGAGGGCTCGTGGTGGCCTGTGGTGTGTGGAATCTCTTAGAGCACGAGAGGATCCACTTGGACATGCGACGAACGGTGCACGACAGCTACAGGAAGCCGACGACTCGCGCAGCACCTGCACAGCAGTCGGATACACGACCCCATTTCGTCGAGTCGTTTCAGCGTCGTGGCTTGGGCTGCACGATGTGGATGATTCAAATGGGACTATTTCTTACTCCACTTCTTCTTTCGCGCTTGGACGCGGTCGTCAAAGCCGTGCTCGGTGAGACGCATCTTGGAAACGCGGGTGGCAGTGGTGACGTCGTTGAGGAGCTTGAGCACGTCCGCCTCGGGCGCTTCGTCTTCGTAATTTGTCAGTGGTTTCCCCACCTTGGCTTCGACGTTGTGGAGTAACGCAATGTCGTGCTGGGTGACGAGAGAGATGGCCGTCCCGTGGCGCCCGGCACGGGCCGTGCGCCCGACGCGATGGATGTAGTCGTCGGCATCGCGCGGCAAGTCGTAGTTGATCACATGCGTGACGTCCGGAATGTCGAGACCGCGGGATGCGACGTCGGTCGATATCAAGATGCGCGCAAGGCCCGACTTGAACTTGCCCAGGGCCGCGAGACGGCGCGATTGCCCCATCACGGCATGCAATGCGACCACGGGCAGCCGGAATTCCGTCGCAATCTCGCACATGAGCTGGCACATGCGGCACGTTGCAACAAACACCACCATCGACTTGGACCTGTCGGCCGACGTGGTGGCCGCCAGCGCTGCCTCCAGACGATCGTGCCGACGCCGCGCCTTTTTGACTTTTTCGGAGGCGTCGACGCTGCTGTCGTCGACGTCGATCAGCTTCTGCATGAGGTACATCAAGTACGTCGGCTTGATCTGGGCTGGAACGAACAAGTACGACTGCTTGAGCTGCGTCACTGTCGTCGCCGTGGGTGTAGCGTCAAAGCGGAAGGGATTTGTCATGGCCATTTTCTCCAACGATGCCAAGTCGGCGGTCATCGTGGCGGAGAAGAGCAGCGTCTGGTGCGACGTTCCCACCGTGTCGAGGAGGAACTCCAGGTCCTTGGCAAACGTCGCATTTAACAGCCGATCGGCTTCGTCCAGCACCAAGTACTTGATGAGTTTCAAGTTTGGAGGGTTTGCGCGGAGCATGTGGTCGCGCAGCCGCCCCGGCGTCGCCACCAGCACATGCGGGCGCTGCTGCAACGACAACGCCTGTGTCATCATGTCCACCCCACCGACGACGACGCACGTCCGGAGGGACAGGCCGCTGCCCAATGCTTGAAATTGCTCCGCGATCTGGTATGCGAGTTCCCGCGTCGGCGTCAGGACGACGGCGAACGGTCCGTAAATCTCTTTGGCTAGGTCGTGCAAGATGGGCAACGCAAACGCCGCCGTCTTCCCGCTACCGGTCTGTGCACACCCCATGACATCTCGTCCAGCGAGAATTGGTGGAATACAATGTGCTTGAACGGGGGTTGGTTTGTGGAGACCGAGGAGCTTACATTTCGCAGCGATCCACGGGTCGAGGCCCAAGTCGGCGAACGTCGTGAGGATAGACGTGGGGTCTGCAGTCGTCGATGAAGCAGGTACTTCCACGACAGCGCCGTCATCTGCATGCTTGGATGTCGGCTGAAGTGGCGGCGCTTCGACTTGCCGCTTCCGCTTTGGCGCAAACAACACGCTCATCTTGAAGCTGGAAATAAAACTGACTGGTGGCCATTGCAAAGAGTAAAACGTACTCTTGCGTTTTATGATCAAATTCCTTGAGATGATGCTATTGGACAACAATGGTATTGCTCACCGTCAATAACGTCAGCACGTTATATGACGTTTAAAAGGAAAAATGCGTTTTCATGCTGCGAGAACTACACACTGGCGAAATGTCGTCGGCCGGCGTGAATGGGACAATGACAACGGAGCTGTTCGTATTGACTTGAGTGCTGGGACTACGGTGGTCAAAGCAGCCTCCTTGCTTTGGCTTTGATCGGAAGAACTTGTGGTGCGGCAAATGGGACGGTGCTTGTAAACGCAGTGGCGAGAACGTCGCTAGTGCCTGAATCGTAGTCGAATGGGTTGAACACCTTCTTTGGGATGGATGGAATGAATGATGTGTCGGGCGCGTGCTGTACCGACGCTGGCGTTTCGCGTGTGGAAGGAAGCACCACCTAGGCACAACCATGACCACGAGCCAAGGAGGACCATTGCACCTGATCACCTGCGGCTAGTCGATAAAGCATGAACGGATTCTCGGCCGAAAACGCCTTGCCCACAGGCACGAGGAGATAGAACTCGAAGACCAAACTCTGCAGCGCAATCACGGTGAGGTCTGCACATCTTGAGATTCGAGGGCGGGGGATGATCGTTGCACACCTTGTTTTGGCATTTCACGACGATGGCGCAGTCGCTGCTCTGCAGGAAGTAGTGCATGTTGACCGCGACGGAATCGTAGTCACCTGTTGCAATGGTGGCATGCAATGGAAGGCCGATTACAACGCTTCCATCGACAGAGTCTATTGGCACCACATGCACGGCATGCAAGTGAGCCATGCCACTGTGGAGCATGTGCCAGTGCTGTGATGTCTCGTGGCCCTCATGCACGCTGAAACTGCTTCGCAAGACGAGTTGAAGGAATGATTGAGACACCACGCCTTCTTGGTCAATTGATGTCCATTGAAGAGTTGATGTTAGCTGCGACTGCATTCGTCGTAGCCATGGCTTCTACACAAGAAGTCTGAAGTAGGTGGGGCTGATGCCAGATGATCACTTACCATGACGTTTCTCATGTCGATGAGACTGTCTTCGGATTGTACAATTGACACGGCCGGCATGTCAGCGGTCGCATCGACCAGAGCCATGAGGCTCTCAGAAGTACCATGAATATCCTCGCCCTCGGATCTCAACAATACTAACTCAATGGCAGCGCTACTTGCTCGAACAAATTGTCTGAGCTCATCTCCACGGGGAGCTGTCGTCGGAGCTGTAAAGTACACAACGTGGTAGTCAGCTTGCTGCAAGAGGCGCATTGCATTCGGCAAGTCGAGATGACAAGAGCACTCGCATCTTGCATGTCGCCCGCTGTCTCGCTTGCCATCGACTGGTCGAATGCGCTCAATCTGTAGTGATAATGCATCCAACGTGCATACTGATCGATGGAGCTGGTTGCCGTTTCCGATGGAATTCACGCTCGCTACAAGCAACACCGATTGTCGCAGGGACGCCAAGGAAGAGAAGAATTCACGCAGAATACGCCGCACAACCACGAGGGAGCTCTCCGCGATACCACACACATTGACGAGGATTCCAAGTGGAGTCTTCGCCGACATCACCATGTCTCCGTTGCCCATGCGTTGGAACCTGTCGCTGCTGGAATGAATTTCAAAAAATGCGCGCGCGGAGGACTTCGGGAAATGTTACCGACATTTTGCCAATATTTTGTGAATTCGATAAACTTGTCATCTATATTCAGTATTTAGTGTGGATTAGAATATACTCCGGAGTAATGTGGTTAAAAGTAAGAGCCAGTCTGGCAACACGCCCAAATTGTCATTTTGGGCCTGATTTCGCCATTTTGGACAAGAAAATCCCAACTTGAGGTCAAATGACATTTAATGAAATTGAGTTTTCGTGTCTGGTAAAAGATGGAGAAAATCAAACAATGTGGCATTTTGGCATAAAAATGGCATTTCGGAAAAAGAGGTGGAGGGTTCTTTTTTGAAACCGCCAACTCCATTTCGCCCGCAACTTTCCATGAAGCTGGGGACAGTGCTGGCTAGCTGTGCCGCATGGTGGGCGGCCAACTTCGTCGTCAAGGAAGCCTGCCACACGTCATCCCTCAAGGGTGAGGAATGGATCGCAGAGCTCCTCCACGGCAACCCAAGACGTTTTCGCAACCAACTTCGCATGCTTCCAGGCACGTTCCTAGCGCTGCTCGACATGCTCCAGACGAAGTACACCCTCAAGTCAAGCCGTTTCGTCTCCGCGAGGGAGAAGTTGGCCACGTTCCTGTACGTCGTCGGACAGGCTGGCTCGAATCGTGGGGCTCAGGAGCGATTTCAGCGCAGTGGGTGGACAATCACCCAATCAATCAACGAGGTACGCCTTGATCTCATCACCGCACTCATTATCATGTAGGTCCTCAATGCGTTCATGCTGTTGTACCCTATCGTGGTCACTCTGCCCAGCAACGACATCCCGTACGAAGTACACTCTAACCCGAAGATGTATCCATTTTTCGAGCACTGCATCGGCGCCCTCGACGGGACTCACGTTCGCGCAACACCTCCATCCAACGCACGAATGCCGTTTCGCAACCGCAAGGGGTTTATGAGCCAAAATGTGCTGGCGGCATGCACATTTAACCTTCGTTTCGTCTACGTTCTAGCCGGCTGGGAAGGCTCAGCGTCTGACGCCCGTGTTTTGAATGATGCATTGTTGACGAAGGGATTCTTTATCCCAGAGGGCAAAATGTACCTTGGTGTGACGAGCAATCAATGAGATGACGAGATGACATGCATACACGTAGGCGACGCTGGGTACGGTTTGCGCACGAATCTCTTGACGCCTTATCGTGGCGTCCGATACCATCTCCGTGAGTGGGCGCAAGGAAACCAAAGCCCCCAGAACTCCAAGGAGCTCTACAATCTACGTCACGCCCAACAGAGAAACTGCGTTGAGCGCATCTTTGGCGTGCTCAAGAAACGATTCAAAATCCTCGAGCACTCCTCGGAATACCCATTCAAGACTCAAGTCAACTTGGTGTACGCCCTCTGCGCGCTGCACAACATCATCATGGAGCTCGAGAGTGATCCCCACTTCCTCCAAAAGGCGGACAAGGCCAAGAAGAAACGCGACAAGAAACACCAACAGCGCATGGCACGCAGAGGTCGTCCAAACAACAGACGACGCCCCGACCATAATGCTGAAGACCATACTGCCGAAGCTGGTGCCTTGCGCGACTCGATTGCAGTAGCGATGTGGCAGCAGTACACTGCAACCATTCAATCACGCCAGTAACACGAAAAATATTGCATTAATTGCATTACATAGAATTCTTCAATACCCATGCATCGCGAGCTTCCCCACGAAGCGCCATGAAGATTGTGGCGTTGAAACCTTGCCCCATGAGATCAGCCAATGCAGCGATCGCCATGCCGTCCAGGTGGCTGTAGTGTTCCATCAAACAGTCGATGGCCAGGGTCACCCGGTCGTGCGGATCGGTTGCTTGAGTCGCCTTGGATGCCTCGACCTCGACGAGCTTGGAGATTGCATCTCCAATGACCGCCCCGGCGCTGCGTCGGTCCCGCTTGTTGAGCTGCTTCTTCTGCTTCTTTGGTGGAGGTGTCAGTGCGTCCGAGCTTGAGTCCGAGGCATCATCGTCTTGAACTTGGTCGGACGCACGGTGGTGAATGCGCTGTGGTGTCGGTTGAATGACTTGGCTTGTGACGTTTGCTTCGGCAGCATTCGCACCGAGCAAGCCAGGGGGGCAAATCGCAAACCGCCCATCTGCATAAGATCCTTCCAAAAGGACCGCCAGGCTTTCGAACAAGGGGAACGGTGCGAGACGAAACTTCTTGCAGTTCGGATTGGCCTGGATAGTGTAGTGAGAATCATGATGCGATGAATACTTATGCGTTACCTTGATGACAGACAGCCATACATCGTCAGGTGCAGTTGGCAGCTGCAACGCATCATTCCAGCCAAACCCAGAGTTGTCACGCAGATACTTGACGTCCTTGTAGTCGCGTTTCATCTAGAGATCATGATTAGCGTCACATCGGGCGTCAAGAACGTACACAATCCAGCCGCGACTTGATCTTGGACGTGTGGTACGTCGTGCCAAAGCGCTCGTTGAAGGAGGCAGTGACCTCCACCCATGCTTCTTTCTTGAAGCCTGAGTCCGAGCGCTTGCCCTTGAGCACCTGGGCTTGCAAAGAAGTGACCAAGAACTCGTCTCTCTCTGTCGTCCATGAGGCCCGCGTGCCGTCGGTGGCCATGTTTCGCAGAAAACTTTCAGTGCTGCTCTTTCTACTGGATGTTGACGCAGAAATATCTGATTTTACAGGAAGTTTGATAACTTGGTTTCAGTATGAACACGAAGAATGTCCATCAAATTATAGAGAACGTGGTTTCTGTCCTGTCTGGTAAAAAGGGGCGTCAATTCAGTCCAAAATTGAGAATTTCCCAAACTAACATCTTCGTCAAAGCCCAAAATTTCAATTGTTCAAAATGTCAAAAAAATACAAACTTTTGCCAGACTGGCTCTAAGTGTGGCCCACACTATTAGCTGAGTTCAGTATTCCCTGTGCCATTCCTGAAATGACAACTTCAGAATTAGTGTGGTTAATACTAAATGTGGTTGATGGTGTAGTAGTACACTGTTTAGTAGAAGCAACAAATTAGTACTGTTAACTGTACAACTACTGTACATCATTCAAAATACGTCGAAAAACGAAAAATTCATGAAAATTGAGCGAATTTGCTCGAAAACCACTAGCAAAGTCCAAGTTGGATCGAGAATGACGAAGAAGCGACGGCAGTCCGACCCATCGAGCGGCGATGGCGTGTTGCGATCCATCGAGATGCTTCGAGTGGTGTTTAGTTACCAAGGAGGCATCTACTACGACTTTATGACCCTGCATGAGTCGATGACACCGTTCCGACGCGTCCGCCGCGGCGAAGCGCTTGCTCAGCCGATGGAAGACCGACATCCAGACGACCATGCCCTCCTTCACTCCATTTTGCGAGCATGGTTCCAATCACATCAGTCCTGTTCACACACTCTCTTTAAGATGTTGGGGTGTATGCACTACATGCGCTCCCTCGTGGCGTTCTACGCTGTGTGCGATGGCAACCTCCCACTCGTCGCACAACTCCACGATGTGTTGGGAATTGGATCCTTCGAAGGCCCACTTCTCGATCTTGCTGCCCGGCATGGCCATCTTCACGTGTTGAAGTTTCTTCATGAGCATAGACATCAAGGCTGTTCCTCCACCGCCATGGACGCTGCCGCGAAGTACGGGCATCGAGAAATTGTCACCTTCTTGCATTTCCACCGCACGGAGGGCTGCACGACAGATGCCATGGACGACGCCGCCGCCGGTGGCTTTGACGACATCGTGCTCTTCCTGCATGTGTTCCGTACCGAAGGATGCACGTCCGCGGCGATGGACCGCGCGGCGACCGCCGGCCACTTCGATACCGTCATGACGTTGCACAATACGCAAGCAGTTTGCTCGAGTGACGCCGTCGATGGCGCCGCCCTTGGCGGGCATCTTCGAATTGTGATTCTTCTGCTACTCGTGCGCCAAGAAAGGGCCACGCCGCGCGCGCTTATGTATGCCGCACGCCGCGGCGACCTCCCCATGGTCAAATTTATCTACTCCCATTTGCGCGATGGGTTGTCGTTTGCTGACATGAAACAGATCATCGATCGCACGCGGGACACTCAAGTCCTGTCGTTCCTCGGTGGGATCTCACTGCTTCCATTCTCCGACGACGACGAAGATTAAATCCACCCGACTGCCCTTCTCCACATCTCCTCGTCCAGTTCACAGTGATGATATCGCTGAAGCATTTGGAAAGATTTTGAGAGAACAACCTGAACCTGGGCCTCCGTCTCCAGTGCGAAGAACCGGCATGATCACTGCAGACACTGCTGCGTTCAGTTGTGTCGCAAGATGGGTGGTGTGACGGCCGCATGCAGCGGTGGTGAACTCGTGCCACTTCTCTCTCGCATCAATCTACAATTCGTTCCACCATCTTTGGCCAACATGGCGCCGCGTCATCGATTCATCCAGTCTCCCACACCAGTAGTCATCGATAATCGATTCACCCCGTTGCACCTACGATTGCGCCTGGCTCTGCTCCCCTTGTTCTGTTTTTGAGTCGCCGGATTTGTCCGTCGCTACGCCTTGTGCTGCATCGCTCTGGGTAGTCGACGGCGCAGGCTTGGGCTCTTTTGCGGCAGCGTTTTTCTTTCCCTTTTTGGACATGCTGTCGCCGTTCCCACTGCCCTCGGCGAGCGCCGTCAGCGCGTAGATGACACTCATTTCGTCGGACCGCGCGGTCGATTTTTCTCCACCATTTGCCACGCCTTCTTCGTCGGACGACGATGGAGCGTCGTTCGACGGTCGTGCCGTTTGCGCGTCGTAATATGCGGCATCCGCTGCCTCGTCCCTGTCGTCTGCCTCCAAGTCGTCATCGTCGTTGTCTTCGTCGCTCGTGTGAGCCTTGGGACGGCCGGTCGTGTTGAACGCAACGCAATCCATGAGCTGGTGCCGCCGCAACCACCGAAATACGTACATGTACAAGTTGTGTCCTTGTTTGCCAGCCGACGTCGGCAAGAGTTGCTGGCATTTGGCAATCACGTCGGCCATGCGGAGCTTGGATGTTTTGCTGCGTGACTCGATAAACGTCTTGAATCGTCGTTCGTCTTTCGAGAGCGGTCGTTCCTTGCGCTTGAAGTCCGTACGCGGCTTCCGTGTCAACTTGGCGCCAGGTGGCGCCGACTCCACTCGTTGGCGAATGCTATCGGCATCCGCTTTCCATCGGGAAATCGTTCGGTTGTTCACGTTGTACTTCTTCGCAGCTTCTCGCGGCTTGAGCGTCCCATCCTCGAGCTCCTACGACGCGTCAAGCGTAGCCCCCACATCGCACGGCGTACCTGGAGACACTTGTACTTGACGTGATACGAGTTCATCACACCGCCCAAATGTCGAATGTGAGTTGTTCTTGTCCAGTACCCGTACGGGCCGTTGCACACAGGCCCGGTCCAATCGGTGAACCGAACCGGTCCTTGATTCGGGCGTTTCGAACGTGGTCGGTTGTTTAAATCCTATTACTAAAAGATGCAAAAGCACATCACATACAAAAATGTCATGAATATTACGACGACCGTGTATGCCTTCCTTCCGGACGTCCACTACGCATGTTTGTTTCCAGCGCGTTTGAAACCGACGTCGTTGCCTAGTTCGGCTGGTGACGGCACGTTTGAAACGGGTTAGGAACACCGGCACACAACTCCTGGCCCACTCGAATTAGTGTGACTATTCGTACCAGTATTTTCGCAATTGCCCTTCCACCTCCGCTACCGACGCCCTGGGAAACCAACGGCGCCAAGTGACAGCGACGAGCAGGATGGCCTTCCGCGTACGTAGACGATGCATACCTCGATGGCCACGATCCTTCTATCCAGGAGATGCATTTCGATGCGAAGCGAACGATGCCCCTTGTCCTGATATTCATTGCCATGGACACCGACTTCACGGAGAGCGTCGTGTGTAGGAGGAGATGACAAATCACAACATTGACAGCAGTAGCGCAACATTCGAAGACCTTGCGATCGATGACACATTGACCGACCTGGAGCGCGTCGTGCGATACGTTCACAGCAACATTGCGTTGCAGCGCGTGATTCACGTGCGATTGCTTGAGGAAACAGCAGTGGCTGCCGGGTACTCACTCTCCGACTCGTGTGCATATGCATGTCCATTTCGTCCGTGGTAGCTATGAAAAGACCGTGGACGCGATCGTTCCCGTGCTGGAGCCATTGGTGTCCGACGTGGAGTTCGTTGTGCGCCAGCATCTCGCCGGGCAATTTCCAGGTCTGTGCAAGGTATGGCACGTTTCATGTCTCGGCAGCACGTGTAAAGTCCATTTTGCAGCACTTGGTCGAGTCGGGTGGTGACACCGGATACAAACTCGTCCTGGACAAGTTGGTCCCTCTGCTGAATCGCTTGGTCACGGACGTCCAAGCCGAAGTGCGCCATGTCGCAACGGACTCGCTTGTGTTGGTGGCAGGCTGTATCAAACCAGAAGACCAAGGCCAGCACATACTCACACTTGTGCTTCCGTTGGCACATGAAGATGGCGATGAACAGATGCGGATTACAGCGGTACGGGACTTGCATCATCCGCCCATGCTGTGCATCTCGTTGAACGAGCTGATCTTGGTGCATGTGTAGCTCACACTCCTCAACAAACTCGCTGTGTACCTCGGACGCGATCTGTGCTGCCAAGTAATGCTGCAAACAGCAACCTCGTTGTCTAACATGCTTGGGCTAGTTTTGCGTGCCAGAGTTCATATCGTTGGCGGGCGACCCCGTGTTTCGTGTGCGAAAAGCGATTGCCCTCAACTGCGTACAAGTGTGTACGACGGCGGGGCCCGATGTCACGGAAGGTGCCCGTCGTTTTCGCGTCTTGGTGAGAATGCGCCTTCAAACACGATCTCCCTAGAACGATTGCTGCCCGCGTTCCTTCGCCTCGCAAACGACGACATCTGGGGCGTGCGTAAAGCATGTGCTGAATCGCTCAGTGACTTTGCGAAAACACTACCGTTGTCGACGCGAGCGACGGTGCTAGCGCCGCTCTTCTCGGCTTTTGCCAAAGACCAGTCCAAGTGGGTGCGCATCGCCGCGTACCAACAGGTATGAAGGTATCGCGCCACGATCGAGTCACGTCCTTTTGGTGGTAGCTGGGACCATTCATGTCGACGTTGTCGCCGGCAACAATCTCGGACGTCCTCGTTACCGCTTACACCAACATGGCGACGCAGCCGGGCGTGTTGCTTTTGGGCGGCGCCGAATCCGACATCAAATTCCACTGCGCGTTCAACTACCCCGCCGTGACGACGACGCTCGGGGTCCATCAGTATGGCTGCGAACGACCCGACTCGAATGCACGTCATGATGCCATTTTAGATGGGGCAAACTCGCGGCCGGGTTTGATGCGCTGGCCCGCGATGGATTTTGGAAAGTGCGGCGCACGTTGTCGTACTCTCTCCACGAGGTCCGTTGAGCATTCCGTCCATGTGCGTTGACACGTTGTCCAGATGGCCAAACTGCTCGGACCAGACCTCACCGAGAAGCACTTGGTGCCAGCGTTTGCCTACTTTTTGGACGACGTCGACGACGTCAAGCTCGGTTCGATCACGCACTTTTGTGACTTCCTCGCCCGTGTCCCACCTTCTTCTCGGTCGCGGTTTCTCCCCGAACTCGCCAAGTTCACCGCGCTGCCGTCGAAATTCAAGCTCAAGTGGCGCTTCCGCGCGCTCGTGGCGCAGCAACTGCCGTCTTTCTGCACCGTCTTCGATGCACCTGCTACGTTTGATGCGGTCGCGCCGCTGGTGTTTTCGCTAAGTCAGGACGACGTGGCGACTGTGCGCGACGCGAGTATTGCGGTATGTCGATTTGGTTGGAGATATATTTTATTTGGTGGTGGATATTTTTTTTTTGATATTTTGAATTGTGTCATGTGGGATTGTCGTGGTTTTTTTCGCCACGTCGCGTGGCGGAATTAACTTGGGATTTGTATGGAGTCGGTCGTTTTTCCCGAAGTGCTGCTGAATCGCTTGTTGACTCGACAGAGATGTCATGTTTTTGTGCTGGATATTTATTTTGGAGTCATATTTAGTTTCTTTTTTGGCAGACGATGTGTGGATTCGCCATATCCAAGTGTGGTGCAACGGCTGCTTTTTCCGATTTTGTCACTTTTCCAAAGTATTTATCGAGTATGTGGACGAATATATCCATTTTTTCGATTTTGTGTGGATTCCACAGAATGTAATATCGAAATATCATTCACATCATGACTGATGGAGCGATGGTTGCAGGCGATGCCGCCGCTATTCGCCGCCGTGAAGGAATCGGACGAATGGACGTGCTCTTTGTCAGATCAGTTGCTCGCGTTGCAAGCGTCACCAAAGTACCTCACTCGCCAGACGTTCCTGCGCATTACAAGAGCATTTCTTCTCGCGGTACGATCGACTTGCCGACCTGTGACCGTCATGCCAAGCGTCGTCACACCAAATGTGCTCTGGATGTTGATGCTGTCGCAGCTCCTTCTGCCGTCGTGAGCCAGTCTTCCAGCGTGGTTCTAATGCCGTCGTCTTGCCGCAGGGGTACGTGGATGTGTTTGAGGCCAAGTTGAAGACAGCGTTCGTCAAGCTGGCGACGTCCGACCCCGTGTTAAATGTACGCCTGCTCGCGGCGCGAATATTGCTCGACGTTGCGCCAGGTACGATGCATGAGTTGAAGGACTACCATCGCTTGTCGAGTGGTGCCTCGGGATGGGGATGGGATGCACAGGAGGTCTGACGATCCATGTGATGTGCTGGTTGGTAGTGTACGCAGAGCCAGAAGAAGCGCTGCAAGCCCTGGACAAGGAGACCGATGCCGAGATTCAAGCGGTGGTTGCAAGACTCAAGCAAGCGCGAGAAGAACATGCAGCGCAGTGACGTCAATAGAGCTCGAGGGGTGGTGGATCGTGCGCACCAGCCATCAAGGCAGCCGGAATTTCTTCCGTAGCGTGCGATGGATGCATCGTTGGAGTCTATATTATAAATATCCTGGCCATGAGGAGGGCAGAGTACTCGACGCAGCACATCCGTTTAGTTCGCCGGCTTGGCCTCTGGCGCGGGTTCGCAGAACGCAGTCTGTCCTTGAAAGATTTCCTTGCATAGCGCTTCCATGGCACTGAGACCACGGGCGGCGGTCTCGGCTCCGCGGCTAACAGAGAACGATTCGAGTTTCTGCGACACAAACGGTACAAACGCGCTCACTTCCGCGTCCTGGGTGTACATGGTATGCGTCATCCCGCCGGATTCACTAGCAGGGTGTGGTCGGTACACACACGACTCGTGCACCGTCGCCACAGACCGGTACGACAAATTGGTCGACTTGAGGTGGAGCGTCTTGGCGACAGGGTCGCAGATCGTTTCTTCGTACACGTACGAGTACTTGCCCAACATGCTGACGGCCCATGAAGGCATGTTGTTCTGGGTGCACTTGGCCAAGCGCGCCGTATGCAGCCGACCTTCCGCGTCCATGTATCGCGACAAGACATCCACGCGTTCGACGTGGGCGAGCTTGGCGTTCGGGTACTTGTTCCAGAACGCGCGGGACACAACATCCCACGAGTAGGGGTACACGTGCTCGGTAGTTTGATGGAGAACCATGACACACGCCGCGTTCCTTCGTCAACCGCCTGAATCGAATTGTGGCCCCAACGCCATCACGATAACAAAAACCTGCGGAAAAAGAAAATTCCCCGTCTTTTTTTCCAGCTGTATACAAACATCCAGTAATAATCAAGGCGGAGTTGCCGATGTTCGAGAAAGTCACTCGAATGCGATATTCAGCCCGGGGCGGATATGCATTCTGACAGGTTTCCACCCACTGGTCTATCCGGATACGCGTTCCAGGTCACCCCTCCTCGCCAAGTTCCACGCGCTCACATCCGGATGTCCCCCCGCCCGTACGATTGGTCACGAATCGTCCAATCAACGACAAGTTGACCCGCGGCGACGGCCAGAACCAACAAGACAGCGGCGATGGCAGGGCCGACGACGCGGAAGAAGGGAGCGCACTGCAAGAAGAAGGGATACAAGCGCGCGCATGCGACCAAAAGCCGATCGCGCGACATCGATCAGATCCAGGATGACCTGAAGAAGGAGGAAGAAACGGGCGTGAAGATGACGTTTGAATTGGACGAAGACCTGCCTGGTCTCGGCCAATACTACTGCACCCCGTGCGGCCGCCACTTTATCACAGCCAACGCCCGCGACGTCCACATTGCATCCAAGGTTCACAAACGCCGCATGAAGGACGTAGCGCAGGAACAATACACCCAAAAGGAAGCCGAGCGCGCCGCCGGCAAGTCGATCGAAACGTATACCCCCGCCCATCCGACAGCCGCCTCGTCATGAAGCACGCGTCGACGCCCATAGTTTTCATATGTATAGGACCATGTTAAGGCACTTTGTTCAATTCGACGTGTGTTCCAAAGGTGCGCGGTATCGAGGCACGTCATCCATGCGAGTGTCCACCACTGTGGCTCGACCTCGACAGCACTTAAAACAATCGTGGACGCGCAGCGCGTGCGTTTGAAGCACCGAGCGACCTGCGTTGGCTCCGTTTCGGCAACTTGGCACCGTCCATGCGCAACATACCTTTTTCATGCGTTCCCAGGTTCACGTGCGCTTTGGCGACTACTGCATGGGTTGAATGATGTTGTGGAGCCCCGAGGAAGTGGCCAAGCCAGGTTTCGCCAGCGACGGATCGAAGTGGAGCTCGTTCGCAATGTCTTGTGGGGTCGGGGCACACTGCCGCTGGATGTAATGGGCAGCCAAGTCGGTGAGAAAACTCACAGTCGACGTCAGGACGAGCGCGAGGTAGAACCGAGGTTCCATGACGAGCACAAACATGACCGAATGGGCCTGGGGCTACAACGACCGAGTCCTTCAGTCACGACCGGACCATCGTCCCGACGGTGTACCTGCAAGACGCGGGCCATGGTCGGCGTCGACAGGACGAGCATCGCGCCAAAGTCGACAACGATGCTGAAACCCGTCACCCACACCACCACGCGGGTGAAGCACTGCACTTGTGTCAGCATGCGAATCGTGACGACCACAATGACACATGCAAAGGACGCAATGCTGACGGCCCACTGGCCAACCACGACGTCGTGGGCCAACAGACACTGCGGGATAAAGTAGCACAGCGCGGCATGGTACATCGCGAGCACGACGTGGAGCACAAAGACGGATTCGTTGTAACTCTGGCGCAGCTGGCCGAGTTGGTAGAGCTTGGGGAGCTTGAGCATGGCCGGCATCGCGACATGCTACACATGACCCATCAAGTCGTCAATGGTCGATGGAGCGCACCTGGTCCAGCGAAAACCCGGCGACGCACGGGTACGACGTAAAGAGCGCGTTGTACGCGAGCGAGAGCATGTCGGGAAAGTAGATCTGGCCCGAGAACCCACTCGACCACGCAAACCAGTACTCGGTGAACACGACCAGCATGTTTTTGTAAAAGTAAAACAAGATAAACTTGCACACGCGATGGTAGGCCCACGCCCCATGGACAAACAGAAGCTTGCGGAGGAATCGAAACTAATGCCGCGTCGGTCGTGTACACATCATGCCCTCGATGCACGTACCTGCGCAATCGAGTAGTCGGACGCCCGAACCGCCTGCGTGCCTTCATGCCCGCAGATGCCAATGCCCAAATGCGCGGCTTGAATCATGCTCACGTCGTTTGCGCCGTCCCCGATCGCCAACGTGACGACGGACACGTGGTCGCGCGCGAGTTGGACGACTTGCGCTTTCTACACCATTGTGGATTGTGTGAGATGACGTTTCCATGGGTCATGTGTCCACCCGACCTGCTTTGGCGACACGCGGCAGCAGATGCATGCTCGACAGCGCATGGCCGCCCCGATAAAGACTTGCCGAGTCGACGGCAGCATCGCCAGCGCCAACGCGTCGCCGTCGAGAACCATCACGTCTTGCGTCATCTTGGCCGAGATGGTCGCCACGGGTGGCGGCGGTCGGGATGTCGGACGCGGCGCATTGGTGCACGTCATCCCGTCGACCAGTTCCGCCAAGAATTCGTACATGTCGCTCTCCGATTTGTACTTGCTCAACCGGTGGACGCGCGACGTCGGACGCAGCACGTTGCACGCGTGGCCGACGTTGATTGCAGTCTCTTCCTTGTCGCCCGTGAGCACCCAGACGCGGATGCCGGCGGCCAGGAGCTGCTCGATCGTGTCCGGGACGCCGTCTTGCAGTCGGTCCTCGATTGCGGTCATGCCCAGCAGCTACATCCTTCACGTCAAGACGAACGACGCCGCCGCCGCATTGTGCCGCCGACGTACGTGGAGGTCGCGTTCGATGGCATTTCTCGCCGACGCCACATGCGACTCGCGAAGGTCCGGGTCGTGAATCATGTTGGCGGCTTGATACGTCGTGCTCCATGCATCGTAGGTGGCCTGGTCCAGGTTGCGCACGGCGACACACAGCGTCCGGAGGCCTTTCTCCGAGTATTCAGTGAGGTGCTGCGTGATCCATGCGACGTGGTGCGGGGACGCCGGGTCGTTGGCGCTGGTGGTGGTCTCGCCGCCGCCGCCGCCGCCGTCGTCGTCGTCGTCATCGTTGGACGGAGGCTGCGCAGAGGTGGCGAGCCGTTTGAGAATGGCCGCGTCGGCGCCCTTGACAAACAGCCGAAGGCGTCCGTCTGGCGCCCGCACCACAATCGACATGCGCCGCCGTGCGCTGTGAAACTCGAGCACGTTCAACACGCGGTACGTTTCTTCGGCGTGCGTCGCGCGGTTCCACACCGTCACGGACGCTGCGCTTCTGCATTTGAACACGATCCTAATGGAACGTTGTGACAACATGGCCGCACATGGACGACAAAAGTCGAGCTCCTTCTTGCCGACAACGCACACAAAACGCAACTCGGACCACCACCTCGATGGAGCGTACCCCATTTGGCGTGCGGCCGCGACCATGGCCCCTTCGTCGGGACTCGACGCTTGGTATCGAATCGCCATGACGTTGGTCGGGTCGTCTTCGTCGAGTTCGGGCGCGACCGAGTGGCACAGCGCCAGGCAGAGCCAAAAGTCCATTTGGCGCGTGCGGTTGGGGTGCCTCGAGTCGTACAGACTCGTCCACGCGTCCGATCCTTCCAGTGGAAACTGCTTCTTTGGCGACGTCAACTGCACATCCACGATCGTGCTTTCGCTCGCGCAGTTGTTGGTGCTGCCTAGCGCACGCGGGCCCGCACTGGCCGAGAGCCGAGGAATCAGGAGGTTGGGGAGATGGAGGCGATGTGACCCGCATGCGGACGTTGGCGGCGGCGCAGCCGACGCCGTGGATACACTGGACGCCTTGATCGGAAGCGAGTCGAACGCGAACGCGCGCGGCATGCCGACGATCGCGCACGCCGAAAACACCATTTCGTTGCACGTGAGGGTGCCCGTTTTGTCGGTAAAGACGAGCTCAACTTGGCCAAGTTCTTCGACGAGGTTGGACGTGCGGCACTTTGCAAACGACGTGAGCATTGGCGCCGCGGTAGGAGCCGCCGACGTGGATATTCCCGGGACCGGGTCGAGCATCGACATGGACGGCGTCATGGCAGTCTTCGGTGCAACCACGCAGACCGCCATGTCAGCGTCGTGCTCGATCAAGTACTTTTGAATCAACTTGACGACTTCGATCCCGACGTACAGCGAAATCGGAATCAAGTTGGAATACGCAACGAGGAACGTGAGGTAGCCTTGGCCGCCGTTCGGCGACACGATCGACGTGGTTGTATCGTTGAATGTCGACAGGTACGGCGTTCGGGACGCATGCGACCACGTGAGCATGGCGATCGCATTGATCGTGCAGAGCAGCCCTACCGTGTCCGTTAGCGACAAGAGGATTATCGCGCCAGACAAGAACGACCCGCCGCGCACACATCAAACGCACATCACCATGGACACGTCCAATTTGCTTTCCAACGAGTGGAGCAGCCCGTCGTTTTCGCAAACGACGTTGGGCGGCGCCACGCCCGCGAAACCAGTCCCGAGCGAATCCGCCACAACGTTGTCGAGCAACGTGTGGGGCATCGAAACGGGATGGAAGCACGTCGCTCGAGACCGCATGGACGTCGATACACGAAACCCAGTTCGACGCGAGAATGGCCACCAAATATGCAGAGGCACACGACAACCCAAACGACGTGGCTGGGCTACCTTGGCGAGAGCTGCAACGCCCCTCCGGCAAGGACGGAAGCACGTGGATGCAGACATCCGTCGAGGGGCCCGCATGCACACACACACAGAGGACGTCACGCTGCACACCACGGACGAAAACGGAAGAAGAGTCGAGCGAGAGGACCTTGGACGAAAAAGACAAAGTAGAGGCACCGGTTCATGGTGTGCATGACGGTACTGCTCTTGTACGGCGGCGCGCTTCCGTTCAGAAACGACTTGGTGTCATGGCCGGCATACAGGACGACGCCGACCGCCCACTTGGTGTGGCGGATGCTGCATCCACGAAGAAGAAGTTGGTTCAATCTACCGAGACCGTTGTGTCACGCGAATGACGGCTTCCGTTTGTACGTACGTGAGGAGCACGGGAGCCGCGGTGCCAACGTGCAACGTGCCGCGGAAGGACGCGAGGGACGGACTTGGGGACTCGTGCTCGACGCGGCCGCGAAGGGACGGGATCGCGTCAAGGGGAAGCCCACCGTGGACGGCGTACAATGTCTTCAACGAACTTTCGCCATCCAAGTTGGCCGAGTCGATGGAGCAGACGCCGCTGTCGGTGTCGGACGTGGCGAGGAGGAGGCAGTCGGCTGGCACTTCGTCGTTTTTGCGAAGCAGCACGAGGTCTCCAACCTCAAGTTGATGCCATTGGAGGGTTTTGAGAGGGAACTGGAGCAGCGGGAGCGTGAGGGACGGCGACGGACTGTCGAGGTTCGACGGGGACATCTGCGGTGGTGGCGGCGTCGCAGAAGAGCACAACGAGACGTCGACGACATCGACGCTGCGTGTGTTGATGTCGGCGTCCGAGAGGTGCCGCATGTAGTCTTCGTATGCTTCTTTTGCAGCGGAGAACATGAGGACCGCCATGAACGTCCCAATTAGCGACACGGGGTTCTTCGGCGAGAATGGCATCGACGTGAGCACGCTGAGGACGAGGAAGTAGATATTCGCAACACGGCGGAACTGTTCAAACAAGTTTTTGGGGACGAATGTGAGGAGGGTGTACTTGGCGGTGTGGATGCGGTTGCCTCGAAAGTGCTGGGATCGGTTCAACGTGGCGCTGTTCAAGTACGTGATGCGATTCCCTGCATTTGCATGAGGCTTGGACACTCCCACAGACCCGAACGAGGCCGGTTGAAAGCCTTGCAACATGGCGGCGTCCGCGGAGGGGCCGGCGGTAGTTTGTTTCGCGCTTTCCACGTGCCGTTTCAGCCATGCAGTGGCTGTTCAAGATAGAAAATCGTCCCAATGAAGGAATTTCTAGGATTTCATCCCAAAAAAGCTCGACAATTTTGAACCCAGATTGTGGCACCATAGAGAGGGGAATTGCCTTGTTCTGGATCGTTTGGAATTATCCACCAGGAAATTATCCTTCTTCCGGTTGGTATCCGGTCAAATTCGCACCAGTGCCATTTTGGGCGGGAGATGGCAATGGCCGCAACAGGAGATAACGAGGAAGTCGAAGTGACGCTGCAGGAAGTACTCGAACAAGACACAGAGCTCGTGCACACAGCCAACGCTGTCTTGGGAGATGCCAGTGCTACCCATTGCTCGTTCCCTGATGGTTACGTCCGCCAAGCGTTGTTTGCGTGCCTAACGTGCAAGACTGACGAGCCTGCCGGTCTGTGCTTGGTATGTGCTTTGAATCCAACCCTTCTTGACTTGCGCGATCGTGTAGGCGTGCAGTTTGACATGTCATACCGACCACGAACTAGTCGAGTTATACACGAAGCGCCACTTTCGATGTGACTGTGGCAACTCCAAGTTCAACCAAGGTAATTCGTCCATGCGTCGCACTCGAACGGTGTCAGTGGAAATCACCGTGGCGGACGCATCATGTAGACGCGCCATGCAAACTGTACGAAGGCAAGGATCCTCTGAACAAAGAGAACGCGTACAGCCAGAACTTCCACGGTCGGTACTGCTCGTGTCATCGACCGTATCCTGATCCAGACCGAACAACCCCCGAGGTAATTTGCTTCCTTCCATGCTTCCGTCGAGCCATCTATCAAATGTTTCCTCATGACGAGGCACGCAGATCATGATTCAGTGCATCGTTTGCGAAGACTGGTTCCACGAAGAGCATCTCTTCGAAGGTTCACTCCATCGTCCGATGCACCGTTACGCGTAGTTTGCTCATATCATGTCTCTAGATTCAGCCACGAATGCCGCGGTGCTGGACACCGACTTTGACGAGATGGTGTGTCGATCGTGCATGGCGTCGCATGCGTTCTTGTACAACTACGCAGTCAGCGGCGCTTCCTCCGCACCGACAGATCAAGCTGCGTCTGGTGTCTGTCGAATGACGGCGACGGTGTCGCCGCCGTCCCCGGCAACGCCCACCTTCTGGACCCAAGGCTGGCGCGGCACACTGTGCCAGTGCGACACATGTGTCGAGTTGTACGAGTCGCTGGGGTGCCGTTTTTTGCTGGACGAGTCCGACTCGTTGCTGGCGTACGAGGCCAAAGCGGCCACGACGTCGACCGACGACGCATCCGTGAAGGCGTTCCAAACAGGGTTATCCCATGAGCAGCAAGTGGAAATGGCCATCGGGTACGATCACATGGCAACGTCATTAAAGGAATACTTGGCCGGGTTTGCCGCGTCCGGTCAAACCGTCAAAGCCGAAGACATTCAAGAGTTTTTCCAGACATTGCGCGCGTCCAAGCGTCAGAAGCGCGACAAGTAACGAGTGAATGAAAACGATTGATCAACAACATCGTGCGCTGCGTGCCTTGTCGCGTGCAGCGAGGCAACGAAAGGCTCCAAAATGTCGGTCGAAGCGGACCTTCATGACACGATCCACACGATGCTGCGTGGACGTGCAACAAAGACGTATTGTTGGTGGCGCGCATCATGTTCTGGCGGCGCCTCCGCTCATCTGCATGCTTTCAGACGAAACCTTTGTTCCAGTAATCCGCCGTCCTCCGGTGTCGTCGAGAGGGCCAACTGGCGCAACAGTCGCCGCATGTCCAGCCAGAGCCAACATCCGTGCGATGGCAACTTGTCTTGCCCTCGGTCACGCATGGCGCGCGCCATCAAGTCCAGTAACGGCAACCTTTTCTTGGATGCGCAGTTTCACCAACGTCGCCACCATGTCGGTGGCAGGTACGTCCGACGTGTTGGCAGCATGCGAGGAAGCATCCGATGACGACGGTAGATTCGATGCACATGTGGGACGAGATCGTTCGACTCAAGCAGCACGTCGCCGACCTGCAGCGGAACGAGCGCATGCTGCTGGACCTGGCCAAGGCCGCCGCCGACGACCGGAAGCGGTTTGTGACGCATCCGCAACTGGACGCCGGGCTGGCGCTCAAGGTGTGTGTGTGTGCCGTCCAACATGGTGGCACCCACGTCGACCTGACTTGTGCAGGCGTCAACGACGTCAGTGCCTGCCGAGGTCGCAAAGCTGCGGGCGGACCTGATGGACGTACGGCGCTCTGGCCGTCGTGACCGAGGAAATGTTTACCTGTCGTGTTAGGCGATCGCAGCCAAGGCGGATCTCACGCTCGTGGACACGATCCATTTGAAAAAGCTCGACATCTCGGCATTCGACGTACCACCGACTCTTGACGATGTCTTGACAGCGCCTCGTTGCAGGCGCATGTGGGCACGATGGGCAAAGTGCGTGTCGCCCTCGAGCAAATGCTCAAGGATATGTTTACATCGTTTGCGCTGCACGTCGAACGCGACGTCCGCGTCGTCCAGGGGCTCATGGACGTGAACGAAAAGCGCATGTTGGGGGCACTGACCACCATCGAAGCGGCCAAGCACGACCATTTATTTCTGTGTGACCGCGTCAAGGCGGTCGAGAAAAAGACGGCGGGAGGATCGCCTCCCGACGCCGCGGCATTCTTCCGCACCGACGACCACACGACATTTCGCACGTTTGAGGCGGCACTCAACGCGGTGCATGCCGAGACTGTTGCGTCGAACGAGGCCACTGCCAAACTCCACGAGAAGCTCGGTACGCGCGCCGTCGGTTGTAGAGTAGTTGTTCGCGCTTGTCGTGGTGTGCGAATATGTGAAAAATTCATCTCGCAACTCGTGTAGCGTCGATGCAAAGCTCGATCGATGCAGTCCAACAAGAAGCATCCAAGTCGCAGGTCGATGTGTCCGCAGCGATTGCCGCCGAAGTCGACAAAGCCCACGCTGCCGACGTCAAGGTGCGACTTGCTTGGTCCTGTTGCGACGGCCTCCAACTGCACACACGTCCATGGACCGAATCGGTGTGATCGGAGCGGCGTCGATGATGTAGATGTTCAGGACGTTGGAGGCCAAGCAGCACGAGTTCGCAGAGATGCTCCGCCGGGTACGCATGTGCCAGCTCGTTGCAAAGAGCGACATCACCATATTGATGGATGCGTCGCAGGCCCAAGACACGGCAGCGTTGGCCGTGGCGGCTGTCGACGACTTTAAGTCGGACGCGTCGACCATTCTCCAAGAGTCGTGCGACAAAAAAGTGGCGGCATCAGTATGAACGACTTGACCATGCGATCGTGAACGAATCGTGGTAGATGAAGGCGATGGGGAAAGAAACCGACCACCTCCGCGACATGATCAAGCGAAACCAATATGTACGTGTCGATCGCATGCACCTGGCACCCCGGCGGTCGACGCCTCTTGGCCGCGACCGCCGCCACGACTTCACCGCGCCATGGCGTGGTGCTGGGCTCTCACGTGTAACACTGACGGCTGTGTGAGTCGGCAGGTTGCCGCCGAGCACACCAAAACGGTGGAAGGGATGGTGCGGTGTACGAGTCAGGCATTGTCTGCGCTCGAACAAAAGCTCCATGCGCTCGGCATCATGTGCGATGCGACCCGCCGGGACATTGTCGACATGAAAGGCCCGTTTCTAACCGAAGTCGCCAACTTGAAGGCAGAGAACGGCGCGATCCTCAACGAAATACGCCGCCAGCAGGTGGTGTGCATGCTGCATCGCTAGACAGCATCCCACGCGTACGAACCCTACTGTTGAACCACAGGACGTGTCGAGGGAGCTCGTCCTCGACTACAAGGACCTGATCGACCAGCAGCACAACAGCTCGTCCGCAGCGATGACCACGACGGCAGCATCCGCCACTCGAACGACCGCTCCACTCAGGCCGCAGAAACCCATGTCCGCCCGCCGTCCACAATCCAGCAGTGCGATGCCCGTCAACGTGACCAAGCGATTTGGTGTCGTTGAGTGCCTCGCCATGCCGTCCACGTCGTCCGTCGCATGTGCCAAGAAGATGAAGCCAAGGGCAAAGACTGCTGGACCGCGACGCACGCCGGTACGGGGAATCGTGGCGTTGTCTTTGGGACGTCCCAACATGATCTCTGTGCATGATTGTTGCTGGGCAAGTCTGAAAACTATCTCGACTCGTGGCTGGCGAATGGATTTGAGAGGCGGGGGTGCGATTCGTGGACGAAGCTGAGGCATTCGTTCATCCGACTAGTCTGCCGACGCGGCCTCCATCGGACCCGACGTGACCAGCGCGGGGACCGGCCATGAACTCGAAAGGCAGACGCTCAAGACTCGATGGAGCCGCTCCGACGAATCTGTCCCCGACGACCACTTGTTTGTCGTGGGGTCCACCGACCCAGTCGAGAATGCGTTTCTTCTGACCAAGTCGACGCCCGTGCACGACCCCTTGGCTCGCTTCGGCCAACAGCGCTCGGCCGTGCAGAACAACAACTTGATGGACGATCGCGCCGTGCCCCACGACAGTGACGACGACCGCGATGGCGGGTCTATGCTCGGGTACGACTCGTCCTGGGCATGCATCGACGCCGAGGCTTGTAGTCCAGTGCGTCGACAACTCGGCCGCTCACGGAGCTGCATAGAGTTGGGCAGCAGCCGCATCCCTCGTTTCATCACGTCGGGTAACCCGATCGATCCATCCACATGATGGGTCAGTTGCCGCACCAAGGCCATACGACACCAAATTACCGTTCTAACGGACGTCGCCGACGATCGTGATCGTGATCCGTGTTCATCTCGAGTTGGGAATGAAAGCACTCTGCACAAGTCACGTGGCCTCGTCATAGCAACTCCATGTTATGTGGCTGGGTGTGGACTGCTTCTATGGGGGCGTGGTCCAGCCACGTCGTGTGCGACTCTGTGTTGTTGTGCCTGGGCCTTGTCAATGTACAACCCGATGAGCTTTTGCTGGTGTGGAGGCAATGTTGCGACGTGCGCAGCACAGGCACTGGAGCCGCCGAGAAAGTAGAGTGCGACTAAACACCCCACCGCGTTCTTGCGCACCCCAGAGTTTGCGTGGTTCAAGCACTACAACCACGAGAATGAACACGCCATCGAATGCTGCACGCAACGTACGGCGACGACAGCTTTTGCCGTGTTATCAAACGTCGGCCGCGACATGCCCTCGGTGTGCATGTCCAGAAGCTCCATGGCCAAGCGGAGGCATTTCAACACGACTTGGAGATCCAATGCCGACGACGACGGCGACGTGGAGCTCGCTACCACAAACGGAACGAGCAAGTGGAGGCGCGCCAACGCGTCGACGGTCGACAGGCATAGCTGCAACGTCTTGTCCACAAAGTACTGGGCCTACATGTCGCAGCTGATATACCCATGGGGGCACGGAACAACATGAATGTGTGCTCACCATCAACGATGACGGCGTCAGCGACGCGCTGCATCTCTCCAGGACGAGAACCGCGATGGGTTCGAGATGCCGTGCGATCGTTTGGGCATGGTGGGTCACAAGGGTTTGGATGGTCTGCATCACTCGCGCTTGAACCACGTTAAACTCGATCGAGCCCCCGCATTCGAGAGCGACGTCGAGCAGCGCAGGAATGGTCTGTGGCAAGTATACGTCGACAAGATCGTCGGGCGCATGTTGAAAGAGCACAACCACCTACATGACCGTCGTCACCTTCGAACTCCACGATGCCCGACCGAGAACGCGCATGTCGTGTAGAGACATGCTCACGTACCGACTCGGTTGCATGGAGCTTATCGTCGTGGCTCGCGTTGTTGTGGGTGGACTCTAGCCTTGCCAAAACCCGTTCAAACTCGGAGCTCTTGATGTGTGCTTGGTCGGCACGGTCCTGTCCGGTATCGTTGCGAGTGGTGTCGGCAGTGGGTCGTTGTAGAAGCGGTGCGTCGGATCTCGTGCTGTGGAGATTGTTGTCGAACAAGTGCCTGGGAGAATGTTGGGGCGGCATGATTGGCAACGGTGACGGTGCGCCAGTCTCTCCATCAAACGCGAGTCGGCTGCGCTTTAGCGACGTCGTTGCACCTCCTTGCTCGGTCGACGGTGTATTCGCACCTGAGCTCGTCGACAGGTATCGTTGCAACAACATGACTTTGTTGGAAGGCAGTTGCGATTCGACGGCGGCCATGGACGGCCCCACGCAATTATAGAGCGCATTGATGAGGCTGCCCACGGCCGCCGTCGTTGCCGCACTCGAGCTTGCATCTTGTTCGACAAAGAGCACGATTTTTAAGACCACGCTGCGCAGGAACGTTGCGTTGGAAAACAGATCGATTGCCGAGGGGACGAGCGGGGCGACGAATTGAAACACCACGGCTTTGACTTTGACTGGGATTCCATCGAGCATGGTCGACACAACGGCCATCGCGAGCGCCGATGGCTCCACGTTGGCGGCAAACGCTTCCAGCACGGCGATGGCGGCGGCGCGGACAGAGTCTTTGGAGTCGACGGCCTTGAGGAAAACCTTGGGCAAGATGGTTTTCCACGGCAACAGGGTTGTTGTGGTTGTTGTCGAGGAGGTCCTTCCAGCGGTGCTCGACGTCAACACAACCAGCGTCAATTTCAATGCCGCTTGCACGACGCGATAATGCGAATCGCCGACGCGTTTCTGCAACAACTTGGGCAACTTTGCACTCGTCACGATGGGTGCATTGGCTGGATTGCGCATCTCCACGAGCTTGGCGAGTCGCTCCAACGCTTCGAGCCTTGTCAGCCACAAGGAATCATCGGCTTTTTCAAATAATCCTGCCACCGCAATATCGTCCTTCGCGTCATCCATATTGTTCTCGTCCACGGATCGGAGTTGCTTGTTCGAGCTGCCATGGGTCTGCGACGACGTTGGCGGCTGGGAAGGCGGTGGTGGAGCTGAGTCGGAGTGACCAGAATGCAGCTCGTACCGCGAAGATGCTGGTAAAGTGACCACGGAGGATTGTTTTGCTGCTGGGGCACCGGTTTCGACGCGCTTGGCGCCAATTGAGACAGCGGCAGTGGCTACATTTTCGGGCGGCGCAGGGGAAGGATTCAGCACGCGGAGGGGGCCTTGCACAGTCAGTCGCACAGGGGCCGACGGGTCATCTGGGTCCTTCGCTGGAAGCGACTTGCGGTTGAGTACACGAGCCGCGCCGGTCACTGCGGTCGCGACAGTCGTGGTAGCTGCCGCTGCATCGGAGTTTTGCACACGGAGCGCGCCGACTTTGAGAGAAGTTGTGGCAGGGACTGGTGGAGGAATTGGAGTCTGGACCACGCTTGGTTGCCGTGATGGGAGCGACCACGATGTCAAACCAGGAGCAGAGCCACCACCTGCGCCATCTTGCGGACTGAGAGCTTTAGCCAGACCCAATGCTGTGTCTTTGTCGTCATGAAGGCGGCGTTGCGTGGAGCTGTCCAAATGGTTGTACAGGATGTTGAGGGCTCTCGTCTACGCATACCGACCATGAGCTCCGAGCATCGACATGTACAAACTCGGACAAGGTAAACGCAAGTGCCATCGAAAGACAACTAACGATCGATCAGCACGGTTGTTACCTCGTATTGGCTGTGAAATGCCCAAAAACACTTGCGCGCCGCCGCGCGAACGTCGGCTTGAGCGTCGAGAATAATGACAGGCAAGAGCGCCGCCAACAAATCGATGTACCTACCCCCGCAAGTCAGACACCGCCATCAGCGATGCGATCATGCGTTTCAATGCACCAACGGCATCCTACTTGTCCAGGACGCTCACGTGCCAACAGCTCAGTGCGAGGGTCAAGTACTCGACACAGTGGAGGCGCAATACTTGATTCCTTGCCTTTGCACCTTCAAGAAACCTAACATATCCGATCGATGCGAGTCCGTTCCAAGTCATTGCAAAGAGATGCAAAGGGCACGCGGGCGACGTGCGCTGTGTACGTCACAACGTTCCGGATGATGCAGGTCGCACAGGTTGCCACACGGCAACGAAAAGATTGGAGATCGACGTACTTGGGCAGCGCCTTCGGGTACCCCGACCCGCGCCCACTCAGCACAATACTCTTCAAGCACGCATCCGCCGATGTCGAAATGACTTGAATCGTAACGAACGTGGCTTTTAACAGCGCCGCGACAAAGTATTCGACAAACGGATGGAATGTGTCGTCCCCCATGCATGTCGCCAGGGTGGTGATCGTCGCACACGCTTCCCGCGACACAGTAGACCGAAGATCGCTTACTTGTTCGCAGATGGGCTCTCGCAGCGGCCGCAGCGACGTGACAAAGACGGCGAGTTGGGCGCCGCCGTTGGCCACGATCCGTTGCAAGTGTTGCAGCGCCTGATGAATATATACGGGAAGACACGTGAGACATATTCGATTCTCGACAACGTTGTCACGGCATCAAAATTGGTTTTCGCCGATGCAGCACATACATCGACGCGTTTGGCCCAGTCTGTCCCGGTCGCAAGGCCATGGGCGATCTGCTGCATCTCGATCAAGAGCTATGGAAAAAACCACATGTGAGCCCAGACGTGGAATATTCCAGTAGATGGTGCGTCAAGAAGAAAAGCATCGTGGCGGCTATGCACACACCACCACACAACGAAGTCACGTCAAGGAACGGCAGCATGCATATACACATAAATGCGCTCCTTGCAGGAAAACGCGGTCGCGCACCTCTCGCTCCGAGTACTTGCACACAACGTGGTTTAATGCGGAGCCGAATGCCGCTGGAAGGGGGTTGACGTGGGTGCCGACGGAAGTCGACATGGGCTTCGACGACGACGGCGAGAGTGACAACGAACCAGTCGAGGCAACCGACGACCCTGCTTTGGACGGCTTTATTACCCGCGGAGGGGATTGTGACTGAATCGATCGAGACGACGCCGGCGGGGACGTCCGCGGCTTGGTTGAGAGCGTCAAACTGCTCAGGTCCTACCACAGCCCCACGATTCAAGATGTGGTCGACAAAGCGGAGACAATCCTGTCATCGGAAAACGTACATCGGCACCAAACCGCGTCAAGAGCATGCGCATGTGTGTGTTTCGAATGTGTTTGGATTGAAGGTCACTCTATGCAAGTCGCCGTGTAGTGGATCGTCGAGAGACGAAAGCAGGGCACAAGACGAGGGGCGTACCAGGAGAGTATGGCCTTGGATTTTGTAGAGCGCCTCAAGAACGTTGATGCTGGCGTCTCGAACTTCCTTGGTCGAGTCTTCTAGAAGATTGAGTGCCTGACACATGATGAGAAATGGCGGACAGAATATAGTGTTCGGCGCATACCAAGTCGACGAGGCCATCAAGACATAGGCGATACGGATCGTCTCGGAATCGTTCCATGGCCAAAAGCATGGCGAGCAGAATCTGAAACGAGGGTGCGTGGTGGTTGACTACCTTAACGCGACGTCCAATGGATGCTGTACCTGCTCGCGAGTTCGCCAGTTCTTGTGAGCGGCGCACAACTTGAGTCGATCCATCACGGAACTCATTCCAAGTTTCTCCATGAACACCAGCAAGAGGTCCGTGGCGGCTTCACGCACGGGAAGCTTGCTGTCGCCCATCTTTTCTTTCAGCGAACCCCAGACTTGTCCAAACCATGGTCGGATCGCATCAGGCGACTTTCTCGGACTCGCAACAACCTTGGCGAGAACCTTCAAGCTACCTTGGGACACCTTCGAGTTGTTGTCGGTCAGGCAGCCCACAAGAGCTGACGTCAAGTCTTCCCATCCTTCGTCGTCTACGAACGGATCGGCGGCACCGACACCGGACAGTCGTATCTTGGACTCTAAGTTCGATGCAGCATCGTAGTAAGGAGGACGCATCAGCTTCCGCCATCCTACCATGGGACCGTAGCGCGCTCAGCACGTGCTCCATACGACGCGACGCTGGCGGCGGCGGCGAATTCTCGGCAAATGAAATCTGTTGTTCTGTACTTACTCGTGTTTGATTGGAGGCCGCCCGGAGATTTGAATTCAAGCCAATCAGCACTCTTAAAAATCTGCAATTATAGCCAATCGTATTGGAATAAGTATCCCACGTAACTCCCAGTTACATCAACAAGCACCCGCCGACGATGGAATTGCCACGGCGAGGCCGCTTCCTCGCCAAGGACCCGCCGCATGCAAACAGCGACAACATTCGAGGCATCTTCGGCACGCTGCCATTAGCTACGATGCTTGAAGGTATGTCTTCCACGGCACATCGAACGTTCGCCATGTATGATGTAGAACTGCCTGTTCACGGACGACAGCACGTCAGGTATTTGCGACGACAAAACCGCGTCAAGACGAATCCTACGACGGAAGGGTGATGGAACGGGCATTCGTAGGGCGGAAGTTGGCATTACGACACCGGCGTTGGCGACTCAAGCTATCGATCGCCTCGAGAACGCAATGCGACTCTTGGAAGATGTGTACGGCTACGTGACCAACGCAGAGATGCAGGGGCACGCAAGGACATCCATGCTCGCCGAGTTGGGCAGTCTCATCATCGAGGCCAAGAAGGCTGCCGACTGCACCATCGCATTGTTCCACGACACGTACGTGCTTGTCAGCCTTCACCTGTGTCAAGTGTGATCATCCTCCAGTCTGGCTCATTTACCAACGCCGCCGAGTCCGCCGCGCGCGTTGCCGCATAAGGATGTACCAGAGGCAGTGCCATCCACTCTCACGTCCTCTCCATCCATCAGCTGCCATCTCGTCGACGACGAAGACGATTTTGAACCCAACACCACATCACAATCCCCGCCCAGGAGAAAGGTGGCAGCTGCCAGCGACCTACCCGACGTGAAACCTCCCATCACAAAGAACTTACCAAGTCCCAAGCAGCGGCAACTGGTGCAATATGCCCACGTGAACACAGCTGAGCGCGTTGTATTTGTAGAAGGCTCCATCGCCTCCGAAAGCAGCGATGTCACACGCGCGCCTTGACTCGAAAAACGCCCGACTGTGGAAGGACTTGCATGCCGAGTTTCATGCGAAGAAAGCCGAACTCAAGGTGCGCCTTGTTGGCCAGCAAGTGCCGGAACCGAAACATGTCTGTTTGACTAGCAATTACGACGACGGATTGGAGATGCCGAGCGACTCACCAAGACTCAAATCCATGATCACACACAAGCTTTACGAGGCCTTGAGCGTCTACAACTCGACCTACCACGGTAAAAATGTAAAGTATATTCACTCCATTGCCGTTCAAAAGCACGCGATTCGCATGGTACAATATCGAGAGGATGCTCGGTTTTTCACGTCGCCGAGCCACTGGAGCAACTCGAGGTTGGGCACGCACAAAACGTCGCCACAGAATACCTGCAGATGGAACCCTTCCCGAGACTGGCACTCATTGACCATGCGTCTTCCTTGGTCCAATGCGAGGAAGCGTTCCGGTACAGTCGATTTGGTCTGGACAACGCAACAAGTCGCTGGTTCACGTATTGAAGCTAGGCTGGCCAAGGCTCGTACGTACTGACAATCGATTCATTAGGGCCGATCTTTGCGTCGACGTCGTACGTATAGCTAGACCATTCAGGCAGCAGTGTTCCCCCAATGGAGCCAGAAACAGAAACAAAGGCCAGAAGCTGGTCTTGATGGGCCACAATGTCTTGTTAGCAAGGCCGTCGTGATCGACCCGTTCGAGTAATGGAGAGACAACATGCAACGACCCCAGCGCGCGTTGAACTGCGTGTCGAAGATGCCCACCATTTTGAAGTTTGCCACCGCAGGGTATGGTAGGCAATGCCCTGGCTTGTCTAGTCCACAAGAAACAAGTTGATGACAACTGCCTCATACGGCGGATGGCTGGCTCGATGCTGTCGCCTTTCATGCATAGCCGATGATCATATTCAGGTTGGATGACGAGCTGAATGAACGAGGCACAGAAATCCTTGGCGGCGTTGTGGACATAGAAAGGGTTGCTGAGGGCAGAGACAACTGGGCAATCACACCCCCATCAATAATGTACGATAGGAGTGCCAGAGATATTGAATTCTGGTCACCGCAGATCGTTGGTCATGTACGGAGCCAAGGACAGATAGTATGACCCTACCATGTAGTTGTACCGCCTGGCCACTTCGCCGTAAAATTGATAGGTAGATGCGTCTCTACTGTTTCTATTGCTCTGGTGGTGTTGAGCCGACGGTTCGTAAACGCTTGTGCGCGGGGCAACTCACGGCCACGTCCAGTTGCTCGGGCCGACAGCGAGCAGCTTTCCTACCAATTTGCTCGTGGAAAGGCGATAAGGCTCAGGCCAGGTACGCACTGCGTGGATCAAACTCGTCCAGGAACGAGGAATTTGCACGTTTTCATGTCATTCTTCGTCAGAAACTAGATGACATTATTCCCTTTCCTCCATTTAGTTGTTGCGATTGCATCCACTCGTAGCATAATCGTGTGTAAACGTTCCTTCAGCTTCACTTTCACCGCACACACGTCATTCTTTTGGTACTCACTTCGTCGTTGTCGGCGGCGAGCCGCTGAGGGCATCGCTTAATGGAGACGTCGTCCTCCCATCCACCCTTCGCTCTCATGCGCTGCACTAGTGCTGCGGCGGTCTTGGTATGATGACAGCTTCACCGTACAGGGGCATCTGATTGGCCACTGATTAGAGACTTTTGATTGGTACAATCTACTGTCATCGCGCACTTTTCGTTTTTCTCTCAACCCCGCAGATGTCGTTCAAAGCCGCTTCCGTCGCTGCCGTGGTGTCGTCGTCTGTGTGGTGGAAGGTAGCTGCTGTATCCGGTGCTGCTGCCGTTGCATTTGGTGCGTACATGATGGAGTTTGACCCCCCCCCTTGAGAATATTCCTTGCTGACTGCAGGTGCGTTCGGTGCCCATGCGCTCCAATCTCGTGTGAAAAACCCCAAACGCATCAAGACGTGGGAAACAGCTTCTCATTACCATTTGATCCACTCCGTTGCCCTTCTGGCTGTCCCATTAGCGCGCCGCCCAAATGTTGCGGGGGGCTTCCTCACGGCCGGGATTGTCCTCTTCTCTGGCAGTTTATACACACTAGTATTGAGTGACCAGGCGAAACTCGGAATCATTACGGTAAGATTGACTTGTGATATTCCTGCTCATGCTGAGACTCACGATGGAAATTGTAGCCGTTTGGGGGCCTTGCGTTTATCGCTGGGTGGCTGGCGTTTTTACTTTGAATTGGTCGATCAATACATCCGTCGTTGTCTACTTGGTTACTCTATTTATTCCGTTTGGAAAGCCCCGCAATGAGGAGCACCGCTGCGCCAGCAACCGCCACTGATGCCGCCGCCAGAACGGTCGTGCTCTGGTACCACGCAACAGCCTCATCCTTCTTGGTCTCTGCATCAATCGATTTCGTCGTTGTCATAATTGCCTTGGACTTGGGTGGTAAAGGTTTGGCCTTTGGGGTGCTCGAAGCCGACGACGTCGCCTGTTCGGGCGGATTCACGAGGAAGCCTCCCCATCGCAACTTTTCCTTCTCCTTTTCAAGTGCAATCCGTTTGGTCACTACATCCAAGAGCTGTCGGCACGCCTTGTCCTTCGGCATCAACTTGACTGCCACCATAAGATCCTGTCGCGCTTCAACGACATTTTCCATCGCCACGAGGGCAGTGGCGCGGCGAAACCGTGCTTTGCTTGGCCATTCGTTGAAGATCTGAGCTTCAGTCATGCCGAGGCGACCCATCCACGCAGCAACTTTTCCATGGCGGTTCTCAGTCAATGCTTGCAAGATCGAAATCGCATTCGAGGCCGCAGTCCACGCGTCGGCGTGCTCTTCTTTCTTCAATTTGCAGGCAGCCAGGTTCAGGTGACACCGAATCATCGTTTGCAGCACGACGGCTTTTTCTTTGTGAGACGCCGAGTCCTGGTCGACGTGCTTGAGAAAGGTGAGGCTCGACAGGTATTGCGTCACAGCTTCGTCCAGCGCCTCGGCCTTGAAGGCAGCGTTTCCTTCCGAAGACTTTGCGACGGCCGCGTCAATGCGCTCCTTGTTGGTCATGTCTGCAACCTGCACGCCACCCTCCAACGCCACGTCCTTGGGCTGCATGAACAATGTCCCAAAGGTAGATTGCACACACACAACCCCATCGGCAGCTCGTACGGACACGACGGTGCCACTGCCGTACGGGGTCGAGACCTTGACCCCCGGTCGCAGCCGCGGCTTGACTTCGATATCTTCCGAGACAGAGTCTTCCCGCAGGTAGGCTGTTGTGGTTCGCTTCACTTGGCCAGGCGACGCCGCCATCAGGACAACGTACATGCGCGTGGATTCCCGAAACGTGACGACGGTACCCTTGCCAAATGGAGTGACGACTTTGGTGCCGTCCGCGAGAGGCGTCCGTGCAACTGCCGCAGGATGGAACACGTCGGGAGTAAACCGGTGGCCGGGAATATACAGGCCCGCGGCGGCGGCGGCGGAGCCGAAGGCTGCAGGATGGCGAATCGTGGCTTGAACCAAAGGCGCAGTTTGATCGAACAAGCGCGCTTCGGCTTCGAGGAATTCTCTTCGAGAAGCTAATTTCGCCACAGTGCGTTCGAGGCGGGCGACAGCATCGTACTCGAACGTCATCGAGACGTGCACCTAGTACCAAACGGCCACCACGTGAAAAAGCCAGGAATCGTATGAATTGAACAGGATAGGACTATTACCCGTCCGTACGACGACTCGGATGACGTTTGACCGGGTGGTCCTGCCAACGGCACCCACAACGAAACAGGTTCTTGGTCGAGGAGCTGTGCCACATCGAGCTTGCAAGTTCCGACAAACACATCCGCCACAACGGGAGAGGGATGGTGCAACGTAAACGTTGCAGTGGCCGCCTTGGACTTGATCCCCGTGAACACAACGGTGGCGGACGAGCCCTTGTTCCAGAAACAACGCTTCGTCACGCTGTCCACGGTGGTAGGGTCTGTCTTGGCGGCTCGCACGTACAATTTGCCCTTTTCCACAGCAGATGCAGCGATAGCTACCGTGCCCACAACTGTGGTGGTTCCAGTCAGGTTGAGGTCAACGATTCCGTCAAGGTTGAGGTCCTCGGCCCCGAGAACGGTCACCCGCCACACGCCAATCGCCTTGCCATCTGCTGCCATGTCAATGCCATGGCTGTTGCGTGTAACAGACTTCTTCGCGTCGGCCAGGTTCGCTTGAGCGTCCAGAAATTGCATCTGCGCCTCGTCTTGCACCGAGAGATGGCTCACTTTCTCCCACGTCACCGAATTGCCCAGCATGGTCACAAGACAAAATCGCGGAATGGCATTCCGCCTTCCGTTGACAACGCTCGGTATCCGGAAAAGGCGTGTCCTTATCCGGTGGGCTACAACCCCTATGTCGTATATTGATTGGTCAAAAATAATTGCCTAACGATTTTCATTGGCCCGATAAAAAGAAGTACTAGCTGGCGACGTCCAACAACGCCGGACGCAGGCACAACAAGCGCTGCTTCGTCCGACGGGAGGCTGAGCGAACGATGCGACCTCCTGAGCAGCCGTCCTGACTACGTTCAGACGACCATGGTGATCGTTCTGAAGGATGAAGGTAACAACGATGCGCACCCAGGAATCGCTGTTTAGCACGATTTCAATCGACACAACTTGACTGCCCGGAGCGCCAGCCATGTTGGCTAGATGGGCGACACTTGTCGGTTGTGCATCCGTGCAGCTTTGAACGTTGACATCGATCAGCTCAATAATGACTCCATGAGAGGATAATCTTCACATTTGGTGGTATCCGAGTATCGACGATGTGCCGCATGTCGTCGACACCGTTGTTGTTCGTGAGGATCACCTCCTTCGTCACGTACAGTCTTCGCTCGACCGAGACCAAGATGGCGTCCAGTCCTGAGGCGTGCAATCCTGTTCCCCATAAATTTAGGGACTGCAAGGACGCCGTCGTACGAAACGCAGCGGCTAGTGCCATCGCTACTTCGTCCAGGACAATATTGTTCTTCAAGCTCAGAACCCTGACGCGTGTGCGCGACATCGCCTTGGTAAGCGCATTGCAACCAAGAGGGCCAATGCTGCAAGCGGAGAGATTCATGTCATGTACATTCGAGCCGACCAGTGCAGTTGCTAGCGCCTCCTCATCCGCGACGTTCAGGCAGGTTTCGGAGAAGTCGACAAGCGTGAGGTTGAGCAGTTGTGGCAGGACGTTCCAGATGCCGTCCGGCACAAGTTGACTGAGCTGGTTTTTTAACCAAGCCCAGATTCTTTAAGCTTCGCGGAAGGGTCAGTGGCACGGCCTGTGGCATCTCGCAGTTGGTCCAGATCAACCTTTCCAGCGCGTCGGCGGCTTCAATAGCTGTGTAAAACGACTCGATCTCGGCATCTTTGCATTCGAATCGATACGTTTCCAGAGCAAACGTCGTGGCGTTCTTCGACTTCAACCACGACATGAATTCGCGTAAGGTCGCACGGTTCAGCGCCTGGTCCTCGCCATGCTGATGCCACGTCGATGGGCCCCGGAGATTTACGTCGGTGATAGAGGATTTCGAGATGCAATGAACAAGCGTTTTCATCAAAGCAGGACTGCCCACTGTCAGCTCCACTCGACGAAGGTGGTGCATCGATGGCAGGACGTCACAGAAGTGCTCGATGACGCGGTGCATGCGCTCGGGGTACTCGTTCCCGGTGAATGCCGTATGAATCAACGCAACCACAGGAAGATGTGCCAAATGCCGAAACCACCGACGCAGGAGTCGAAGATTCGGCTTCTCGGGGCCACGCATGATCATGGTGGTGGGTGGACCGAACGGGGCATCGTGAGGTCGTCTGTAGCGTACACTTCAACAGCGGTTGGGTATGCCGGAATCGCGGGCAAAGCGGCTTTCCATTCGCGGGCATTCATGTTTCGCAGCTGTAGGCGAGGCCTGAGGGTACTAGCGTCGAGCTTGCTTGCCAAATCGCGCCAAATGGACCAAGAGTATCAGGCACATGCGTATGAAAGGCTTCAAGGTAAGCGAAGAAGAACTCTTCGTCAGCGATACACCACGCGATTCGCTGAACGAAGTCACGTGGCAAACGAGCGATCAACTTGATGCGCTTGGCCATGGCACGGGCATGTATATGGAATATCACGATACCTGAGCAAATCCATCATGGTAGTGTTCCACGTCGGTACTGCGGAGGCCTGCAGCGCCATTGCACAGGTGGTTGGCGGCCATGGCCGAGGACAAACGGTGTTGGCACGGTTGCCCCAAGGAAGTGAACCGACATGGGGCCCCGAGGAGTGGCATGTTGTTCGAACCGTGCTACGGCAACGTTCGCCGAACGACACGATTTGACGACATTCGACCGATATGAAGGATTTTCCTACGCAATCGGCATTTTCGCTGGAGAGCATGATGGAGTTCTGGCGACCGGGTCGGCATGACGACAACAAGTTTGCGTACGTGACGTTTGATGAGCCGTACACGTTGCTCGAACTCAAGTACATGGACGTCCTGTGCCAAATCCTGGCCAAGCCACAGTGGTGGGTCAAGTGCCAAGACACGACCATCTTGTCGAGGTGGAAGGCCGAGTCGACGCTTTCCGACCACGATTTCGCCTTTCTCGTGCGCGAATTGGAGCACTACATCCAACAATGCCGCTTGGATGTGGTTGCGTCCTCTCCAGCATCCACGGACGACCGTCCCCTGATCATCCCGTTGCCAGTCCATGGTGTGTTCATGACCGACCACGTTGTCGGGTCGGACTTGTTGCGATCCATTCAAACGTTGACGGTCAAGCTCGAGAATCAAGCCCGCGCGCGGGGAGATTTCCACCCACACTCGAACAACCAGGTCCTCGACATTGTGCATCCGTCGTTGTACTGCGCCGTGAACGGCCGGACGCGACTGTCGACTTCGACGGCCGCAGTCGTCGGAGACCACGTGCTAGCATGGCCCGCGTCGAAGGTATACGATGTATCAAACAAATTCCAGTGGCTGCCGACGCCCATTCATGTGGACGCGTCGGGCTCGGTGTCGTGGCAAGCGTACATCAACGGCATCGATCCTGCCGACCACGTCGCGCTGTACTCGGCGTTGGAGAGTCTATTTGCAACGATGGTCCCGATGTTTGAACAGTGTTTGGCGGCGGTGGACTCGCAGCCACCCCACCGCATGCAGAACATCGACATGAGTGCCGTCATGCCAAAGAACCGCCGCGAGTGTGCAGAGGAAGCGTTCCGCGCGTTGCAGCGCGAGACAAACCCCAACATCACGGACGAAGACCTGAGCGAAATGGACGACGGCCTGGACGAGTTCACGGACGACTTTGACGAGAGCCAAGTCCCGCTCTTCCTCCCGACCCTTCCGACCGACACAGATGGCTGTTGGGCGGCATACCCCGCCGTGGATTTGAAAGGCAAGAACCTCCAAGTGATCGTCAAGGTGGCGTCGATTGAGCTCACGCCGGACAAGCCGCGGTACCCCGGCGGGTCATGGCACGTTGAAGGAATGACCCATGAAAGCATCGCGGCAACCGGCATCTTGTACTACGACTGCGACAACATCACGACGTCCAAGCTCTCGTTTCGCCATGTGTACGACCCGTACTACGAGTTCGACTACGAGCAGGACGAACACACAGCGATCTCGGCGGTGACGTTTGGTGTTGAAGGCGGCGTGTGATGCTCACGGGACGTCTCTAGGTCTACGGCATCACCCGCGAAGGTTGCGACAATACGCAAGTCGTCGGCCATGTGGTTGCTGCGACTGGGCGATGCGTCGTCTTTCCCAACTTCCTGCAGCACTGCGTCGCGCCGTTCGAGTTGGCCGACCCGACGCGAAATGGCCACCGGAAAATCGTGTGCTTCTTCCTGATCAACCCGGACCACTCGATCTTGTCGACCGCAAACGTCCCGCCGCAGCAGGAGTCGTGGACCCGTCCAAGAATGGACTCGGCGTTTGCAGGAACCTTGCCCGACGAAGCGCTCGACGCAATTCGAACCATGTCGGGGGTCATGTCCCATGCCCAAGCCAAAGAGTACATGCTCGAGCTCATGGAAGAGCGCAAGAACAGCTCCGTGTTCGCCCAATTCCTGACCGAAGAAGTGTCGCTTTGGTACGTGGCTGAAGAAGGCAAGGACTTCCCTCATCTAACTCCATTTTGTAGCGAGCATTGATAGGTCAGGCACCTGTGACTCCATTGCATGCTGTGTTGAATTAGTTGACGTTTTGTCGATCTGCCAAAAGCGTTCCACATCCACCAGTGCAAGCACCTACGACTGAGGGCAGCCCCGCATGATGCTTCTACTAGTGGAGAGCTGAGGGTGCTTCGTACATGTTACGTATCACTGTGCAACACAAAGGACGGCGTGTCGGTCAACAGTTCCGTTGCGGACGCATATTGGTTCAATCCCCAATCCTTCGTAGGCGGGGCATCGGCTGACCATTGTGTCTAACCTGTGGGAAGATTATCTCGCATCCTTCTAGCATCTCCCTCAACCACGCGTAAGGCTTTGCCTCGCTTCGTCCAGCCGCGGTCTGCCTTCACGCACCATGCTTGTCTCCTTGCATCGCGCAGAATACAATCCGTACCACTTTATCCGGACACGTCCAGGTCGCATGATATAAATTTTCACAGGTTCGCATGCGAAACCGTTGCCGTCGATATAGTGTGACCTTCCCATCGCATAGCGATCGCCACCCCAACAAGTCAAACGGGAACAGCTTCCATGCACATCCATAGGCGTGTCAATGAACTCGTGCGCTTCCCGTATCTTCAACCACGTGGCATCGTGTTGATGGCATCGATTCACACTGTATGCCGTCGACGTCACGTTCGAGAACATCCAGCAGGAGCGCGGTTGTAGCCGTGGCACGTGCTGGTAGACGAAAGGGTCGTTGCCTTCACCATCTAGTGTATCTTGGAGAGGAATGGCATGACGCTGTCTCTACACGTTCAAGCTGACACCAAGTGTACCTTGATGTTTGTATGGAGAGGTGCAAGCCCGGGTATCCGGATAACGAAAGCGCGCCAACCGCTATACAAAGATCAAGTGTAATCATGTCCGCTGGAAACCGAAATGGACATCATTGCGTTCACGTGTGGTCGTTCACATAATGTTCCAGGTGTGAAAAAGTGAAACATCGAATGATAGAGGTTCTGGGGAAGGAACGAAAGGTCGGGTGGGGTCTGGGTGCGTATCATAAAGGCAAATGTATGCATTGTAAGAGGTTATTCACCTCCTTCTCAGAATATAGCATGGAGAACGGATGAATATTCTTAGCTTGGTGTCATTTCCAAATTTCGCGGCTCCCGCGCATTGAAACGACGCGTTCCACGACCGATCGGACATGTCGGCATACCATGCGCGGTCCGCCAGCAACAACACATGTGTAAAGAAGCAAGACGCGTTCGATCTGTCCATGTTTGCTCCACCTACGTCGCCAACACCTCAAGACGACGACGACAGCATCCACGGGATGCGCAACTACGCGATTGGACCTCGCATCCAACGCTCGATGAGCGCGCCGCCTATGGCAGAGAACGTACGTGCATTTTGACTTTTTGACGAATGGACCCTGCTAACTTGTACCTCGATGCATAGGTTGGTCGTCTCCCGCCACCTATGTATGCTCAAAGCGAATATGCCGAGTCGCCAGCAGTACGACCAACGCGCTGGATGCTCTTCGAACTCATGGAACAATTTGTGTTGCAGGATGCGAGTATGAGTCCACCTGAGTACTACTATTACTATGCGCCCAAGTCCCACAATCCACGCCTGCCCATCTCGTACAACAATTGGGAAGCGATGCAAAGGCAACATTACGCGCGCCACACAACATCCACCTTGCACCGCGTCCAAATATCAGAGCGCCGGCGGGGTGGAAGTGAAGAATCCACAGATAGCCAGGCGAGGTTGTCATCGAACAAAGACTTCGAAGCCGCCGTTGCAGCGGCTGGTGGTCATTCCCTGCACCACTTTGTCTCAAATCAAGACGCAGAACACCATCATGCACACTGCTTGTCTCCCACCGACTCATCCGACAGTAATTCTTCGTCATCCGTTCGACCAGTCAACAAGACGCTCATTGATCGGATTCAAGAAGATTTTCCGCGAACCCCGTCCCCTGTATTTGGATACACACCAGCAACGTTGGAAGTTTCCCAAGGCACTATATTTCCTGACTTGGGGGGGATTCCTGACGTGAAAGAACTTCCTCCCGACTTCCTCCAAAACATGAAGCGGCTGAATTTGTCACATGGTCGTGACAATGGCAGCCATTTTAGCTCCAAGACCAGAAGCAATTCATTCTTGTTTCCACCTGGCTCGATGCTTCCTCCACCGGGAATGATGCCACATCCTCACCACAGTCAGTATCCCATGTATTTCGGCCGATATCCTCGTGGGGGAGGCGTGCCATTTATGGAACATCACATGAGCCACCGACAGTACATGGATTCGTACGACGCTCAAATTGGGGATCCTTCTTCGAGACCAGATATTCGATTGTTGCCACTACCTCACAACTATGACTACGACAAACCTTTGTACACCGGGTGCTATATTGCTCCGTCACAGCATGAAGCCAGACTCTATCACCAGCGCGGAGCTGCGGCGTGGGATGCTGTTCAAGAAGCCTGTGACAACAGCACCTCAGATCACCATGTAGAACCGGAAGGGTTTGCACCACATTACCAACGCAATCACATCCAAGTGCAGCCATCGGTCATGCGTGCCAAGGCAAAAACATGTCCAGGGATATCAGTGCCCCAGCAAGGTGCTCCGCAGCACTCGCAGCAACGCAGCGTCCTCCTTGAAGACTTTGACTTTAGAACCATGACAACTTCCAAGCCGAGCAAGTGGGAACTCGTTGACGCGCGTGGCCACATTGTTGAATTTTCGAAAGACCAGCACGGCAGTCGGTTCATTCAGCTCAAACTCGAGACAGCGAAGCCAGACATTAAGGACATTGTGTTTAGCGAGGTGGCACCAGTGGCACTGCAACTCATGACGGACGTGTTTGGCAACTACGTGATCCAAAAGTTCTTTGATCATGGCAACCCACAACACATCACGCAGCTTATGCGAGTCATTCAAGGTCACATGTTGGACTTGGCGCTGCACATGTATGGATGTCGAGTCATTCAGAAAGCGCTCGAATCCACCGACGACTTGGACCTCAAGCTCGATTTGATCTGCGAATTGCAAGGCCACGTGCTACACTGCATCAAGGACCAAAACGGAAACCACGTGATTCAAAAGTGCATTGAAATACTTCCGTGGAAAGTTCCGTCGGTTGTCGAAGACATGTCCCGTGCATCGTTTCTGCTCGAGTCGTTTGAGAACAATGTGGACACCATGTCGACCCATCCATACGGGTGCCGCGTCATCCAACGCGTGCTTGAGAAGTGCTCGGACGAGCAAATGGCACCAATATTGCGCGAAATCCAAGACTCGTATGGCCTGTTAGTCAACGACCAATACGGCAACTACGTGATACAACACGTTCTGCAGCACGGTCCGCCGTCACAACGGACAGCGCTCATCAATCGCATCTACCCTGACATTATCCGGTTCTCGTACCACAAGTTTTCGAGCAACGTGATTGAAAAGTGCTTGTCGTATGCGTCCGTGAAACAGCTCCGCGTGATCATGCACCACATTCTGAACAGCTCCGACAATGGCGAGTGTCCGCTCCAAATTATGATGAAGGACCAGTACGCCAACTACGTCGTGCAGAAGCTCATCGACGTGGCCGACTCGACCGAGCGCGACAAGATGGCGGCTATCATCAAGTCCCACGCTGCCAACCTCAAACGGTATACGCATGGCAAGCACATCCTGAACCGCCTCGAGAAGCTCACGGGTCAGAAAATCATTTAACGTTCACTTGCAATTATTAACATAACTCAGTTCTTTGGTCACCTCATTCTCGCGGGTCTTGCCCATGTGCCCACTACGGCCAGCCGTCGTTCAACGTCGTAAGGGTCGGATGCTCCACAGGTTGGTGGTGTCCATGCGCACGTCGTTTCTACCATCGCACGTACCCCGTGGCCACGGCAGCATTCGCCTGGGCATTCGCTTAATGACACGACGCGACTGCAACCGCCATCTGGACAACGCGTACCGCGTCGAATTTGTCGTAGATCTTGCGCCATTGGACTTGTACGTGCTCGAGCGTTTTCACACAACATGTCAAAATGTAGCGCCATCATGTGGGTCGACTTCCAACTTTCATTCTGGACGCTTGTCAGGGCAACCTGTTGCATATCGACGCGTGTCCACTGCCGCTTCGTAGCCTCAAACTGACCTGTCGGTGCCATGGCGACTGCTGTCGTCAAGCGGTACAGACAGACAAGTTGCACTCAACCAAATCCACGACAATGCTGCGTGCCACTTGCAGCGGAGACTCCCAGGACAACGCACAACTTGAGCCGCCGCTGGAAACAAGCATGAAAGTTTGCCGGACGAGAAGGCCGACGCACCAGTCGCACTTGAACCACTCCCCGAGCCATAAATGTCCACTTGACTCGACATGGACCGGCAATTGCAGGCCGACGCCATGATCCCCCCACCTGCCGTGCTGCGTTCGACCGCAGCCACGGAGAGCAACTCACGGCGCGAACATCCATCGCATGAAACGAACGGTGGCCAGATCCACTTCGAACCCAAAAACAAACTACAGCATCGACCATGTGTGTGTACAGTGGGTAGATTGGAATGCCTCATGCAACAAGCCTGGACCGCACTCGACGCGATAGCCTGCTGATGAACACTCCGGACTAGCCCAATCTCGAGCGATCAAGGTCAGCGCACCTCCAAGCAGTACGTTGTCTCGTTTCCAAAGTTCTGTGTGTACTGCAGGCGGGTGGACGGGATGTCTCTCGATGCGGTCTCAACACACCCCATCCCACCAAGTGCCGCACAGAGTTTGCCTTGCGGTGGTGTTTCAGCCGCGAGACCCCATTCTATCAGATCGTGCTGATGAAGATTGAAAGGGACATGCGGACGTGCCGTTGTTGGCTGTAGTCTGGACATGTTTGGCCTGATGGATTATATCGAGGCATCTCTCCCATGACTCTCGCGACTGGATATGGAACCCCGTAGCCGCGGCAACACCATCCACCACATGCGTGGGTGGTCCCCGCAAACACCCAAGCCTACTCCAGCACAGCGCGAACGAAATGACGCCGAGCTGGCTGCCGCCTACCTCATCCGTCCATGGATTTGCGGGTTCGATCGAAAACGACGCTGTCGCCACGCCCAGACTTTCCAGATCGCTCGTTCCCAATCTTTGCTCACCGCGCGCCAAGCACCTTCATGAAGAGAATGCTCTGGCACTTGGATCGCCCGTCGCCAAACCCCTGTGAACCACTCACCTGAATTCGTTTCGTAGCACACGCCGCTTGACCACACGTGGCGACGATGGTGCGGCAAGCGGAAGCTGCCGTAGACAGCACGTCGCAGCAGGAGGAGTTATATCGTTTGTCGCGGTCGCCGCCGTCTCGACTGCCAGTGTGGGAATGTCAATCTTGAAGCACCCACGACTGTTTGCCACGAAGACCTCGTCCACGAAACCATCTCGTCCCAGCATGGGTCCTTCGTTGACGTCGAGCCGCTCCGTCAGTTTGTCGGGGCAATACTTCAACCGACGAATGAACCCACACCACACGAGCGCCTGCCCAAACTTTCTTCTGGCCGCGACCTCGACTTCCACCATCTTCACAAGGAAGCGTGCAGTGCGACTTTCGTCCTTTGGGATGCCACACTGACCACGCTCGGCATCCCGCGCACCTGACACTCCCGCTCGTGCTGGTGCACTGCGGCGTTGACAACGGTGCCGTCGAGTGATGTCACTATGGCTCACGCTGTCCTGCACAACCTCCAAGTCACGGCGATCGCAGCCTCCTGGAAGTCGCTTCACAGCATCAAATACCTCGACGAGACCAACTCGGGTACGCATGTCCCGTTCACAAAGGAGTGGGCTGCAAAGAGGGGACCGCTTGGGCGTTGTGGAGTGTTTGCATGCCAACCGGCCGAGAGATTCTCCGTCAAGGCCATGCACGCACCGGCGCGGTTTTTGGACGCGGCCACGTTTCTGCACAACCATTGCACCGAGGGCAGTCCGACATTCGCGATAGACCAGACGGCGCACTCATGGCCGTCGTTGCGTTTTTGCACGAGCTCCGATCCGAACGATGCGCGTGGCCAGCGATGGCGTCAACTGTCCTTCGAACGATCCCGACCGCACGACTGAGTTTCCAGCGGTGGTACATGCGCAGGCCATTCATGGTCAACGTCGCATGCTCGATATATGCTTGTCGACAGCTAGAGCTCTGGCTTGGACTTGGTCATCATGCGCCGATAGATGGCCTCGACTTGGTCCTCGCCAGATATGCAAATCTGAAGGTCGCGAATGATGCCGTCTTGCAACCTACCCATCGACGACGGTGACGCCAATACGCCAGAGCAGCCCATGTCGCTCACCGGTAGCACAGCCCGTGCACACTCAACGTTTGGCCATTCTCCCAAGCGTTCTGGACAATGCGCGAGTGGCACACGTTGTACCTACGTATGGAGCAAGGCGTGATGCAGCCCAGAGGAGCATGCCATACACCGAACGCGCCACGTTTTCCTCCGTCAAGAGGTCGGCCTTGGTCGTGGTGTCCGTGATGTCTACGCACGTCGTGAGGGGGCCGCGGCACGACAAGATGGTGACGCGTACGCCCAAACTTTTTGTGGTTTTCAATGTACAAGTCCTTGATGCTTCTCAGCCAGTTGTCGACGAGACCGAATTCATCTTGCGACAGCGCGGCGTGGACGCCGCCGCAGCCGTAGTGGCCGCCTACACGGGGCGATCCAAGTTTCGAGACGACAACGCGACCACATACACACGATGATGTGGCGGACTTGCAGGTACTTGACAGCGTACTCGATTACAGATAAGCAGTTCATGTCGGTGCTGACTAGAGACACACGAGGATGCGTGCGCGACATGAGGGTGACGAGGAGGCGGTGGGCACACACGATCGTGAACGTACTCACTTGATTCGCGATGTTTCGATGGACAAAGACCTCGCCAGGGGATAGCGCGAGGATTTCGTTGGCCGGTACACGCGAGTCCGAGCATCCGATCCATAGGATCTCAGGACTGTGCTGGCTCGCAAGGCGTGTAAAGAAGTCGGGGTCCTTCTCCAACATGGAGTCGGCCCACGCGCGGTTGCGGTCCAAGAGCTGCGTGATTCCCCGCTCCCCGCTGTGCACGTGGACTCGAGGAGACATCGGCGGGTTCATTGGCGATGGAGGGGGTGCCTCCAAACTCGGGTCGCTGTCGCAGTGGTGCATCGCGCTGACTCCCTGCGCTGCCATCCCGTCGAGTACTCTGGAGATATTGAGGTGTCGCGTCGCCAGATAACGACGACCTTGGATCTTTATCCGGGATTTTGTTTCGAACAGGTTTGAAATGTCCCATTGTAGGTCCGAATAATATGTACGACCAAAGAACGCCAAGCACAGCGCCATCGCCACAAGTCGCTCCCTGCAAAGGATACGTCGTCGCTCGACACTCCATCGCCCCGTAGGCTCAGTAAAGCGCACTTCGCTCGCATGTTGCGCATGACCAACTTTGTGATGCCCACCGTCAGGCGAGTCACGTTGAGCGAGCCAGAGTTGCCGGGACCTGGGCAAGCTGCATGACCCACACGAGCAATACCCTGAACATCGATTTCCATTCCCCGTCTGCGTTGACGGTGACTTTACGAGTAAGTCACTATCAAAGCACACCGATCGGGGAAGTGCAGATACGTCCGACTTCTTGCGTCTACTCCACCTTCCATCGGCATGACGCGCGGACGAATTTGGCAACCTGCGTGTACACAGCAGCCAACAACGTGTCTGGTCGTTCCCGCTGGTGCACCCCAGTGCAGCACGTTCAAGCGCAACGTGCAGCCGCACGGCGGGTACTTTCGACTCGAGCGGCACGGCGCGCATGGGTCGCGTCGAACGCCATGCTTGCCAGAGTGTGTCGAGGGTGGTCGAAAGAACACGTCAAAACCATTTGCTTCAACTTTATTCCGACTTCAACGGACGATTCATGAGGATGCTCTGAAGATCTTCGGCATTCACGCGGCCCTGCGCAAAGAACCAAGTCAGAACGTCGATGGGGACGCGAGGAGAGGCCGCCGTGGTACCTGGATCATGTCGTTGACCGTGCGAAAGAGTGGGAGGTCGAGGCCACATTTGTCGGCAAAGTAGACGGCGACTTCGGCCGTCGGCACGCCTTCCACGGTCGCGTCCTTCATGATGTTTTGCATGCTCTCGCCCCTGCACCGTCGCCATGACGTCATGACATCTCGATGGTACGACAACTCACTGGATCAATCGAATCCCACACGTTCGGTTGCGCGACAAGCTGCCGAACGCTGTCAACATCAAGTCCCCGATCCCAGACAGCCCCGAGATCGTATGGGGGAGGCCGCCCATGGCAATACACAGCTTCTGCAGTTCCAACGAGCTTCGCGTGACGTACGCAGCCAACGTGTTGATGCCCATGCCGCTGCCTTCAATCATGCCGGCACCGATCGCGAGCGGATTCTTGAGCGCCCCGCCCAGTTGCACGCCAATGATATCCTGCCATGCAATCAAGTCCACCCCGAAGACCTCGATCGACCAAGCGTACTTGCGAGCTGTAGATGCGGAAATCCACGGTCGAGAGCAGCCGTTGCACGCGGACGGCATGGTACAATTCTCGCGCAGCCACAACCTGGAAACCGAATGAGTGGACAGCAGGGCCATGCCGACGCTTGGCGGCGTACCACAGCAGACGGCGCGTTCTTCATCAACTCGAGGGCAAACGACGGGCCGGACAGAAACGTGAGGGGTTGGTCGCGCCCGATGGCTTCCAGGATCGGCACGGACAGCAACTGCTTCGTCTTTAAATACAGCCCTACGTCGTTGCCACGTCAGTGGCCCGTGTCCCACCGGGCTACGACAACCTTTCGACGTGACGACCAAGATGGCGTCGGCGGGGATGGCATCTTTGTGTTGGGCGAGAAAGTCCGGCGTGCTTTGTGCAGGGATGCAAATCACAACAAGCGTGGCGTTCGCACAGCTCTCGGCGACACTACACGATCCACGTCACGACGCTGTCGAGAACCAACGTCGATGTATACCTGCTTGTGGCAACGATGGACGAGGCCAGCTCGAACTCGGGGAAAAAGAGAGGGTTGCGGCGAGTCGCGTTGATCGCGTTCACTTGTTCCTGGTTGCGAGCGTATAGCGACACGTGGTGGCCTTGGCGGGCTGCAATCTGCGCCATCGCCGTGCCAAAGTTGCCCGCCCCAAGGACCGCCACCTTGACGGTCTCGCTGAACGCACCAGGCAGGCCGGCGTTGGTGGCGCTGGCAACTCCAAGGTGCAGCGTCATGTGGCGTGGACGGAAGACGCTCGAGCGGCGGGCGCTGGCAAACGAACTTCTCAAAGTGGACGACGTGCCCACCCAAAACATTCGTCGCCGGCTCCGCTGCCCTTTGCGTCAACAGGATGCGTCAACCGGATTTCGTTGAACGTCATGCGTTTTTCATCCAATCCAGCCAATCGTGATATTTAACGTCCTTTTCGAAGGGAGGTTCGGGGGCCGATGCAGACGTCGGTTCGCATGAAGACATGGCGCAGACGTGTGCCATACGAAGCGTCGGGACCGGACGAGCCTGGCCATAAGCAGAGGGGGGTTCACGCCACGGGTTCCACGAGCCTTGCCAGCACCATCTTGCGACGTTTGGCTTGGCACGTTCGCTGCCGGAATCGTGGGGTGTCGCCCCCGAAACAAAGTTGAGCCATGCCTGGCCGTGGTTGAGCATGGAGCTCATCGAGAACTGTTGCTGCAACGCGGAAACGTCAGACGTGGGGCGGGTGCTCACCCTCAGGAACTGGACCCAGTCGGCGAATCTCGACTCGCAACCGTCCCCTCACGTGCAAAGGGACGACCACTTTGTCGCCCCGCGTGGTTACCACCGATTCCGTAGACCTCCTCGAGCAGTTGACCTGTCGTGATAGACAGCTTCATGCGATGCTCATGCGCACGTTTTCCGTCCTGGTCGGTGCTCAAGTCATGTCGTTGCTTCACGCGGCAACCTGTCAAGGCCACCCCTCGTTCCCCGTCCTCGACTTCAATTGCATGGCACGCGAACACTGGTTCCAGCAGGATCATCCCAAAAGATGTCAAGGGATAAGCCAGTCGCTGTAGCATTCGAGCGCGCCAACTCGGACATCACCCCCGACGCCGTCTAACGTCTTGCTCGTCAACGTCACGTCGACTAGCGGAATTGCCTGTGGAGTCGTTCGCGTGAACGTGCGAGTACGCGCCGTAAACACGGCGCTATCGTGCTAGTGAATTGGCCCGGCACTGGTTTCCAAGCATGACGTGGCGGGACGGGTGCATGAGCCATTCCAGCACGGCAGCACTTCGTGCGAATACCGACGTGCACGCCACCGCTCTTCCGGCGGTCCCATCGCTGCTGACGGCCCCCCCCACATTTCAACACGTGCGGCCACCGCGACGACGAGCAACATGGCGCCGTCGTCGACAATGTGCTTGCCAAGGCAAGTTCTGCAAACAACGCAGCCATTCGTGTTCGAAATCGTCGCCAACAACCATTGCATCGACGTACCTTCCAGCGTCCGGACGGTGGTCGGGAGAGCTTCAAGAGTGCCATGCGTGCTGCCGACCGTCGCAGTCGCATGACATCGCGACAGTGCTCGATTCAACGGCTTGACTGGGTGCGCAGCACGGTCACCGATTGCGTCTTGGGTCGCACATTGGGTGGCGAATTCGAATTCGACGCTGGCCCCACGACGCTCGAGCGCATGACGGCGGCCGTGGCAGCAACACGACCACGCACTCTTCTGCTGCCACAAATGTGTCGAACCGATGGCGGCGACGCGGTGCGCGATCGCGACAACGTACGTGTGGCTTTTCACGTGTGGTCTATAAGCGTACGCCCATGGCCCACCCCTTTGACGTCGCAACCATGACAACTCACACTACAGTCACAATGCGCTTCATCGGGGCGTCGTCCGCCTCGCGGACACCAGCGTCCATGGAGATGGCCATCTCACGCAGTGTGCGCATCTGACCAGTACTTTGACCAGTTGTGGATGCGCGCGGTCAACATGGTCGCGCCGTACTGGAGCTTTCAACGGCACGAGTCGAGCGGACTATCGTAGGTCTGACCTGCGATGCGTGTGGCGCGACCACCGTCGGCTGGACGAGGACTCAGGAAGGCTGTGGGGCGTGTGCTTTTCGTGCATTGCCGCGCTGAGGGGACGACCCGGTGGAACGCTGCGAATGCCCGTGGCATGTGCATGCCGAGCGACGCGGCAGCCCTGTGTATCGTTCTTCAAACTTGTGGGAGTGGACGTAAACACGTACGACGAGGCGGCACGTGGACAAGAGTTGGAATGGCGCACTCGTTCCGGATCGTGACCATTGAGGACAGCCAAAGAGAACCTCAAGCATGTTGTCGACCAAGGCCATGGCGTCGTGGTGGCTGCGACTGGCTCAGACCGCCAGGAGATTGTAGCAGACCTTCGCGCTTCATGCTTGTCCTCCAAGAATCGCGTACGGACACGGTCACTCGGCGACGCAGGTAGCGTCATCGAGGACGAAAGAGGAACATTGCACCGCGAACTTGTCTTTGTAGGTCGTTCGTGAGAGCGCATGTCCATCTACCGAGGCGCGGGGCCTCCATTCTGACCATCGAATGTTCCTTGCCGGCATGGACACCATGGCCTCGTGTTGCATATGCAGTGGTTACGGCGGATGCGACGATTCTTCATGTTCCGCTGGACATGTCATCTGTGCTGCAACGGTGTGGTTTTGGGTCATATGCCCTTAAATCGAGGGAATGATTGTATGAAATAGTTTCAACTTCCCTTCGCCCATGTCACTAAAGAGACATTGCATGTCCGGCCCACCGAGCTGGCCAATCGCAGGGGTGAATTCAAACCCAATTCATCTTCACGACAACGGGGGTGCCGCCGTCGCCATGGACATGGACTCGCTGTACATCCCGCACCACCACCACTCGCTACCAGCTATGTACACGGGGCTGCAGTCGCAATCCACGTACTCCACGTACGCGTCCTTGTACAGCGCGTTGGAACTATATTGGCTGTGTGCCGTTCCACTCGTCATGCTCGTCATGCCGCTGTGCCTCTCGTGCATCCCTATTGATGCTGCACTCCGCACTGTGCTGGTAGGTCGTGCACAGGCTTTTTGTGGCTTGATCTTGCGCCTTGACGATCTCTCTCTTGTAGAAACCATCGCTCGTGTCTGCGGTCCTGCATCCGTCGACCTCTCCATCAGCAACTTCTTCACCTTGTTCAACGATCAATCCGTCGTGGGTCATTCCCAAGCACATGGCCGTCGTAATGGACGGCAACCGCCGGTACGGACGCACCAAATACGGGATTCCCGTCCGCGGCCACCAGGAAGGCAGCCAACGACTGGTGGATTTCTTGACGTGGGCAATGTCCGCGGGGGTCGAGATTCTCACTGTGTATGCATTTTCCACGGAGAACTGGAAGCGCGACGCCGCCGAAGTGAAGGCGCTCATGGGCATCTTCGACACGTTTATGCAGGATATCATCCCCGAAGCTCTCGCCCGCAACATTCGCGTGTGCGTGCTGGTGTCGGATGCAACCCACCTCCCCAAGTACATCCAAGCGTCCATCCGAGACATTGAGGCCGCCACGAAGCACTGCTCTGCGTTCACGCTGAATATTTGCGCCAGGTGCGACAAATTGGCTTGCGGCTGCTCGACGACCGGACCACCCTGCGGATGTCGACGGACGTGTGTTCATGCCATGATGTATTGTATAGCTACGGATCGAGAAACGAGATTGCAGTCGCGTGCCGGGAAATCGCCGTGAAAGTCGCGGCAGGCGAGATGGATGCGAACCAAGTGACCGAGAAGGTCGTGAGCGATCACTTGCTGACACGGTAGGACGTCAACGAGGCTGTCGAAAGGTATTCATCGGGACGTCATGTAGTGGACTCCCCGACCCCGAAGTCCTCGTGCGGACGTCGGGTGAGTTGCGCGTGAGCAACTTTCTCATGTTCCAAATCGCGTACGCTGAGCTGATTTTCGTGGACAAGATGTGGCCGGCACTGACCCACGACGACTTCGTTGGCATTTTGGGCGAGTTTAACCGCCGCCAGCGCCGATTTGGAAAGTGAGTTTCCGGTCGAACCGAATGAGCTTGCGTGCCACATCAACACAAGTGTTAATGGTTTCATGCAATGGGACGGAGGCGATGGATGCACGGAAGGAGATGAGGACTACTGTTCGTCGTGTCTGTTTATGAATGTAGTGCGCATGCAAGCCATGCGCTGCTCCTCCCAGCAAGTCGTGAATTGCACCTCCATCGTCGCATCTGCACGTCCATGCGTGTAATGTGTGCGAGAGTTGCTTGGGAGTCATGGTGTCGGTGAGTCAGCGAGGCATTAGGTCCACCGCCACACGTCTCTGCTCCAGTCCAGACTCGTGCTCACACAACGATGAGTTGGGCAGTGCTGCTCTACGGGATGGTCACCTTTAACTCTTCATGCCTAGAATGGATCCCCCATCGCTTACACATCAAGCGCTGTAGCAACCGAGCACTCCTGCCATCACGGTGGACGTCGGCCATCGACATCCCATCGCCATGTTCTGGGCATGCCAGACAATAGTCGAGATCATCAATTGGCCGATTTTGAAAAAACAATTCGATTTAGTGCGAAATTGAATGGTGGAAAAAATCGCCTAAAATCTGGCGATTGATTGGTCGATTGAACAAGGTGAAGTTGTTCTCTGGGATCGCCATGGCAACCACCGCCACCAACACCACGTGCGGCGTCTGCACGACGGGCCCGCGCAAATACAAGTGCCCGCTCTGCCGACTGCCATACTGCAGCACCGCGTGCTACAAGGTCCACAAAGAAGTGCCGTGTATACCGCAAAGCATCCTTGGACCCTCGGCACCAGCGACTTCATTCGCCACGGACGGCGCCCCAACGATCTCTACGTCCAATGCTAGCGACGAGGACGACGATATTCCCCTTCTCACTAGCGAACAACTCGCTGTGCTGTCCATGTCCGAAAAGGTGAAGAAAGCACTACAAGACCCTGCAACACGAAACAAGATCAAAGCAGTATGATGCTCTCTCGTTTTATCCAGTTATGCAAACAGTCAAGCTCATCCATCTGTGCGACAGATCGACGCACACCCCGACCGTCTGAATGAGCTGCAAAAAGCCCTGGCCGACCCTGCGTTTGCCCGCTTTGTGTATGGCATGATGGACGAGGTACATGTCGTGAATATAGGCGCACATCCCTACTAAACACATGTGTGTGCTAGGTAAACAGCGCCGCTGCTGTCAGCACCAAGTAAACACATTAATTGACGTAAAGCACCATACATCAATAGTAGGTGGAGTCGTAGCGACAAACTACCCCTCACGGGTCACAACGACCGTACGAATCGTCTACGTTGCCTATACAAGTTCATGATCGAGGCCTCAGAAGGTTCGTTTATCCATTGCCGTAGCTGCATGCAGTAATTGGACATGAATGCTGGATCATCACCGGCCATCGTCGTGTGCACTAGTTCACTTTCTCTCTACCGCGCAAATTCAAAAATGATGGCGCGGAATTTTGAAGGGTAATTATGCTATGTTTTGTATAGTATTTTTTAATCAAGGTACAATGTCGTCAACCACGGGTTCCTTTCGCTCGCTGATTCGCCAGCAAGTCTCTTAGTACTACTACTTGACAAAGACTACATGCTAATAGGAGTTGGATGACTTACTAGAATACCTACGTACTGCGAGTTACTACTGCCGTTGTTCAAGTGGCTAGTGCTCAGCATTTACACGATTTGCGTCGTCAGCACCAATATGCAAGTCCTGTCGTTCACCAGAGCATTCTTCTTGCCGTCTTTGCTTGCTATGCAACAGGAAACCCTTCCATCGCATGCGATCACATGCTTTGAAGTGCCAAAAATTATGCAACCCAGGGACTGCGAGCGAGGCGTGATGTAATACCTCTATGTTTCTGTATGACACAAAACCTCTTGAAATGAATAGATGAAATTCCAGAGAGACTGCGACAATTGATACAGCTTGGCTCATCTCATTTCCGTTGTTGCCGATCTTCGCCGATGGACATCCCAGTCGTCCATTGTTACGGCACGAATGCTGCCGCCGAGCTGCGCAAGGTTTGCCCGTTCATCTGTGCGTGAGAGTAGTGATGGGTTTACTTGGTTAGGCCTGCACGGAAGTGGGGTTCTTCTACTTGGCCGACCATCGCATCCCGCAATCGCTACTTGACTCGCTGTATGCCGAGATGCGCACGTTCTTCTCCAAGCCTGAAAGCGTGAAGCGACAAGTGTTGGCCGATGAAAACATGCGAGGGTATACACCGATGAACGAAGAGACGCTCGATCCCGCGGTGCAGACGCAAGGCGACACGAAAGAAGGTAGAACTCCTTCATGCTCCGCCGACGACCATTGCATCCATTCAACGTCAACAGGCTACTACATTTGCCGCGAAGCTCTCCCTGACGAAGTGCATTTACCCCTTCATGGATCAAACGTGTTTCCGAAAGACAATCCAACTTTCCGCGAGGTGACCGTGCGGTACTTTGACCTTATGTGCGAGCTCGGCTATTATGTTGCGCAACTCTTTGCCGATGCCGCTGGAGCCCCCGGTGCATTTGCGGCGGGGGGAATGTTTGATCGGTGCGACGAGCTCCATTGTCAAAATTACCCAGTCGAATGATTGACCAGCGCAACCCTACGATCCCTTATAGACCCATGGCGGCACTGCGCCTTCTCCACTACAACAATGTGGTTTCCAACGTTGACGACGGCGTATTTGGCGCCGGTGCCCATACAGACTACGGTACGTGCGTCGTCCGTAACTTCGTCCGTGGGACGTTCCCCTTACGCATGTGCTGACCCAAGGTCTCTTGACGCTACTCTCGACGGACGAGAACCCGGGTTTGGAAATCTACTACAACCAAGAATGGATTCCCGTGCCGCCAAAGCCCCACTGCTTTGTCGTGAACATTGGCGATCTTGGAGAGCGATGGACGAATGGCACATTCAAATCGACGCGCCATCGTGTCGTACGTCGTCGCCACGTCGACGAATGTTGCTGATGATTCCCACGTATGACTGTTGACCAGGTGAACCGCAATGGGCGGGAACGCTATTCCGTTCCGTTCTTTTACGAGCCCAACTTCACCTGTCAAGTGACGTGCCTCCCGTCGTGCGTGGACAAGGATCACCCGCCCAAATACTCTCCGATCACGAGCGGGCAGCACCTGCTCAACATGTATCGGCAAACCCACGAGAGCTTTCAAGAACCGACAGAGAAGAACGTTTTGTTGGCGTAGACCACAATGCTTTTACTGCACCTGTGTGGACGCGTAAAGCGCAGAGTACTTGTGTGAATCGATGTCACCAATGTGTTCGCGTGTATGGCGGTCGACGATGCACAGACAAAGCCAACATGCGTCAAGTCGAAGGTTGCTGCACCAGCCTCCTTGCCGACTGTACTCTCTCGAGAACAATCCAGTGCCCCAAGGAAAACCCTAGGGCTGGATTCGTCACATCAAAGCAATTCTTTCTCGCGCAATCCACAAGACAGCCATGCATTTACACGTATTTCAGGACCATGCGCAACATGGGACTCCACCTGGCTCGAGATCTTTGCAGACGTGAGCCCTTCCAGTGTGCGTTTGACCGCCAATCGTTTCGCTACAACATGCACATCAAACGAACTGCTCGGTGCCGCTGGAGTACACGACAAGCCGTGCACGGCCCCGCTCGTTGCGCTCGGTGTGACGGAAGCGTGCATCGTGGTGCCATTTGACGACTTCTTGGATGGTATCCGGATTTGGAAGAAGGTATCCGGATGTGCTGTCCTCAGGCGAATCCAAGTCGCATTGAAATTGTGGGGTGGAAACAATGAGCGCTACCGCGCCTGAAAATGCAGAACGCGCGGCCGTGCTCCAGGCGTACCGGAGCAAGGTGCTCGAGCACCGTGAGGTCGAGGGCCGGGTGAAGAGCATGCGTGAAAATGTCAAGACCTTGGTCAAGGAGTACCATAAAACCGAAGATGACTTGAAGGCACTTCAGAGTGTCGGGATGATCATCGGCGAAGTTTTGCGGCAGCTCGACGAAGACCGTTTTATCGTCAAAGCCAGCAGCGGTCCCCGCTACGTGGTGGGATGCCGAACCAAAGTCGAGAAGGACAAGTTGAAAAGCGGAACGCGTGTCGCCTTGGACATGACGACGTTGACCATCATGCGATACCTTCCCCGCGAAGTCGACCCGACTGTGTACCACATGCTCAACGAAGATGCAGGAAATGTGTCCTTCTCCCACATTGGGGGATTGAACGAACAAATCCGCGAACTGCGCGAAGTCATTGAGTTACCCTTGACGAACCCAGAACTGTTCCTCCGCGTTGGGATCAAGCCACCGAAGGGCGTGCTGCTGTACGGCCCCCCTGGGACCGGCAAGACTTTACTCGCCCGAGCTTTGGCGTGCAATATCAATGCCACGTTCCTGAAGGTCGTTGCTAGTGCCATCGTGGACAAATACATCGGTGAGAGTGCGCGCGTGATCCGTGAAATGTTTGGGTACGCTCGCGATCATCAACCATGCGTCATCTTCATGGATGAAATCGATGCGATTGGAGGGAGCCGTTTTTCGGAAGGCACGTCGGCGGATCGTGAAATTCAGCGCACGCTCATGGAGGTACAACGAATGCATCTCGAATTACGGTGTCGCTGTGCGTTAACGTGTCATGTAGTTGCTCAACCAGCTCGATGGGTTTGACTCACTTGGTCAAGTAAAGATGGTGATGGCGACAAACCGACCGGATATTCTCGACCCTGCGCTTTTGCGTCCAGTGCGTTTGAGCCGCTTTCACTACCAATCGCATCTCAGCCTTGATGTTGCTGTAGGGTCGATTGGATCGCAAGATTGAGATTCCTTTGCCCAACGAAGCATCTCGCATGGACATTTTGAAGATCCACACTGGTCCTATCACGAAGAAAGGCGACATTGGTAAGCAGCCACATCGTTAACCTCCTTCAAGCCTTGTCGTCTTCTTCACGCTTGCTGGTAGATTACGAGTCTATTGTCAAATTGACGGACGGGTTTAATGGTGCCGATATCCGCAACGTGTGCACGGAGGCCGGTGTATTTGCAATCCGCGCCGACCGCGACTATGTGGTCGAGGAAGACTTTATGAAGGCAGCACGCAAGCTGGCCGAGACCAAGAAGCTTGAGAGCAAGATGGACTACAGCAAGGTCTAGATTTAGAAGTCGGTTAATGCCCATCTATCGTATGTCCTCTTGGCACAATACCGCGATTCTCGGCGGCTGCCGCGCACTTCGCCTCGACCCAATTGCGACCGTGACGTTGTTGGCATCACGCTGCAACTTCGAATATGCGCCACTTGGCGCGCTTTCTTCCAAAATCCACTAGGAGGTTTTCAATATCACTTGACATTCGTATGCAGAGAATAAAAACAGCAACGAAAAAAGAAGATGAATACAATTCATACTTCACTTGATATTTGTATATGGACGATTTAAATGCCACACCAACCTCAAAGCTCAGATATGATAGGGCAATTCTATTTTATGACATGAAATTCGTATGCTATATTAATTCTCGGATGGAAACATGCAATTTCTTCATTTAGAGAATCTTGATGCAAATAAGACGGCCCGACCCAGATAGTTCGGAAGAAGGAACAACATTGCCCCGCTTCGTGAGGCGAAAGCGCCAGTCGCCAGTCGCCCGAAGAACCGCGGTACGGAGGAAGGTATCGCCATTTCCATCGCTGCCGACGTCGCAAACCAAAACTGTGTGTCCGATGGTCGAGGTTGCACCTCGACCCCTCCGATCGACTATTGCAGCGAACAAGGACGAGAACAAAATCATTTTGATCTGGGACCTCGATGAAACGCTACTCCTGTTTAGCTCGCTGTGCACGGGGCAATTTGCCCACGTTACGGGCAAGAGTTCTGCGGCCAGCGTTGCCCTGGGTGAAAGCATGATGTGCTTTGTGTTTTCAATCCTGGAGAAGTATTTATTCTTCGACGACGTGGAAAAGGTACGACCTGTTGCTTTGTGCACACCGGCGTGTGGCTGAGGCATCGTAGGACACGGTCGGCCACGTCAGCCACATGGCACATTACGACGACGGGCGGTCGCTCCATCAATACGACTTTGCAAGTGATGCGATGGCTCAGGAGCCCGACGGAAGCATATCCAAGCTACGTAAGCAAGCGTACCGGTACCGCCGCATTCGACAAATCTATGAGCGAAAGGTAAAAGTAGCGTTCTTGACCAACGGCACGACGGAAGCGACATTTTGCGGCGAACTTCGCGACTCAATCGATGCATTTGGTGACGGATGGGGCCGTGCAGCACAGCGCGCGTTGCAGGCCGCTTCCACTGCTGGTTGCATGAACATCCTCGTGACCAACACACAACTCGTCCCCGCCCTGTGCAAATGCCTCATTTACGACCTCGACGCGTGGTTTTCACCAGATGCGATCTATTCGTCGTCCCACATTCGAAAGAAGCAGTGTTTTGACACGATCCGCAATAAGTACGGCCTCCATCAAACGTATGTTGGCCTTGGCGACGGCCCCGAAGAGCAGCGTGCGAGCGTCGATTGTGGCATGTCGTTTGTCGAGGTACTTCTACTTCATTCCCTCTCTTGATGGTGATCAAACGTGGCTCCTTTGTTGCTGTACAACTCCTGAAGCAATTTTTTCAGCAGTTTTGAGCAATTGCTGTCCTATTTACTTTTGTTACTTTTGCTTTTTTGAATTTGCATAGTTTTGGGCCTGGTTCCAGTAGCTCATGACAAATGTGGGACTGCAGATCAAGCGACTCGACGATTTGGTGCGCGTTGCAGAACAACTCGAGTACGCAGTGGCGTCTGGGTCATCCATCCATGCAGCGCTGGGCCTATAGCTGTCCGCACGCGGCGATGCTGCACGTGAGCACGGGGCGTTCGTACACTGTTTCGAGCTTCCCAATCGCTTCGATCGTCTTCATTCCGCTGACAACCCGTCCAAATACCACTACAATCCGAATTAGAGCGTAGCGACGAGCCAACCCACGGACAGCATGTACCTTTGGACTTGTCAAGCCATGGCAGCGGCGCGAGCGTGATGAAGAACTGCGCTCCATTCGTGTGTGGTCCGTTGTTCGCCATGGACTACGACGCACAGACAAATGTAATCCACTCGACCAAGACCGTGATGGATATACAAACCAAAATGCCAGCTTTATCGTGGGACACAGAGAATGCTTCGTCCTCGAACACCCCTTCTTCGTTGAGCGCACTGCCACCAACGCCGTCGCCGCGACCGCCAGTGACGACGTCACCGCCCTGGATCCATCCTCCGGGCACAATGCGGTGGATGGGAAGGCCGGCGTATCCGTGCTGGGTCTCCGGGCGACACAGCGCGGCAAAGTTTTCGCAAGCCTTGGGGCAAACGTCGTCGAATAACTCTACGATCACGCGATCGTGGTACACTTGGCCGTCGGTGGCAAATTTCAGAAAACAAAACAGATTGCGTGAGTGTGCGCGGTAGGCGTCCCATGCTTCGGTGGAGTGCTGGAGACAGTCTCGGTGGGTGAGTTGGTCGGCGATCCCGTACTTTTGCGCGCAAAACTCGACAAACGCATCCGCGTCGCCAATGTATGTGTTCATGGTCCCTTCCCCGTCACCGTCGTCGTTGTTGTTCGCGGACGTGTCGTGCATGAATGCAATCGGCGCCGACTTGGGGTGGTTCGGAAACTGGCGCGTGAGACCCCGCGACGTCAAGTACGGCCCAAAGTCCGCTTCCACCATCGATCGCATGAGAATCGACACGGACGACTCGTGGTCGCGGAGGTCCAGCGCAAGGTGCCGCATGCGCTGAAAGTTGGGGTCCGTCAGGACCCCCGCCACTTCGTACACGACCTTGTCGCTGCCGCGGCTCATCGGGTCGCAGATGGGAAACTGAAACCGACTGACTTTAGCGTTTTCTCCTGATACGCGGTTTTTATTTTAACTCCTTTCGAATTGTTTGACGTGGTTTAACGTGAACAGGTTGTGGAGGCATACTACTTCAGCAACTAGACCTAGGTCCTGCGCTCAACATCTTGACGGGAAAGTCCCGTTCATTCGACCTCCCAAACGAGGTTAGCGCCGCCAGGTCCTCGACCGTCGGCACCTGCAAAGTCCCTGCCATGTACAGGGCGTGAGTGCGCAGCTTGGTCTCCCACGTCCACTCGCGCAAAGTCCTGTACTACGTTCTTGGGCCAGCCGCGATCGAGCTCTACTAGTAGTACTAGTCCAAGTACCTCCTCACCCGCTCGCTGACCACGAGGGTGCGTTATATTTCCGCGCCTTCCGGGAAAGAGGTTAAATAGGTTTAACTTTGTTCGTAACCGCTGGAACGGGGGAAACCGTCGCGACGTGCGTCTCAAGGCGCGCGCCCCTTCGGCCAACATACCGAGTGGAATCGCCGCCGCCACGACCACGACGTGTCCCGGGAAGCATGACATTTCTCCAGGAGGCCGTCACGAAGGCGATATTGAACAGCTTGAGTTCGTACATCTGCCACTTCAATGAGGAGCAGGTCAAGGTTGGGCTCTGGGCTGGCGACTTGGTCTTGGAAGATGTGGTGCGCCACCAACCTACCCTCTTGCTGTCCACCGTCATCGCTCATCGCTTGCCTGCAGGAAGTCAAGTGGTCGGCCATCAACACGTACGACTCGCCCGTGCACGTCAAGCACGGTTGCATCCAGCGCATTCGCATCCAAGTACAACGGGTGTCGTCGGCTGACCACAGGTTTCACGTGCAGCATGTAGGTGCCGTGGACATCCTTTTGGCACCATCCCATTCAAATTGACGTGTCCGGTGTCGACTGCGAGCTCCACTTACGCGGCACGTACGATATCCTGCACGAACTACAGCAGAAGAACTTCGTGGTCCAAGGTCTGCTAGCGAACGCCCGTGCGTCCGTCGCCCACTCCTACCGGGGGTGGTCGTCGCTGTTTTCGGGCCTCTCAACGTCGATCCTCGACCGCCTTGTTCGCAATATTGCTGTGCGCATCGACGATGTCAACATCTACCACGCGATTGCCCCCATCACGCTGGGACTTACGCTACACTCGCTCACATTCCAAGATGCCGCTCCTGCCCGCGGTGAAGGCGACGCTTTCAACACCACGACCAAGGTCCTGGACATCACCGACTTGGCGTTGTACGCCACCGTTGGTGACACACCGGTCGAGCTCATGGCACCAGTCCATGTCCACGTGCAGTTCACCCACTGCCCTGCGACAGCCACCACGACTCGATGTTTGGTCCAAGTGCCGACCCTGATGGCGCTGCACATTCCACTTGCCCTCGAGCCATACTTGGCCAAAGTCGACCAAGCGCGCCGATCGTTTGCAGCCGGCGCCAGGTGCGATCGCCGTTGTAGCAAGCACGGAACGGGGAGCGCAACTCTCTTTTGTAGGTTGAAGTGCTGTCGGTGGCTCACCCGACTCCACGGCACAACTCCCAAGTCGCCATGGCAATATGCTCGACAAGCAATGCTGGCGGGCTGGCACGACGCAGCTACCACGCCGTCCACAACGTTAAAGGACTGCTACACAACGCTCTATACGAAATGGCTTGACTCGCCGCAGACGTCGGTGGCGTTCATGCATCGCCTCAACTGGCTCGAGCTACAGCTGGTACAGCGAAACCCCTTGCGTTTTTCAAGGCGCTCACAGCCATCCGTTTCCATCGTAGAGTGTGGCAGATATCTTTGCCGCCCAAGTGGACGCGTCTGGCCGCGCCACCTCGTCTCGAGGCCGGCCCGTGCGACTTGCGCACTCGCCGGATGGGCCGATTCTACCTGGATGGAGCGCTCTCGACGTACGCGCTGCGACTAGCTGACTGTAGAGACAGCGCATTTGGTTCATGTGGCGTTGCTGTAGGTGTCGTGGGACGCCGCGGGGGTGTCCTTGATCGTCGACACGGGGCCATTTCAAGCTGCTGTCACTCTACAGCAACTGCATGGTCGGCTTCAACGTGATGACGCTACCGACACCTGCCACATCGAAGTGGACTCGATCGAAATGACGTGGCAGCGCGACAACGTGTGCATCCTCCGACTCGGTCAAAGCACGCATCTCGCAGGTGCCAGCAGCGACGGTACAAGGCCATGCCCACATGCATCGACAGGTTCCAACCTTGAGTCGCGCTTTGCATTAGATGCCTACCCGAATGCACTCTCCACGGGGCTGTCGGTGCTTTGGAGTCGACAAGCGTGTGGCAGCGTGCCGTCAACGGCCGTGGACATCGTCATGAGCTCGGCGCGACTCCACGTGAACGCTACGTCGCCGCTTGGCCAGCTCTGGACTCCAGACAGCAAGTGGGGGGATGGGCTCCCCCTACGGCAACCGGTGGCCGCGCATCCATGCAGTCCCGCAGTGTCCTGCACCATTCACGTACGATCGAGTTTGATGGTCTCCCTCGAGACTTTGGCACTGACGATGGCGATGTCGACAGGACGGATCGATCGCCGTCCAAGTCGACAGCACATGCGCCATCGACACCGCCGTCGTCGACTTTTACGTCAAGCTGCACCCGCACCACCAATTCCAACTCCGCGCGGCATCGTGGGCGGTGGGACTCATGGATGGAACGGCGGCACGACACGATTACATCCGGGCCGCCACGCTGTCTGGCTTGGTGGTGTGTGCGACCGACTCATTCTTATCCAAGAGTATTAGAGCCGACGTCGCGGCGGCGGCGATCGCCGTGTGCCCGCAGCTCGTACGCGTGTGCATGCGAGCAGCCGACGTGGTCGACGCGATGTCCCAACAGGTTGCAGCGACCCATCCAGCGCCGCCGACGGTATGGCTTGGCGACGGACGCAAGATCGTAGCGGCGACTTTGCAATGCGCCGAGGTGGACGTTGTGGTGATGGACCCGACGAAGCGGGCATTCGACGGCGGCGGCGAATGGCCCCCCAAGTCGGCGTTTTCAACGACGAAGATTCGACGTCTAGCGCTGGAAGGGCTCTGGCAGCATCGCGCGCTGCAGCATGGCCGCGCGAGTGCCCAGGACATTCTGTTTACGCTAGAACAAGTCCACATCTTGCACGTGGTGGCCTCGGCAAGTGTGCCACACGGAGTCGTCGCCATTGTTCGACAAGACTCCAGTCTTCTCCCCCCTGGGGATTCAGTCGCAATCGATTGCGACTGCGGCAATGTCGCCGTCGTCTTCGACCCCGACGCGCTGTGCCAGGCCATGTCGCATGCCAGGACGTACGTTGCTTTGACGGGCGTCGATGCCAGCGTCGTCCGGCCCCGGTCACCCTCGAATCCTGTGGCGACGTGGGGGTATCGGCTCGCGTGGCGCACGGACTCGATGACGATCGAGTTGCGCCAGCACGACCGTCCTCTGGTCAAGAGTTTCTTTAGCCGCCTGACAGTTTACGTACTTGCGTCGCCGCCGCCTTCCGCTTCCATCGGCGACCGCGTCGCGCCACCGCCTCTCGTGGACGTGATCATTCACCGAGTCTACATGTTTGATCAAACGGAAGCCGGCGTGGCGCTTCATCGTACCGTCGCTATGCCCATGCAGGTGAGGCCGCTCCTCCACGTGCGGTGACAACGTCGTCCTGCTGAACGTGCTGCTGTGTGCGAATTTAGTGCGACTGCGCCACCACCGACCAACGTTGCAATTGCTTCACGTACTCGAACCATTCGACAACGGGCGGCAGCAGCCATGAACAAGCCACGGTCCATGCGATTCAGTGCACGTGTCTGTGGCGGTTCTACTTGGAGCTGTGGAATTACTTGTACGATCGATCGGGCGGGGTGGCGATGGTGGCGGCGCACTACCGCCACACGTTTCCGTCGATGGCATCGGACGCAACGACCCCCTGCGACAAGACCCCGATGCGCGTTGTGTTTCAACAGGTGGCGATCTGTCTGCCTCGCAACAGCGACTCGATTGACATGATGGCCATCGTCATGGGTGAGTGCATCTTGACAAAGTCGTTCGAGACAGACACGTGGCAGTATGGCGATGCGATGGTGGCAGGAGCGGCGGCGTTGGCGCCGTCCAAGGACGGCCCGCTTCCTACCGACGGACCGCGGCAAACGAATCGCTTGCACATGAAGCAAGTGACCATGTACTGCGCCGATACAGAGAGCGTGGTGCAGCGGCAGTGGTCGTTTCGACGGGGAACCCATGCCGCCACCACGCCGTCGATTCCTAGCACCTCCCGGGATGAGGTCGATCCACTTCCTGCCCCTGCCGCCCCCATCACGGAAGGCGCTGCCTTGGCCCTGGACCCCGACGTCCTCTGGAAGCGGGTGACTGTCATGCCCTTTGACCTTCTCTTTGTCCGCGACTTCGACGCCGCCAACACGAGGTGCACGCGTGACCTTTACGTGATTCAGCCGGGACTGCGGCTCAGCCTCGAGCTCACCGACTTGAGCATCGTCCTGAGCCTTTGGTACGACAACTTGGGCGAGTACCCGCAGTTTCCGACGCCGTTCGTCCCCCCGACAAACTACTGCGAGCCTTACACGACGGGCCCGCACCCCCACTTTGCTCCGTACACGTCGCCGTCGCAGCTCCCGGCCATCCATGGTGAGAGCGAGTGGGAAGTGGGATGTGTCATGCTCGAGGTGGAAATCCGCCTGCCCCTCCAAGACCATGCGTTTCTCGCGCTGCAGCTGCACCCTGTCGTCATCCAGGTCGACGGGCGGCTCGATAGCTCGTTCATGCGCTGCACGGTCGTCGGCGACCGCGGCACCCTCGTCAAGCGCAGCGCGCCTGGCGTGCCGCCCGTCGTTCTTGTGGACCTCGTGGCGGCCGACGTCCCGTTTCACCTCGCCAACGTCAACGTGTACGCACCGTTTGACGGATCGGTCCAGGTGCCGTCGTTCGGTCTACAGATGAGCGTCGTGCGGTTTCCTTATGGGTACACGATGATGGGGCTGCGCTTGAGCCATGTGACCGTGGGGCTGGCCAGTGATCCCGACGTGCTCGCGTTCGTCATTGAGTTTTTCTCAACGTACTTTTACGACTCGGAATATGGCTACCCGTGGCCGACGGCCGACGCACTCGCGCCGCATGTCGGCGCGCGGACGGACATGGAGATGGGCGTGAACGATCTGATCTACTCCAAGGTGATCACTGTGCACGCGCCGTGCATTCCGTTGGCGATGCACGACCGTGTGTTTCGACTTCAAGCGAGTTCGGCGGTGCGGACGTTGCTCCACCATCCATGTCGAACAGTTGTGACCGTTTGTGTAGGAGGTTGGATGGGAGCTTCGGTACGAATCGACGGCCACGGACGCTTTGGTCAAGGTGCATTTGCCAGGCGTCGAAGGGCTTTTTCTTGATCCAGGCGCGACCCCGGCGTCGGTCGGCGCGCCGCCCGCTGGCGTTCCTCGCACCGTGCTCACGCCGATTACCATTCACTGGTCGTACGCGACCAACATGCTGACGGGCCAGCAGTCCATGGCGCTGGACATTGCGCGCTTCGACGTGGAGTTTCCAAACGAAGACGACTTGACCGTGTTTGTGTACGGCACGCCCAGCGACGTGGGTTTTTTTGTGGCCATCGCGGCGGCGTACGAAGCGAGCTGGGGGGACGCGCCCCCAGAGCTGTCGCCCGCCGCCATGTTGGACGGGGCGGCGGGGGATGGCGACGACGAACTCGACGACGAGGAGAGCGGTGTGGAGGCGTCGGGAGATTCGTGGATGAGCATCACCGTGCGTCTTCCTCGAAAAGTCGGATTCGTCTGGCTCGACGATGTGCTGCATTTTCAAAAACCCGTCGTCCAGGTGCTCTTGTGCGATGTCGTTGTTCATGCGTTGCAATGCCAGGACCCCGACGACCAGGACGACAACGGCGCACAGGACGGGGGCGACCGTCTCTCGTGGCGCGCCGCACCGGCACCTGCCGACGGCTCGCCCGCCGTCTTTGCAAAACTCACGTCGTCTCTCCAACTCGACGTGTTCAATAACATCGTGCGGGCATGGGAACCGCTCGTCGAGCCTTTCGCGGTCAACGTCTTCTTGGAGCAAAACGGGCCCCGCCTCGGCGTGGCCATCTCGACGCCCGACTCGGTTCAGATCAATGTGACCGAGTACTGCGTGAATGCGGCGCTGGAATCGTGGGGGCACCGCGGCAGTCCCCGCGCCGCGGCAACCGTCGGCCTCGTCAACTGGACTGGCAAGGCCGTGCGGTATTTCCAACCGCAGCCACACCACCATCCTCATCATCCGAGTCTTTGCCGGGACAAGAGCTGGACAAGTGGGCATCGGTCGCCCCTTCGCCACCGCCCACGCATCGTCCATGTAAACGCCCCCAAGCGCAATGTGGCCGATGGCAGCGGGACAGCCGGACCGCTCGCGTGCCCGCCAACGCTGAGCGTCCTCGTCGGTCGACACAAGGTTGAAACCACGGTACTCAATCAGAACGATCTCCATGTGCTGTTTGCGTCGGCCCACCCACACACGACCGACGCATTCCGCCACGCTCTTTGCGGCGACGCCGCCGCCGCCGAGCTCACGTACGACATGTCGGTGCAATTGTTTGGGTTCCAATGGCTCCACCACTTGGATTTGAACCAGAGCGGGTTTTTCTACTTTGACCTCGTGCCAGAAGTCCCGCACATCCAATCCATGCCAGCTCTTCCCGCCGTCGCCGACAAACGGGTTGTGCCGCCGCCGATCGACGACGCGCAGGACGGAGCGCTGCCGCTGCCACACCTCGTCACGTCCACCGCAGCTGTGCGTGCCGCCCTGCGCTGCCTGGTCCACGTGAACAAGGTACAGCCTCGCCGCGACCACCCCACGATGTCGTACGCGGGGTGGCAAAGCATGATCTAACGACGATGATCTGTGGTCACTAGACACGGTGGGGCCATCGCGTGACGTTGCAGAGCTTGTTTCAAGTGCAAAACCACACGTCGTTTGTGTTGTCGGTGGCGCTCCATGCCTCGAGCAAACTTCGTCAAGATGCCCACCACCATGCGATTCAACTTTCTCCCGGGGGCATCCATTGCGTGCCGCTGCAGCCCCTCTTTGAACACGCCGCCAACTCGCAAGGAAAACACATTGGGTTCCTGCACTTGAATCCCTCGACGTCGTCGCCATCTCTCGACGGCATCCACCTCTTGGACTTGGTGCGTTTGGTTGTATCGATCGCGTGCTCACGTGGCGCGTGGTGGCAGGCAAGCCGCCCGTCGAAATTCATTCACACGTGCCAGCCCAAGACCCACTTGTGTGTCGAAGTCACGTCGAGCTGCTGCCACGCGACCAAGAAGGGGCGGTGGAGCCGCCTCTTTCGTCCGAGTGCATCGTTTGGATCGACGACCATGGCCAAAGCCAGCGACGACAAAGACGCATCGCAACTAACCACGCTGATACTGCACGCGCCGCTGACGCTGCAGAATCTCTTGTGCGTCAACATCGTGTGCTGTGTGTTTCGAATCGTGGCGTCGTCTCCAGCACCGCCGTCGTCCTCGGGTCGCGACGTGGTGTGGGAAGGCACGATCAAGACTGGCGGCCACGCTGCCATCTACGCGTCCAACTTGGCCGACAAACTCTACTGCAGCGTTCTCTTGCCTGCGCTGCAGTGTGAGACAGTCAAACCTGCGCTGCTCCACGTTCCGCCATCGAGCAAAGCCAAGGTAGGCTAGCCACCCAACGACGGGTCGGTGGTCGGGCTGACGGAGGCCCTAGGTCGATACAACTATCGCTTTCGCCGACAAAACCAACAACACGCAGCCGCTCAAACTCAAGTACGTCCTGTCGTCCTGGCGAGCAACGTGCTATGGCTTCCGCAGTCGCCATGGCGTCGATCGGCTTCGTGAGCGCGCCAACAACCTTGACTGGATTTGATGAGCTAGGGTCGAAAACACCGTCGGGTCGGGTGGGCAGCGCGCGGTCATTTTGTACGCATCGTACTGGCTGGTCAACTTGACGCCGTTCGGGCTGCAGTACAAACAAGACACGCGGCACTTTGAGATTGCTGGGAGTGCGGCGGCTCTCGCGCGGCGGCAGTCCATCGATGGCGACAAGCAAAACTTGTGGAACGTGCTAGCGTGTGACTTGGAGCTCGGGCCGTATTTGAACCCGGTCGACGCCGCCGACGACGGACTGCATGCTCCGAGTCTGTCGTGTATGCCTTCGATCCGGCCACAAGACGGACGGTGCTCGTTCGTCGCCGATAGCCACGAGTTGTGCTACTGCTCCGCGCCGACGTGTGCAGTTCGGCGGCTCGCCCGCTTCGCCACCATGTTTTCGTTTGGAGGCGGCGGGAATAGCGTCGGCGGGTTGGAAGACACCATGACGGCGGCGTTCACAAACAGTCTCTGCATCAAGGTACGACGAGTGGCCAACCGCACGCGGATTTAATGGGGTCGACGGTAGTGCCCCAAGTACTCGTGGTCCAAGGGGGTATCCCTAGAAGTGCTCGGCGTTGACCAAGTCGTCGAGGTGCGTCCGTCGCCACGTCGCGAGCGCCGACGATCGCGGGATCGCTGACGTGACAACTAGCTCAAAAACACAACCCACGTGCTCGAGCTCGGCGTCAAGATCGTGCCTGGCCCGGACGCGTTCTTTCGGACGAA